GCCAGAAGACATGGCGGCTTTCGTCTATGCCTACGGCGCTGGCGCTTTCGTGGACGGCAGCAACACAGTCGGTTGATGACACTACTGCTCGCGACGCACACCACTCCTGCACCGTCAAGTGAGTCAGGGAAAAGCGTGGAATACCTGGAAAGTGTTTATGCCCTGCCTGGACCACAATCAGGCCAAGGCGCTGACAAATGGACAAGTCTTGCTTGCACAGGTATAGCCTTTCCAGTTCGGAAGTTTCAGTCTGCTGAAACGTTGCCTCGCCTCTGTGCATGCCACTCAGGCAAAGCGTGTAGAGATTGCGCAGCGCGCGGATAACATTCACTGCATTCGGGTCACACTCCGACTCAGTGTCCTCCTCCATGCTGACAGCATCCTCCAGGAGATAGCGGATGGCAGTATCGATGGTGATCAGTTCGTGTTTCTTAAATTGCCGGCCGCCGCACAAGTGACTGGTGACGTCACGAGCAAGGCGCACGTTGCCAAACTTGGCACCCTGACGTCCTTCCAGCTTGGCCACCATGGAGCGTGTGAACGTGTTGTAGAACAAGGTGATGCTGGTCGGTATGCGTCGTGTATACCCATACTGCTGGCACAGCAGGGCACACAGGAGTGGCGTTCCTCGAATGGCTTCCTTCAGCAGGTGATTGGTTGGCTTGGAAAGTTCCTCTATGCACAGCCGACCCTCCTCGTCGCCGAGATGCTGGAGGCAGAAGCTGCTGAGCTGTGATTCGGTGAACCCCCGTAAGCGATAGCGTTGCTTGCACACGGGAACAAGGTCGTACGCACCATGGCATGGTCGACTGGTGGTCACAACGGTGGTATTCATCAGCAAACTCCTGGAGCGGCCGTCACGCCAACGCTCCAATAGCGCGTGTGCTGCGGATTGCTGCCGCAGCCCTTCGTTCCCAGCCTCATCAATGCCATCCAAGAGCACCAGCACCTCCTCGGAATGGTCTTGCAGGTGCTGCATCACGACCTGCTTCTCTTCACCGCTTAGGTGCAGTGCGTCCGCATCCAAACCAAGTAGCTCACTCCAGTCGCTGGTTTGCACACGATCCACATTACGGCACGGGATGTAAAAGACGTACTTGAACTGGATCAGAGGTCCAGAGGTGGCGTGCATCACGTCTGCGATCACGCGCTTGCACACGGTCGTTTTGCCCTGGCCTGCCCCACCAATCACGATGCAGCTCGTCTCCATCTCTATACAGCTCGCTGCCGCTGCCACTGCTGCTTGTGTGTTACCGGCAGCACATACTACATGGCTCCTCTCTGCTCTGTTCGGCTTGCCGTCCACACTGGTAAGCAACTGTACAGCATCTTTGAGAACAAACTCTCGGCCTGCTATTGCACTGTCACCTCTACCCCGACGGTGGCCAGCACCGCGACTCTTTTGCTGCTGTCCATCTCTGCGATTGTGCTGGAACGTCATCCGCTGGGCGTCTCTCTCACTCACTGCCTGCAACGGCACAAAGCATTCACGGACGTCCGGAGTTAAACAGGACAAGTCGTGTTCCTCCTGCACCGTATTACACAGGTGCCTGTTGACACCGCTCAGGTACTTCATCAGTGCTACGAGTAAGTCTGCAAGCGGTCGATTCCCACTGGCCCGGACCAGGGACTGCCTGGCCATCTGCATAATATTTTCGGACACCAAGCGCTCCACAGTCTGCGCAATGCATTCCATGGAACGCACAATCCCGCAGTCGCGCTCATCTCCGATCGTCTTTTGCTTCTCGCACTCCTGCGCTGCCAGCTCGAGCCTGTTCCCCAGGTCAACCATGGCGAAACGGTCGCGGAGAATTCTGCAGAACGTCTTGAACACTCCATCTTCGACCTCCCTGTCGACGTTGATCAAGTATCTGAGCAACTCGTCAGCTCTCTCCGTTGCATCAACTGAACTGCCTGTGGTGATTTTTACGTACTCGCCGTCCCGTGTACTGAAAACACCCGAGTCGATCAGCTGATCCATTGCATCGTCCACAACATCGGCCATGCGTCGTCGAAGCTCGGACCGAAGGTAATCCAGCGCCAAAATCTCGTACCACAACATTGCTATGACGCCAGCGTGCAATGCACGCAGTCGCGCCTCCTCCAAGTCGAATTGCTTCTTCTTACGTTCGGGCCAGAGAACGGGTCCGGCAGAATATTTATTACTATTAAAAACGTTCAGCACTCGTTGGAACACTTCTTGTCACGGGCCGGTCCTATGGCGGCACATAGTCAGAAAAAAACCCTCAGAATCCTACGGTAACGCGTATCTGTAGTGAAGTAAATTAGTTGTTGTGGAGAGTCACCTGGTCACCACAGGCGCTAGGCAGTCCTACTCATAAGTCATAGTCATAAAATAGTCAAAACTCGTATCGACCCGTCACCAGGTCACGCCTAGTAATAGTACTGTCTGCAGTCGACTACATGTATGGTGTCTACGTCGCGTCGCGTCGCTGGCCAACGACGTGTGTCTAGTTTGCGGGCGAAACTGAGTCTGTCAGTATGCACATGTACCATGATGTACATGCAGTCATAAAACAGTAAACCATGGTAAACAGTTACTTCTTCTAGGCTACACTACACTAAGTCTACAGACTGAAGTGACACTCTAAAAATCTGTGTGGCTCTAGACTAATACTAGGCACCCGGATGCGAAGGCGACGTGTTATGAGTGTTATGAGCGTACATGTGGCCACTGAACCAGCATTAAATTTTGACACTGAGTAGGCTGAGGATACCACGGTGACTGCACTGTTGACTATTTGTTGACATAGACATACAATGTCAAGTATAATTTGTATGGCATTGTGTACACCCTGCAGGTACTAGGTTGATCCACAACCTGCCCTCATCATGATGCATTGGGTGCCTGTACGGTTGCTTGCAATCTCCCAGCAAGGGAAAACAAGAGAAGGGGGAGTAGCTACTACATAGTCATTTGTAGTTTTGGCTGATACAGTCGTACTCATGGTCTAGACGTGTTAGGGGCCGTCCGTAAATACATGTATTTACTTGGAGACGTCCAAGAGGCGTTTCTGGTGGGTGGGCTCCCCTGCAAGTGCAAGGCGTTTCTAAAAAATACATTTCGGAGTGCATGCATAGTGTTGATACCATAACCGCGCGTGTACAATCACACAATAATGTCATGCACATCATGTAGCACTGCTATAGCTACAATAACATGTACAGTCAACTTGGCTTATAACGACACTCGGCGGGGCATCAAAAAGGTGTCCTTATTCGCGAAGTGTCGTTATACCCGAAGTCTCATTATATGTATTACAGTGGGATGGGACTTTGCTCTGGGCATGGAAATTCTGTCGTTATTTGCGAATTGTCGTTATATCCGCAGTCGTTATTAGCGAAGTTGACTGCACCAGTATTAGATAAGAATGTAGTACTAGTACAGGTAGATCTACAAGTACTAGTACAAGGTTACTTAGTAGGTAGGAGTCAGTTGAGACGCTCTACACTGCGCTGCACTGCACGCGTCACGGCAGAGTAGACAGGGACACACAGCTGTTCGATGAAGGGTCAATTTTGTATGGGTTCGAATAGGGACATGGACAAGGGTTCGCTATAATTATCACAAAATTCGCTATATGCGAGTTCGTTATAAGTGGTGTGTCTACTGTACTGTAGATACAGGTATGTGCATAGTATGGTGTTTATTATGAGTGGTATTATCTGCATTTTTGGGAGGGGGGGGGGGGGGTGGTGGGTGGGTCAAGAAAGAAACGCCTCTTAGACGTCTCTAAGTAAATACATGTATTTACGGACGACCCCTTATGTGTCAAATGATACATCACTGGACTTACATAATCAATAACATCACTGTACTTGAATGTTCATGTAGTACCGGTATATAACGGCTAATTTTAGCGCCGGTGATATTTTAGCGAAAGGAGTGTTTTCGCTAACGTTTTGCCGCGCCAATCAACATTTTGCATGTCCACTACAGCACTGGTCATCTTCTTTTCTCAGAAACTCGGATCGCTAAAATAATTTCATCGTGGTCCAGATTCAGAAAACGCTAAAATGTTTTACCCGCTAGAACTAGCCATTCTACAGTGCTACACTTGCACGCGCTCTGATTATTTGTTGGCATGCACAGCTAGTTTAGATAGCACTGTGCGTGTGTGTGTGTGTGTGTGTGTGTGTGTGTGTGTGTGTGTGTGTGTGTGTGTGTGTCATGCCGGAGTATGTGGTGTGATGTGTGTGTGGGGAAAAAAAAAAAAAAAAAAAAAAAAAAAAAGAAAGAAAAAAAAGAAAAAGACCAAAAATAGGGATTCACTGGCCAGAAAAAGTCACTTCAAATAGCTGTATGGTGTAGACCAGGCTGAATAGTGACGGTCAATTCTTCAGCCTTGCAAGCTGTTGAATGGTGCAATCCCAGCACAAGTTGCTATGGCTTCTGCCGTAGCATTGCTATCATCGCCTCCGGCGATGGGCGTCAAAGGTCAAGGTCAAAGGTGTGTGTGTGTGTGTGTGTGTGTGTGTGTGTGTGTGTCCCTTATGGTGCAGTGGTATGTGCAGAATTTCCAATCGATAGGTTGCGGGTTCGATTCCCGACGATTATTGTCACACATGTCTTTCTTCTCTTTCTCAGACTCTTTCTGACTTTTCTTTCATTCTCCTGGGTGGTTACCAACAGCCAGTGCATGCCGGAGTATGTGGTGTGATGTGCGCGGGAAAAAAGACCAAAAAAATCCCAAAAATAGGGATTCACTGGCCAGAAAAAGTCACTTCAAATAGCTGTATGGTGTAGACCAGGCTGAATAGTGACGGTCCATTCTTCAGCCTTGCAAGCTGTTGAATGGTGCAATCCCAGCACAAGTTGCTATGGCTTCTGCCGTAGCATTGCTATCATCACCTCCGGCGATGGGCGCCAAAGGTCAAAGGTGTGTGTGTGTGTGTGTGTGTGTGTGTGTGTGTGTGTGTGTGTGTGTGCGCGCGCGCGCATGTATGTGTGTGCGTGTGTGTTCCGTGTGGTGCAACAGGATTGGAACCATTCTCCAAAGCGACCGCGTTCTCGTCATGGACTCTGGTTCGGTTGTGGAGTTCGCAGCTCCTGACGCGCTGCTGGCCAATGAATCCTCCGTTTTCAGCCGGCTGGTCAAAGAAACACATTAGCGAGAGCCACAGGCAGTTTGTATGTGGTGGCATTCCATCACATTGGCAGCTCAGCTCAGACCCTTGTGAAGCTCATGTTGATTGCACAAACGAGCAATGACAATGTGAGCACTGCTTCACGTTAGCTGACAAACAGGATATCCCCTGGTGTGCCGTGAAGGTGAGCAGCACGTCATATTGCAGTCGCTCCAGCTCTGCCCAGCAACTTGGGTGCAGGATATGTGGATGCTGGTATTGTCAGCGTGGCAGTAGCTGTTGCACCTATTGCAGAATTCCAAACAAGTAGTGTCCCGTGCGTGAAGTGCAGTCTGTATGGCTGAGCTCAGAGGATTGACGTGAACCAATTTCTTCTACACCGTAGACGTACCCTGGTCTTGGCTTGGTGACTGTGACGCTCCGTGCCATGATAAGCTAGCCGTAATCCTTGTGCCTTAGTGAGGCGCTGTGCTTGTTCCTCTTCAGCTGCCACTCCAGTAGTTGTAGGACAGGAATCACTGACATCCCGTACTTTCCAGTACACATATTTCATATCATATTTTTCTACAACTATTTATTCACTTTGATGAGCCTTGAGCAGTCTCAACTTGAGGAATTTCTGAAGGATATCACCTTTTTTTTAAATAAATATTAATTTTGTGTCGTGAGATGGTTCTGATGGTGTGTATGTACATGTACAGTGGATCTCAATTCTCAACCAGGCCTGCAGGGTGTCGTGAAAGCCCTGGTCTCGACTTCACCAGCAAGAATTATTCTTGATTTCCATTGGTCGTGGTCACTGGCCTATACACTTTATTTCCAGGCTTCCATTTTCATGCTGCCGCAGTGTCTATCAACACATGTGGTGGCTATGGCTGCGCGTCTTATTTTGCTGTGCCAGTGCGAGTGGGGGTTTCGCTCTGTTCTGAAAGCACAAGAAAATCTTTCACTTGCATGCATCGTCGCTGTTGCAGTCATGGCAATCATGTGCTGTCATATCCCAGGTAGTATAAAAACGTGCACCGCATTTTCCCGAATAGAAGCTGCATCTTTTTCAACGGTAACCGAGCACAACCGAGCATGGCTCAGACCTGAAAATGGAAGTGCAACTACAAGACTTAGTATGATCGGGGAAATACGATACTCGAAGTAAAACATATACTGCTATGTGACCATTCAATTATGTACATGTACTGGATTTGGTATGTCGTGTAACTACTTGCCCATCCACCATTGATCATGCATGCATTTAAATGTACAATGGATTTACAGCCTGGTGAAGCAAACCCCACGGGCCACAGTCTAGAACACAAACTGTCGACTCTAAAACCACAGGTGCATGCCACTTTGATCTCCAACACAGCCAGTGCCAAATAAACGGCCTGGCAGGCCAGGTGGTCATAGAATTGAATGCAGTTGGTCGCTCCAGAAGCAAGAGCAGGCTTTCCAATTCCTGTAACCGCAAGCAGAGTACAGTCAACTTTGCTTATAACGATTCTCCGCCGGGATTCAGAAAAGTGTCCTTATTCACGAAGTGTTGTTATACCCGAAGTCTCATTATATGCATACAGGTACAGTCAACTTCGCTTATAACGACACTCGGCGGGGCATCAGAAAAGTGTCGTTATTCGCGAAGTGTCGTTATATCCGAAGTCTCATTATATGTGTCACAGTTGGATGGGACTTTGCTCCGGGCATGAAAATTATGTCGTCACAGTGGTCCCTCTATAATCCGGCACCATTTGTGCCACGAAAATCTGCTGGATTAGGGAGGGTGCTGGATTAACAAATCTGATTTACTTCTGCAATGTACATGAAGAGGACATTTTGGCTACTGAAAATTGTGCTGGTTTATCGGGGGTGCTGGATTATAAAGTGCCGGATTAGAGAGGGACGACTGTATTCGCGAATTGTCGTTATATCCGCAGTCGTTATAAGCGAAGTTGACTGTAGAATGGACTTTGCTCTGGGCATGGAAATCCTGTCGTTATATCCGCAGTCGTTATTAGTGAAGTTGACTGTATGAGAAACATACCACTTTGCAGCAGCATACTGGTACCAAGCACTGTGCGGATCCAGGCACCACGCCCTGTCACCCAATCACAGGCTGCACACCCGGTATCAAGAGTATAATACCCCCCGCCCCCAGAGTATGCAACTCTGCATATGGCCAATAATAATGGGGTATCTGAAGGCGAAAACTCACATCACGTGTCCCCGATACGTTCGTACTATGTACACACGAAGGATAGCGTGCGCGCAATCCGAATTTCTGCCATGATCATGCTGGGGATTTGCATACCCGCAGTGAGTTTCTGTAAGAGTGCTTTTTTTATTACTCTGCTGCTCGCTAAAAACGGGCTGGAAATGTACAACTGGGACACTGCACCATGTGATGTGAGTTTCCGCCGTCGGTGTACCCCATAGAAAGGGTATCAGGAGTTGCACACTCTTGGGGGGGGGGGGGGGGGGGGTTATAATAAATTATACTCTTGCCGGTACTAACAGTAGCAGAGCCATGTACAAGTATGTGTAGTCAAATACTTGGGACAAAGAATTTGTACAATGTGACAGCGATAGATACCTCCTGTGGAATAGATCTCCAGAGATATTCAAAGTTTTAAATACGTAAACCCGGGATAAAAAATATAAAGGAACAAAAAGACAAAGAGGACACACACACACACACACACAAACACACACACACAAACACACACACACAAGGAGAAGGATGTCGAAAACCGGGGTGAGAGGTTAAAGTGAATAAAAATGTCCTATGCATACAAAGAATGAAGGTTGCTACTACTCAAACATCCCGATGAGCAGCATGCTGGCTATACCTACAAACATAGCGAGAAGCTGCAGCACGGACTGCAACGGGCGCTTCTCCTGCAGCAGCTCAGGAAAGATGGACGTTGTGGCAATGTAGATAAAGCCGCCGGCGGTGAACGGGAGAATGCCGACGGTCAGGGACTGACCGAGGTGGTGCACGCTGAGACCGCACACGCAGCCGAGCAGCGCCCCCGTGGCCGTGCTCAGCTGCAGCAGCATGGCGGACATCTTGGAGAAGCCGGACTGCACCAGGATGGCAAAGTCGCCGATCTCGTGAGGAATCTGGACAACACAGGGCACAGTGCATGTGAACACACAAACATACACATACACACACAGACACACACATACACATACATACACATACATACACACACACACACAAACATACACATACACATACATACACATACATACACAGACACAAACATACACATACACACACACACACACACACACACACACACACACACAAACATACACATACACACACACAAACATACACATACACAAACATACACATACACACACACATACACAAACATACACATACACACACACATACACACACACAAACATACACATACACACACACACATACACATACACATACACACACACAAACATACACATACACACACATACACAAACATACACATACACACACACACACACAGAAATACACCTTTACGGTCACTTGATGCTGGTCGCTTAGCCAGGTTTCACATGCACTTTAGATTTGCCAGGAATCACAGGTACGCCAAACAGTAAAACAGTGGCCCACAACTTGCCACAAGACAAGAGAGCAGAATAATCACCCTCCGATGAGTCACCACATCGAAAGTAGCCAACAAAGCGGTAGACAAGTATGGGGCAAAGGAAACAAAAGAGTCGTTCCATGCAATTTTAGGGTTCACGGCTTGCCACTAAAAGCACCCGTCACGTGCGCCTCCATTTTGGATTATAGACGCGCGCTACAGGCCGCGACAGCGCCTATCGAAGTAAAAAAATATCGACTCGAAGTCTAGCCGGAGAGCGTACTTTTTGAATTTTTCCTTGGCTTCAGTGGCTTCACTTCACTCGGGCTTTGCATTTTTGCTTCGGTTTTTCTGACTGACCTGGACTTGATGATGGCAGCGGTGGCGGTCTTGGCGAAAGATCCAGTTCCATCTGAGACACTCTGTCGTCTTTTCTTATCTGCTGAGGTTCTGGCAAAGCGCAGCTGCATCGAACCTGACTAGATGTAGCTGCACGCATCCTTTGTTTGCCCTGCAAATCTCGATCTGTTGCTCTTCTTGTTGTTTGGACGCTGATGCCAAGGAAGAAAATATTCTTCCTGTAAAGAGGCCGAAACTGAGCAAGGGCACGTCAAGATATGTAGGGTATACAAAGAAAAAGAAATGTCATGGTCGTTTCAGCAGCTCACGACAGCCAACACGCTCCATCGTGTCGGATTGGAAGTATCCAGCACGGCTGTTCCGAGCGCTGCTGCTCTTGTTATTCTTCTTCTTTAGAAATTCTGACACCTTGTCGGTCAAAGTACCCGCGCGCGCGCGCGCGCGTGCACAGAAAATAGATGCGCTGAGCTGTTTCTTGTTCGATTTTGACAAATAATGGCTTGTTGTTTTGCTCTCGACCTTGGCTATCCTTCTACCGTTCAATATTTTACGGAAACGCAACGGCTCCCCCTGTTTTTTTAGGCGAACTTTGGCCAAAGTTACTGGAAAACCCGGAACTCGTTTGAAAAAATACGAACGGTGGAAGTCTTGGAACGTCTTTCGTGCGTGTGGATTCAAAAATTCAGGCAGTTTGAGCCAACCGTAATGAATCCCGTAGAGTTGAAAGTGAGTGATATTAGGGACCTTTCGCATTTGCTACGAATCGAATGCGAAACGAAAGTTTGATTCGTCTCGTAATCGTTTAGTTGAAAACAGAATTCAGGTTTCGCAAGTCGTAATGCAAATCTGCATGGCAACTACGAATACGGCCGGTACCTTGGCGTACGGGTGTGTTCGCGCACACGTGCATGGATCATGGAATCAAGGGAAAAAATGTGTACCTGGCAAAACATGTGTACCTTGCAAAAAAAGGTGTACCTGACGGATTCGGGGCGTGCCACGAATGAAGAGGCTTTCATTCGTGAAAACGAGCTCTCCGCGGCGACTCTGACGAATCCTCGAACCCAGGTGACGAATCAGCATTCGTTTCGTATCCGTACGCGTGGTGCGAAAGGTCCCTAGTGATGGGAAAATGCGATTTGAGCACTGACCGATTGTGTGGTAAAGTATATGCACGCGCCTGTCACGTGCATGATGTAGCTGGCGACGCTAGCATGCCAATCCGTGAACCCTAAATTTTTTGTTCCTGGACTCTCTCACAAAGCCTGCATGTCTGCATTGCCAACCAGTGAAATCTGAGTCATCTGACCACTCGCTCGAGAGCTGCGCCATGAGTTCTACTCGTGGAGGTGCGAACCGAGCCGGGTTTCAGAGCTGCAAGGTATCAGGGGCTGCTTGACACGGGGCCGCAAAAAAAAAACTGTGCCCATACTCGGGTTTCACTGGTCGGCACGGTATACACTCATACCTCGTTTATCCGGGCGGTACGGGATCGGACACTGCCCGTAACTTTGACATGTCCGTACTCCGAATCACATACATTTTGATGGGGAGAGGCCATAGATATGGCATAATTTATGACGTCACGATTTCCAAAAAAAAGTGACAACAGACTAATTGTATTTTCCCTGAAACGCGACCAAAGGGTGCCCGGTAGACCACGCCGAAGTGCCTGTAACTTTGGGGTCCGGATAACCGAGGTATGAGTGTACATTGCTGTTGATAGGTCTCTCACTCACCTCATGCAGGAAAATTGTGACGGTAGTGACCATGCCGACTTGGCGGCTCACAAGGAAGGAGGCTCCGATGGCAAGGCCGTCCGTGAAATTGTGGAAAAAGTCGGCCGCCAAGTTGAGGAGGCCAGCGACTTTGATTTCTTGCGGCTGAGGTGCAGCTGCCTTAGTGTCCTTTCCTCCTGCAAAAAAATGTTGAAGAAAAGGATGATGGGAGTTAGAATTCAAGAAGTGTAGATAAACGTTTCAAAATTCCATCGCGGGATTTCTAACTTCAACTTGACGTGAAAAACACCATGGTTCAATTTCAATTCTGGTGAGAGCCCTTCAAACCCCATTGAGGCGCAGCATCACAGTCAGCCTTTGATATTTACATCAGACCAAGAAATATTGTTATCAGGGTGATATTGCTTCTACTTGAAGTAGTCCTTGTTTCAGGCCATGTACTCTTGACTCTTGAACAACAGGGCGCAGAGTCCACCAAAGCCCTGCCTCCATAGCCACGTGGCATGCCGCTATGTTCGCAAAAGCATCAAGAAACATGTTCTTCAGCAGCATCACAAAACGGACTGCACCCGATCAGTTTACACCAATGGGTACTCAAAAAGGGGTATTTCGAGGAACCAGAGGAAGTGCCCACGTGGCAAACTAGGAATGCATCTTTTTTTAGTCACGGAAATGTCAGTAAACACATGGTGGTGAGTGAAGACAGCACCGATTTGACTGGCGAGGTAGAACATTGCCTGCAGCACACAGAGCACCTGATGCCTGCCTGTATGGACTGTCACTATACTGGCCATGGTCCCCCCCCCCCCCCCATTTCAAATACCTCAAATTTACGAATATTCAGGTATTGAGGCTTCTGCACGTGCTAGGTTTTATGTGTGAAATGTGTGGGTACAGTGAGGGCTGCTTGCCACCAGCTTGTGCAGACTTTTTGTGTTTCAAATCCCTAAACCACACGAACACACGAGTAGTACCGTATATCTCAGGGGCGTTGGAACCGGTACGGCCAAAGCTGCACCAATAATTTTCGATTTTTTTTAATAGATGGGAATCAGCCTCTTTAATATACGGGCAGAAGTAACACAAAATATGGCCTGTAGGCCCAATTTTCAAAAACATTTACCGGGGGATAACCCCCGGACCCCCCTCTCACACGTTGGCCGCACCGATGTTAAACTCCTTCCGACGCCCCTGTATATTTAAAAAGAAAAGAAAAGGAAAATGAAGAAGTACTCGTAATAAGAATGACGACCTGGATGGAGAGCCAAGGAAGAATTTAAAGGAAAGAAAAAGGACCGAGGAATTTCAAGTTACGCTATACTGTCCACTAACACCACCGGTTGCTGGACAATCAGCTCGTGCGATACCATTGCACGGCACTGACCAACGGTACCGACGTTCTACAACTAACCGCCAATCAGCTCTAGCCCGTCTTGGATGCGCACTTGCAATGCTATCGCATGAGCGGATTGTCAAGTAACTGGTGGTGTTAGTGGACAATATAGCGTAACTTGCAGTTCCTTGGTCCCTTTCTTTCATATGAGTGATGCTCATGTAAATCCATAAAATATCTACGGACTACCTCTTCGTAAACACCTGTACCTTTTTTCTTCTCGTCTGTTGGCTTTGCTTCCTTAGGTGGTGCCGGTCCATGAGAATGGCCGTGCCCGTCCTCTCCCCTCAGCTGCCGTACAACCAGCTCGACGACTAAGAAAGCTACCATACCACCGAGGACCCACAGGCCGACGGAGTTGTCGTGACTGTGTCCACCTTCACTGCTGCTGTCGCCACCGCCATGCGAGTGACCGTGCGAGTGAGAATGCGAGTGTCCGTCATCGCCGCCGCCGGCCATCTGGGCGTGCGGAATCAGGTGCAACAGTGCATCACCCAGCAGTCCACCCGAGGCAAAGCCCAGCAGCCCCTTCAGCAGTGCACTATCTTGAGCAGTTGTTCCACTTTGAATCGGAATCAAGTAGAGGATGAAGAACGGGCAAGCACTGATCACTACCGTTGCTCCTATCGCATCCAGCCATGTATTCCACGAGGCAGGGCCACCGGTAGATTGCGGACTAGAGGCATGGCCACTTCCAGCTTCAGAATTTTCTGATTCTTCTTCATTGGAAGAGGCGAAGTATTTTGATTTTCCATGCTCTACGTCATGTTCGCCATGAGAATGACCATGTCCGTGACTACCGACAGTGGAAAAAACTGATGAGAATGCGAGGGAAAACAAGAGGAGGTAGCACACTTGTCTAGTTCTTTGTTGATAAGCCATTGCTCTTCCTTCCAGAACGTCTAGAACCCAGGGAACAAAAGAAAAATATTGAACAAAACCTGAAAACCCTGAAATAAAAATGTTGAATAATGTTTTTAGTAAATTTTACTCTGTACACATGTACTAGTAGCTGCGCTGCGCTGCATGCACGTGGCATGGGGCCTGTTGCCAGTGTTGGCGCGTGCATCATGGTGCATGGCGCAAGCTTTCGAGGTAGAGTAGTAAACATTGGACTCTACTTGCTGTACATCGTGGACCTGCATGCGCAAGAAAAAGAAAGCACAGATCATGCATGTGGCCGCGTGGGCAAGATCAAAAGTGCATGAACTGTTTATGGATGGGGCCAGGCCGGGGAGTCGTCAAATATTTGACGACTCCCTGATGTGGGCTGAAAACAGCATGGAGTCGAGTCCCACTTCACTATCAAGAATGTAAAAAAGTTCAAGAATTTTGATGGGTTTGAAGACAAGCCAGGGCTATGGGGTCAAGAGCGCAATTTGTGATTTAAATTCCTACAGGACGGGAGTTAACAGATGGAATTCGTGTGTTTAGTTCTTTACTTGCACTCTTTCGCGTTCAAAAGTGGGTTTCGAAAAGAGGGCACGCGTTTGCCGTGCACAATGTACAACGCGTGTGCAATCTATCATTCTGGTGAACAAGGAGAGAAGGAAGAGATCCAGAGAAAGGAGACTTTTTTTGGATCGTTTTCAGTTCTTTCCATGGCGAGACAGCAGCAGAGAGATCTCCTCCGACCGTAGCGTTTGTAAGATAGTTCTTATCGAAGCAAGACTGGAAGCCGTGAAGTGGAATGATATTCACCTTTCTCATTGCAGAGAAGGTTGCTGAGGCCACTGACTCAAACTCGGTGCACCAGTGTGCTTGGCGTAATAACGTAGCCTCTCGCTTTCCTTTTCGTGCTGATGCGGGTTGGATATGTCCGAACGAGGTAATGTCAATCGCAAGGATGGAGGAAAGAAGTTCCCTACCCTAAATTTGAACCAGACGTATCGTGGAAATCGCCCCGAGCCTCGCACTTCAGTACAACCAGGTGGTAAGTACATCGTAGCTTTGATCTCGGGCATAATTTTGGATATATTTGTAGCAACTCGATGATTGTATTCGGCCAGCATGTCTCTGTAGGAGGTCAGGAGGCATGCTTTTTCTTCTTGTTGAGGATACTTGCACGTGTGGCTTCTTTTGTATTTGTAGCGGCCCCTCCTCGCTCTTATGGAAGTTTGCAAAGTCTGGGAAAGGTCACGAGCAAATTTCGAAATCGCCCGTCACAGAACTTACCAGAGTCGCCCCCAGGAGAATCAAGATATGGCAGGGACGGAGAATCTGGTGGTAGATCGCCAGTTCAGGGTCGCCGCCCTGGTGGTTGGAAGTTGAACAGACCGCCTCGCGAACGAACTGAGACCCTTGAGGGCCCAGCGTCAGCAGGTGAGTCATTTGGAAGAAATATCTATTTGAATTGGCCTGCCATTCCAGGTCAGTTATCTTGTGGAATGGTAGTGTACTCTTGAGGAGCCGGCATTGTTATCAATGTCATACATAGTGTCGTTAAAATATTCGTGTTCTCTCGCGACGCAAATGATTTTTGTAGTTTTGCGTGGCGCACCCGCATACGTGTTCACGCTCGTGTCTGTATGTTGTTCCGTTTTGTTTAAATTGAATTAAATTGAACTATAGGATTTTGTCTGTTGGAATACAAACATCTGCTTAATATGTGACTGCATACCTATGCGAGTGGTGCCATGACATGTCTCATGTATCCAGAGTGGATATTTTCAAGAAGGGGCAGTGTAAAGTGGGATACGCTGTGCTTAATTTTGGCATATTCTGGAATTGCACTGGTTCGTGGCAAGGATTTTTCATGACATATCTTCAGTTGGATGGTGTGCGGTTCACAATCAATTCCTAGCGCAGTTCGTGCTGATTCCAATCAATGGATGATGTGAGCTGGTTGTGCAACTAGCGAAATTGTGGAATTCTATCTCTCACGACAGTAAGTTTCCCACTTCATTGTAGTGCCATGGGCTTTGGGGTTCGACCGTCGCGAAGGCAGTGACATTATCGCGACGACCTATTGTCAGCCAGCTGTTTTATTACATCCATGTATATGTTCTTCGGGCAACACCTAGGCTGACAATTTAGCACTGAACAGTGCAAACGACTAAAGCAAAGATGTGCGAACCGCCACCACTGGACCGGGTGTGGCATATAATACTCCAAGCAAGCAACTTCATGACACAGATGACAAAACACTGCAGTTTGAAGAAACATTCTATCTCCTTGTCTACACAGCAGTAGCAAGTCTTGATAGTGACGCTGATATGAGGTTTCAATTTGTCCATGCCTTCTGCAGACTGACACTGATCGCCTAGGAAATAAATTATCAAAGGTGTTCAGGTTGTCCAGTTTTGGTCGTTCGGTGCATCCTATAGCATCTTTTAGGAGTCGCAGGTACTTGGATGTGTCTTTGTTTAAAAATGAATCATTGTTCATAACTCCATCATATCTGAACCGAATCCAACCATCGGCGATTCTAAGTGGAAAAGAAATCTCAGCTGTCTGTAGAAACTATCGCCGAAGAGCTTTGGTCAACGGATCTCAAGATAAATGGCTTTGAAAGCGAGCCACGGCAAACTGTCACTGAATACCACTCACCGCAAGTCGAGTACGTGAGGTTTGGGTACTTTTCATTATGCTGCTTCTCTCTAATTTGCATGGGTTTCACGTCCTGGCTTCTAAAGGGCATTCAGGAAAAAGTCGAAACTCAGCGATCAAGGAAGTAAGATAGCCGGTGGGAGGACAACAATTGTTCGTGTTTGAACTTGGAAGCATTTCGCACTTTCACTGCCCCCCCCCCCCCCCCGCACTGGACATGCAGTGTCCTTGTCCTTATACATGCCTCCATTCTCTTCCCCATGGAGACCTTTCCAGGAAGCCCAATATTGTCAAGGTGGAGTGAGGAGAACTAAAGGTGAATGGCAAAGAACATCAAAAATGTGGATATTCAAAAATCACATACTAAGGGAGTCATCGATTGGCGAATCTGGATTGAGTGCGAGCAGATGGTGTGGGCAACGCCCAATCAAAAAGAGCAAAGGGTGTACTACGCCAATAGTCCTTATGCACATTACACCATCTCGTACAGATGTACGGATTCTCGTAGGTGTGCATATGCGCGGTTGGGCGTTCATTGTGTGCCATGCATGCACATTTTACAAATTTTAGCCCAATACTTAATGGAGGACAGTCGCTTTTCCAACTTCATCAGATTGGATAGAACTAATGACTAGCTAGATCTTCGTCCGAAAAAAGTTGTTGCATGAAATGCCTGAAGGGAACGTTTCGTTGTCGAAAATACAGATAACACAATAGGGTCCTGTGCATTCAACACCCAACAGGGTCTACGTGGTTCTACAGGATGTCGTACGTGACGTCAATGTGCATAAGGGTTATGGTACGCATATCGTACGAAGATTCGGTAAAAGCAGCCTGAAAACGTCAAAATCCATTTCCACTCCAGCCACTCACGGTGTGGTCGGATTGCGCCTACTCCGGATTCGGCCAAACGACCACGCTCACTCGGAGCGCACTTGCTCGGGATTCGCCCAATCGAGCATGCCCTAGTACTCGAAGGACATTATGTGTCCCACGTGGCAGCTCCTGGAGGGTTTGTGAGATTTTCTTGCATCATCCGGGTTCTTTTCGCTTCTCAATTGTGCCTTTATTCATCATCAGTAGGGCATTCTAGCACCAAACCCCCACCCGCGAAAAGGCTCGGTCGACGCTGACCAAAGTTGTGTTGGATTCCGGTTCAGGTTGATGTTGGCCATTGATGGACCCCTAGTCAATTTTTGGACCTATTGCCCCTATAAGGATCTTCAAAGGTCAAAGTTCATGATCAATGGTCGAATTATTGAAAAGTGCGAGTTGAAGTAGTTTAGACAGGGTAGCTTGGAGAGGACCTAGAAGTATCCCCAACGTACGTTAACGTGCCTATGGGTAGCTTGGAGAGGACCTAGAAATGTTCCCGACGTGCCTATGGAGCTGAGAGTCACCTGGATATGGCAGCGTACAGCAGACACACTTGGGGCCAAGCGAGCATACTTCAAATATTTCCTGAACTAAAAGTACACCGGTGCAGCTGTGCTGGCCTACTTCCTTCCTCCTTTGTTTTGTGATTTTGTATTGTCTCCCTCTCATGCGAGATGTTTGATGAAAGCGTGTTTGACTGTTAAAAAAATATCCTGTGCGTATCCTCAATGAAAAAGTACGCATTACTGGTGAGAAATTCATAGCCTGTGATAGCTTTGTGTGTCCTGGCACTACTTGTATCCCCAGCAGCTAGTAGATTGTGTGCGTGTGTGTGTGTGTTTTGCATGTCCTGTATGTAGTTGTGTATCTCGCTATGCATGGCGGTGTAACACCTGTTTTTTCGTGTATTGTTTGTGCTCTAGGTGGCGGAGATCCTGCGTTTTCTTCACTGCAGCCTGTAAGTGGAGATAATAGTTCTGCCCTATTGGTACATAGCCATCAAGCTTCAATCTGGTGACTGAGCTAAGCTCACTTGTATTAATGAGCTGCACACAGCCAGTGTGAGCAGCACTGGTACCAACCCACACGACAGTGCTTGGCCACAGCGAGAGAGAGAGAACTCTTTCGAATTATAGATGTGTGTGTGTGTGTGTGTGTGTGTGTGTGTGTGTGTGTGTGTGTGTGTGTGTGTGTGTGTGTGTGTGTGTGTGTGTGTGTGTGTCCCATATGGTGCAGTGGTATGTGCAGCGATTTCCAATCGATAGGTTGCAGGTTCGATTCCCGATGATTATGGTCATACACGTCTTTCTTCTCTTTCTCAGACTCCTCCTGACTTTTCTTTCATTCTCCTGGGTGGTTACCAACAGCCAGTGCATGGCGGAGTATGTGGTGTGATGTGTGTGCGGGAAAAAAAATGAAAAAGACCAAAAAGTAGGGATTCACTGGCGAGAAAAAAGCCACTTCATAGCTGTGTGGTGTAGACCAGGCTGAATGGTGGCGGTCAATTCTTCAGCCTTGCAAGCTGTTGAATGGTGCAATCCCAGCACAAGCTGCTATGGCTTCTGCTGTAGCATCGCTATCATCGCCTCCGGCGATGGGTGTCAAATTGTGTGTGTGTGTGTGTGTGTGTGTGTGTGTGTGTGTGTGTGTGTGTGTAATGATGATGTGATGTGTCTCACTATGAGACCTTCCACTTCTCATGTTCCCCCCCCCCCCCCGGTCATGGCAATAATAACCCTCATTCGACTTGATAGTCGAATGTAATGATCAAGTAACAGTTGTAACTCATTCATTTTGTATCTGACTCGCAAGTATTTGGTGTCAAGGAGCAGTACGCAATTGTTGTGCTATTGTAACAACCACAAGAAGGTTACATTATGTCCTAAAAAGCCTTTGAATGAAACCTATTTTCTTGCTGTGTTCACAGCAAATTTCCCGGTGGTACACATTTGGTAATGGATTTGTTGCCCTCCCGATATTTTGCCTGACAGTATCCCAAGTGATCGACCTACAAGAAGGCTTTTCAGCATACAGCTTGAGAATTGAGACAATGAGGTGAAGCCGGTAGTCGCGTACTGGAGATCTTCGCGTCTCTTTGAAAACAGGATTTTTTGTCTGATCCGTGTTCATTAGTATGGTGGTAATCACACGCCTGTCCACTCACGCTCTCTAGGCTGCAAAGTTCTGGCACAGAGCTCTCCTCACCACCACCACCATCAGTTCTCGCCTGGCGCCTAGTCGATGCATGGTTGGCGGTATCCGACATAGCAAGCTGTCACATCAGGTAGTGCCTGGCACATGGAAGATGGCACAGCAACGACATAGCTCGATTGCGACGTACGTTTCGTCCCCGCTGAACTCATCAGGCAATCTTCTTCTTGGATGTCCTCATACGGAGCTTGACTCGGGAGAATGAAGACACCACTGCAGCTGTACTTCTGGTTAATTAACATGGTGGTAAAGATACACCTGGCAATATGGCTTTTTAACTTTGCAGCCTAGAGAGCGTGTGTGGGCAGGCGTGTATTTACCGCCATATTGCCAGGTGTTTCTTTACCACCATGCTAATTAAAGGGGAAGTATACCCTAAAATCAAAGTTTCACCAGTTGTAGTCTTCGGGGTGCTGAGTCGAATGGTCTTGGTCCGAGAAAGCTGAGACGCTCCCTTCCTCCTTTATTCCCAATCGAACTCGCGCACTTCCACCGAAACTGGGTGACTGCGCCCTACTAGATGGTGATTTGTATGCAAAATGTCACTAAAAGCGCCATTTCGTTGTTATAAAAGCACGGATGACCGCCATTGGCCCATATGTTGTAGTCCTTTGGACGCTGAGTCGACTGGTTTTGGTCCGAAAAGGCTGCGATGCAGCGTTCCTCCTTTATTCCCAATCGAACATGGTTGAACAAGCGGTCACGTGCTCCTGCGTACACCAGTCACCTGGTCACCGTGCCTGCAGGGTACAACTTACTAGCCTGTTGACCTTTTTTTGGGTGCAGTCCTGTCACTCGAGTTGAACTCGAGTTGAACCTTGGTGTGAAAGTTGTCGCCTGCTGGCGTGGTGACCAGGTGATTTGGGCACCCAGGAGCACGTGACCGCTTGTTCAACCATGTTCGATTGGGAATAAAGGAGGAACGCTGCATCACAGCCTTTTCGGACCAAAACCAGTCGACTCAGCGTCCAAAAGACTACAACATATGGGCCAATCGCGGTCATCCGTGCTTTTATAAGAACGAAATGGCGCTTTTAGTGACATTTTGCATACAAATCCCCATCTAGTAGGGCGCAGTCACCCAGTTTCGGTGGAAGTGCGCGAGTTCGATTGGGATTCAAGTAGGAAGGGAGCGTCGCAGCTTCCTCGGACCAAGACCATTCGACTCAGCACCCAGAAGACTACAACTGGTGAAAATTTGATTTTAGGGTATACTTCCCCTTTAACCATAAGTACAGCTGCAGTGGCGTCTTCAACTTCATTCTCCCGAGTCAAGCTCCGTATGAAGACATCCAAGAAGAAGAATGCCAACCGCCAACCATGCATCGACTAGGCGCGAACTGATGGTGGTGGTGAGAAGGAGAGCTCTGTGCCAGACTGTGTGACTTTGCTGCCTAGGAGCGTGTGTGGGCAGGCGTGTATTTACCGCCATATTGCCAGGTCTTTACCACCATACTAATTAACCATCAGTACAGCTGCAGAGGTGTCTTCAACTTCATTCTGGCTAGTGTACTTTTATAGAACGGGCTTTCCAAAAAGCCCAAGGTCACCAAGCTCACCACAGGGAAACCAAGTTATGGTTGGATGTAGATTTATAGAACGGGCTTTCCAAAAAGCCCAAGGTCACCAAGCTCACCACAGGGAAACCAAGTTATGGTTGGATGTAGATTTAATTTCAGTTCTCCCCTGTCTTGATTCTCTGCTGTATTTCTGCAGACGAGAGGAGCCATGGATCTACCGAGGTAAGCTCCTTAACCCTTTGGCTCCCCACTATACAAATTTTGACGGTATTCCGTCGATGACTTCAAACAGCCATAACTCATTCAAATATTGCACTATCGTCAAAATCGAAGTATGTAGGGTGTAGCTGAAGTCATCAGCTTTCTGTTGGTGCAATCGTTTTCACGATAGCTCTAACGGTTGTTGAGATATCGCGCTCGAAAGTTGGAGGACGGCACTTTTCTCGCTCCGAGCACATTTTCGAGCATGAACCGGGGATTTCCCCTTGTTCTCAAGTACCTGTGATGAATTTTTTTGCGTAAATCATGGTGCAGGCTACCTGCTACTGCAGTACAAAAAATATCAGAGCTGGGCGAGCAAGGAAATTGAAATGCCTGAAGAAGAAAGGGATTGAGGGCATTCCCAGCGATGTGGTACCTTCGCTAGGCTGTAGAGCTGGGCCTGCTATTCTGATTTCACTCGGTGATGGCTCATTGTGTTCGCGCTGAGAAGAACTTTCCGGAGAGCCCAAGATAGTGGAAATCAGGCTACTAGAACGTAAGTTATGACCGAAAGTTTACACAATTTGAGCGAAAATTATGGCTATTGCTAAATAGTGGAGTTATGGGGGAGCCAAAGGGTTATCACATGGCTAGTGTAGCTTTTAGAGAGAAGTGCTGTGAATGCGTATGTTATCGGTTCTAGGATTGTTAGCTGGGTTTGTGAGTCTGAATTGGATTATTCTGGGCGAGTGAAGCTCAGTATAAAACACTCAACCTAGAGGAACCCAGTCTCAGGTCCCAGGTCTGTGTGAACGTGGCTGATTTTCTTCAGCCAGATCCACACACTATCTCCAATCACAGAAATACAGTGTATGCCGCTCTGCACTTGGTTGTTGCATGAAGCACTGTTTCGAACTTCCCCGCCTGGCCCTGACTGCACCCTCTCAAACTGGTAGCTGATGTGGCACTGGAGCTGGCACTGCTGTATGCAGTAGAGCGGCGGTTTGCGAGCTGTGAACGAGTATGTCTCAACGTCACAGCATTGCAGTGTGCCTGGGCAGGAACTCGCCAATCACTCCGTGCTCCTCGGCCAGGCAGGCCGAACTAGAAGTAACAGTCACGTTCTGATACCCGAGCACTTACTAGTACCTGCCGGGGCTTCAGCGGCGAATCGTGTTTGTCACGTGTATGCCATGTAGGACTATAGTCAAATTGGGACAGTCGTCTCTCTTTTCTACTTGATCATCATGAATGATATCCCTGCTAAGCAGTGCTTTATATTTACTTGCTGCTTCCTTGTCCTGTAGGCGCCAGTCTTTGCCGGCCCCGTTGCCACTGGATGATGATGATGAAGGCGGTTGGGCCGGCCACCAGGAGGAGGTGGACTTCAACAAGAAGCTGACATGGAGCAGTGACGAGGACAGCCACAAGCCGAGTTCGCCCAAGATCGCACGTCATGTAAGTACAGTTCTGGCCAGAGAAACCCAACCTCATGAATAAAGTAGCGCCACGTTCGAGTGAACATACCAGTATGTGTAGTGCTAGGGCTGCGTAGCGCCCGGCGCTATTTTATTCATGAGGTTGGATTTCTTTGGCCAGTACTGCAGTATGGACATATAAAGAATGGCAACTGGGAATGGTGACAGTTTTGTGAATCCGCTTTGCACGCGGGTAGCAATGCGGCACCATCACTTTGGTGGTGGAGGAGGAATCGGGTTCCTTTTGCCACGACTTTAGTATTCATGTATGCAGCTACATTGAAACATCAGTGTACAGCACCCTGGATAAGAATATGATTTTTGTTCTTTGCATCAGATATAGATTTTACTTCCTCCGTTAAGCAAAATTTCGTTGCGTTTTTACAGTTCAGTCCAAATCATTCTATGGCTACGAACACGCTTTGCAAAGTGGAAAACAAGGCAGCATATGAAAGATATTTATTTACAGATGTCACACAGCTCGTTTCAAAGCAGTCCAGCTTCACTCTTCGTCTGAATCTGATGACGACTCACTCCCTGATGACATCGGGTTTGCATCCTCGCTGACTGTCGCCGCCAGCGCTGCCAGCTTTTGTTCCGCAGCCTTTACAAGTTTCCAAGACACGATTATTTTGATCGTGGAGATCGCCAAGTTCTTCGCTCGAACTGTGCCCTTGACGACCTCCACGGTGGCGCTGATAGTTGTGGCCACTCTCCGGACCGCCATGGAAGGAGGATACAGACCCAAACAAACGCTCGCCATTTTCGCCGCGGTGTGTCGTGCCAGCACGTTTCCACACCCTGCAGAAGCTCCTTTCTGGTTTCCTTCGCCACGAGTGACACGTCTGTCTACAGGCTGTGGAAGAACGCCAAGTCGTCGACGTTGAGATCAGGATTTTGCGCCGACTGAACGACAACCTGAATGTCAAACGCTTTTGATTTCCCCTGCGCTGCAAACACAAGGGCATTGATTTTGGCTGTGTGCGGATGCGCACCATCGACTCGTGCTAGTACAGCAGTGCCTGAGCGCTGGCCGGCTCCTGGACCCTTCTTCGAGCCACGTGGTCTTTCAAACTGTTTCTCGTTTTCGCACTTTGGTGTCATGCGCGCGCCTGGGGTTGTGTTCTGGTGACATTCTGTCGAGAAACGGTTCTGCTTCGCCGATTTTTTCAAAGGACTCCACGCTTTTCGGAGGTTCAAAAGCCTGTCAGAACAATGGACGACAACTCAGCTACTCTATGTAGGGGATAGATCACTGACATGTATGTCTAATGCCGACAGAAATACCATGACAAGAACACTAAAAACGCAACGAAGTTTTGCTTAACGGAGGAAGTAGTACGTTTTAGAACCGTGCATATCCTTTTCCAGTCATTATTTAACCTTGCGTATACACTATACAGTACCTGCGCTGTAATGTGCATGCCTTCATGTCCCCCTGGTATAATGTTATACTAAAATTCCACTGCCAATCCTTCTTCAGGCTGTTGTATTGCTGAGGCCAGTAGAGAGCATGCCTTGCATGTAGCCACACCAGGCTCTATTGTACCGAGGCTCACATTGTAGAGTCTACCAGGTTCCGAATTTCACTGACCAGACCAAGTCCTACATCATCGTAGTGACTCACGTGTACCATGATGACCCGAGTACAATCTGCTTTTACACGTGCCGAATTGTTTTGAGTTTTCCAAATTGTCTTGCAAGTTGCAAGTGATGAGTTGTGTTGTTCACCTGAGCTTTATTTTGACTTGCCGCGCTTTTCTGCTTTCCTTCTTCCCGTGTGCAGGCCACAAAGCCTGGTAATAGTACCAAGGTGAAAGCAGAGGCGCAGCCATCTGAAACATCATCCAGTTTGGCACCAGCTGTGAGTGCTGTGACATCCCAGTCCTCCACCGTCAGTGCACCCGGCCACTGCAGTGAGGACACAGCACGCACCGCCGCCGCTGCTGGCCGTGCACCTGTGGAATCGGAGCGGCCTGTCATGACCGCTCCCGTCAGCCAGCACAGCGGCGCCAGCAGTAGTACTGGTGACAATGGCTGGAGACCTCAGCAGGGTGCTCCCCCAAACCGATCCACATCATCGGACGTTGGCGAGAAAGGGTTCCGTCGCGGCTCTGGTAGAGGGCCAGAACTTGACAGGAGGAACATGTTTACCAGCCCGGCTGATGAAGATCGGAATTGGAGAGCATCTGCTACTCCTGCCGTTGCTTCTATTCAGCAGCGTGATAGTGGTGGCCCTTCCGGTAGAGACACACGACTGCAGCACGGCGGCCGGGAATCTGCTCCCGCCACCCGCTCTAATCCGCCCCTGGATCCGCGCGACGGTCGTCACGAGTACGCGGCCCGTCACGATAATGCTGCACCGGGCAGTTCTTCGCGTGACAGTCACGGAACCGCTGCTGGTGCTGCTGCGGCCGCTTACGGTGCTAGCTCTGTAGGCGGCGCATCCCACCCGCGCGGTGAAGGTCCCAGTGGCAACCATGCTGCCCATGCTGGTCGTGGTCAAGACGGCCGGAATGTCAGTGCCCATGATGCACACAGTAGCAGCTTGCACGATGTGCACCCGTTCCGCGACGCAGGCACTGGCGGCGGCCACGAGGTCCGCACACCTCGCGACGGACATAGCGGTGGTGTCCACGAGCTGCACAGCTCCCGCGATGCCCATTCTTCCCATGACGGCTACGGTCGAGATGGCCATGCGGCACGGGACGCGCGGCAGCCGAACAGCACGCGTGGCCACCCACCGCAGTCCAGGAAAGCTGAGCAATCCGTGTCGGCAGTGAGTAGTGGCTCGTCAGCACCGGTACGCATTATGCAGCGTGACCGATCCCAATCTGTCGATGGTGGTGTTTCTGCGTCCACGTCCGTCGAGACTACACAGGGTACCCATGTGCCAAGTGCCATTAAAGCCGCACCAGCACATCCAGCCGGAATGTCCGATGCCAGACCAGGAAGAGACCGGAAACCATCCACCGGTGGTGACAAACGACACGCGCCGAAATCTGAAACTTCTCACCACCATCATGCTGATCGATCTGACGCAACACCAGGCCACTCTTCGTCGCGCCAGGGCCAGGAAAGAGTTGGCAACGAGCTGTCTCATAAGGGCGGCGTTGCAGAGCGGCCGAGTCGCAGCAATGAACGTGGCAAGCGGCCCCATGCCAGTGAGCACTCTAAGCCGATGCATTTGGAGCAGCACACGCAGGCCTCTAGCCGCAAGCTGAATCTCGACGAGCTGCCCAGGACGCGTGGCAGCGTCGGCGGTGGTGAAGTGGACCACCGGCATCGCAGACCGCAGTCCAGAGATAGATCTGACACAATGTCGCCGGTCGTCGTGCGTGAGTGCCGCCCCGGTCAGTCACCCTCGTCCAGAGACAGCGCCGATGCCGTGAGCCGTTCCTCTCCAGCATCTTCTCCTGCTGAGAGCCCACACAGTGCCAACGTTAGCCTTGCTAAGTCCGCACCCAAAATCAAACGGACTGCCAGCGGTGGGCAAGCTGACCGCCGACCATCAGATAATAGTGCTCGGTCCACGTCGCACTCCAAACCGCATCGGCCCGATGCACCGCGCCAACGCACCGATCATGACCGGAAACCCGGCAGGCACAACTCGGAGACGTCTAGTGCTGCAACACCATCGACCCACGCCACTGGCAAGACCGATGCAGGTGGAAGAGTACATGACGAGTCCACACACCAGCGTCGTGTGAGCGACAGCTCCGCTTCCCATCCGTCGGCCAGTGATCTGGAAAAAGGAGCCACGCGTGGCGGCAGCAAGTCGCAACGCTGGAAAGCGGACACGCCGGACCGTGAGAGCCCGATCGATGAAAGTCACGATCGACCGCGGCAGGACCGAGGCAAGCATGCGCCTGTCAACCGACGTGGAACTGAAGACGGCGTGCGGAAAGCGGGTGCTGACCCCCAGCGCTCAAACTCTGATGGCCGGCGTCAGTCAGGTGAGCCGTCTCATCGCCCCGATGATAGTCGTCGTTCGAATGACGGCGGGGCAGCGCGTTCTGGCCGTAACAAGGAGGACCGGCGGCGTGGAGACGCTGACCGGAGTAAGCATGAGGACAGTCACCACCGAGATAATGAAGACAGGCGCCGTGCTGAAGACGACTCTCATCATAACCGCAATGAACAGCGGCATAGTCGTGCTGGTGAGGACCGATCTCGGCGGGCGCCCCCGGCCGATGGATCCCGTTCTGGCCCGACACGATCTGACGGCAATTCTCGGCGCGGTAGTGAGGATACGCGGCGTCCAAGTGGCAAAGACAACGCTGACATGCATCAGCGTGCGGGTGGCGATTCACGCCGGCATGGCCTAGAAGTCCCATCACACTCTGAGACCACGTCTCGCCGTGGGAGCACGGATGCACGCTCTACCATCGGCGGCACCTCGCATTCTGAGGGAAGCTCTCGCCGTGGAAGCACTATGCGCCATGGCAGTAAAGATGTCGCCGACAGCCAGCAGCATGCTAGCAAAGGCGAGCTTCGCCGACAGATCACTCCGGAAGATGTGTCGCTTGGTCTTGGTGTCTCACCGCGCCCTGAAGGTGGCGGCGGCAGTTCAAGGCGGCCCGGTGAAGACGCGCGGCCACACACCAAGGACAGCTCCGTGGCTTCGCTTCCTCCTCGTCTGCGCCGCTTGGACATCTCGACGAAGTCTGAGGGTAGCTCTCGTAGGTCTAGCGTTGAAAGTCATTCCCACTCGGAAGGTAGCACGAGGCGAAGTAGCATTGAAACCCGGCGCCATGACCAAGAACGACCCGGTTTGGCTCGCGGTAGCGATAGTTCAACACCTCGCTCCGAAGCAAACTCTCGACGAGGCAGCGAGGACACCCGTCGGCATACTAAAGACACCTCATCAGACCGCCCTGGCGCCGATCGTCACCGGTCTGGAAGTGACCAGAAGTCTTTGAGAGATCAGTCGTCCCATCGCCATGAGTCGCGTCTAGGTGATGACGGACGTCGCAAAGATGGCAGTCTGTCTCACGATCCACGCCCTAGGGATACGGAACGGCGTCTGTCGGATAAGCCTCGCACTGGCAAGGCTGCCATAGAACGTCATCTGGAAAGCAACAGAGCGATAAAGGATAAAAGACGAGCAGCGTCGTCGTCGGACATTACTAGAGTGATAGTCTCAGGAGGAGAAGTTTCGGCGAAGTCGGTGCGTAGATCCCCAGACGGTGTAGACGGAGCATCCATGTCTTTGACCGGCACTGTTATCAGGCACTTGAGTGATCACGATGGTGTGCCCCACGAGTCCATCATCTCGCTGAAGTCGGTCGAGCCCGACATGCCTCCCGCCAGCTTGCTCAACTCGCCAATCTTGTCGCCATCGGCATCCTCCACCCGTCCCCAGAGCCCAGGCCATTCCAGCACTGGTAGCAGCAGCGGTGGCGGTGTTAGTGGCGGCTCTGTCACCAAGCCTGATGTACTGCACTTGTCAAGTACGGATAACTCTGAGGAGTACAACACTCCCCCGTCCAGCATGGATGATAATGAGATGGAGGACCGCACGCCGCGGATAGCACCAAGCTTTCGGCCGGCTACGTCGCCAGAGTTCCCGACGACGAGTAGCCTGAAAATGGATTCGAAGAGCACTGACAGCAACGGATCGTCGTCGACTGCTGCCTCCAGGGACGATCACCCTGTACAGGGCACAAAGAGCCCGAAAGCTGAGCGTAGGCAAAAGCAGTCGGGTACAAGCGACCGTACTCACACCTCGGCATCGTCTGTGCCGTTGCCAAGTGCAAGCCGAGCAACGACTCGGGCTGATACCAGCAAGCGTGGAGGCAGTAGCGGCGGCAGTAGCAGCAACAACCCGGTCAGTCGGAAGAGCGCGTTCAATGACTACGATCTGAACTCGTCGTCGGTGTGCGTTGTTGATGATATGCCCGACCCGTCGTCCAAGGTGCCGCTCGTTGATCAGGATTTCTGTGAGTTCTCCGACAATCCTGACATCGAGGGCGAGTTCCAGGAAGTGATGTCGCGCAAGCGCAAGGAGAAACGTCGATCTCAGGAGCGCAAAAGTGTCAAGACCACTAGCAGCCCTCAGTCTGGGAAACGTAAAGCAGCTCTTTCGCCACTGCCAGCCCGTGATGCTGCGAAGAACTCTGTTCACGAAGCAGGCACTCAATCCGCACCGGCCACGGTAACTGTGCCGCAGGAGACAGTATCGGTGGACGCTCCTCAGCCTGCTGCTGACTGGGAAAACGCGTTTGTTGTCACTGTCAGACCTCCGGCGGATTCCACGGGATCATCAGCGACGGACTTCTCTGCCGTGTCTCTTGATCCACACAGTAAAGTAAGTGCCATGGCTTGTCAGTGTACTGAGTCAAGACCCTAACTGTACATGCAGTGCCTTTTGAAACGTGGACATGTGAACCTGCACCACCATTTTGTATGGACTTATTGAATGGAGGTGGGATTTTGTTCGAATACTGACCCGTGGGCATATATGCACGGAATTATGGTATGAGGGTACACCGACTTGGGGTACGTTGTAAAAATCCTCTCGGAAAACCCCGGGGCTGTGCAAAAAGTTGGAGAGGTGTATGTATATCCTCTGCTCAAGATCTCTGCTACGCTGGGAAGCAAGTCTGATGAGCTGGCATTTGCCATCGAGCAGCTAGGCAATGCATTCTGGGTGTAAAGGTATACTTAGTAGCAGTGGTGAGGCTACCTGTAGCTTCATTCCTAGGAAGTGGTTTTTAGAACAGACCGCTCTTTCCCATTCACTCTGCAACAATATTGAACTCTTTTATCTATCTGGAACGTTGTAATATAAGTATTGATATATTGGCCTTTGATAAATACCCACACTCATTAGTGACCACACCATCAACAGTATCAAATTCAAATAAACTTGCTTGACTCAATAAATACCACTGTACTTTTCCATGCAGCACTGCACTTTTCCCTAAAAAGGAGTATTTTATAAACAGTATTTATTGGCCTTAGTGGTATTACATAAAAAAAAGTTCGAAATTGCTGCAGAGTGAATGGGAAAGGGCGGTCTGCTCTGAAACCACTTCCTAAAAAAAGTATACTTGTTGGCAAAAACACAATGGATACCAGTTTCAGAGCTAAAATTACTTCCGGAGTACGCTTGTCAAGATTTTGAAATGTTTCACCTTCCTGGGGCTTAACGCAGATGTATGCTGTTCTCCAGGAGCCATCCACCGTCAAGAGCCAGTGCGAAGAAGAGTCTAGGCCCGATGAGACTAGGCGCAGGCACTGCGCCTCTCCTAGTGGCGTGCCTGCAGCAACGATCAAGGCATTGGAGTCGGATGGGAAGCCAGCATCGGATCACCCTCCGTCTATTAAGATCAGTGTCTCTGAGGAAGTCATACCCGTGAGTGGGCTTCAGTTGTGCATTTCTTTGAAACGGTTCACAAAGTTAACGGTTACGGTATTTCCCCGATTGTAGGTCGCACCCCTAATTTCAGGTCCCTACCATATCGTTTCAATACATTCACTTCAGTAGTAAATCATGCTCGATTGTAAGTCGCACCCCTTTGTTGGCTCTGAAGTTTAGTGTAAAAAGGTGCGACTTATATTCGGGGAAATACAGTAACCAAAATGCGGTGTAATGTATAAGGCCCATGCCCGGTGCCTTTGTTGTATATCCCGTGACCTCAGGCACTGCAGAACACTCGCCACAACATGTATAGTGAGTGCGTTAGATTATGCCCGCGAATCGATGTTGGATCCATTCATGAACCGCCCATCCCTATTCACATCACACCATGTGAAAAGGGCGAATGGATTCCGAACCGATTCCAGGGCTCAGGAACATGAAATCGAACGACGAGATTCCCATTCATAAATCGATTCTTGGCAGTACTCGAACGCACCCAGTGGGGGTATGGTATCACCTGCTTGGTGTTTCAGAGCTGGTTCAAAAATATGTTTTGATATGTGCGCTGGACTGCGACTGCTACGTCGCCTTGTTGTCATGCATCCATTGTGCACAACACTCGCAGTGTAGCCTCATGTTCTCACGCGGACACACCTCAACAGCTTCCATAGACTTGTATTATATATGGAGTGTACACTCGTACCTCGGTTATCTCGACCTCGCAGCTACTCGGGCACTTCGGTCTACCGGGCACCCTTTGGGCGAGTTTCAGTGGAAATCTTTCTACTCTTCTGTCACGTTTTGTGATAATGGTGACGCCATATGCCACATCTATGGACGTTCCCCATCAAAACGTATATGCTTTGGAGTTCCAGACATTTCAAAGTTACGGGCAGTGCCCGGGCCTGCTCCGCCCGGATAAACGACGTATGAGTGTAGTGAAAAATGTAACCATGTACTAGTAGTCGGTGTGCGAACGGTAACCGCTCATTTATTCTTAACGGTCGTGTAGCCGGTCAAGCGTACTATGAAGAGTCCACAAACAGGAGTATGAAACTGTGGTTATGGGCCAGTATGCCTTCGTTACGTAACTGGCCTGCATCAGGCCCTGTGCCCATGCACCAAAATCCACAATCTCTCGTAACTTGAAGCTTTCTCGTTCCGTGAAAATTATCAATAGTGCCAGATAGCCCCAATACTTAGTGCATGCAGGTGTAGCTATTTTCCTCTCTCCCTATTAGGAGAATTCCCCTGTGCTGCATAGCATGTAATGTTAGGTGTATTGACATTTCAGTGTCAGAGACCTGATTGGTTTCAAGTGTATCTTAGGGCATGTTCGGTTGGTAGGATCCGGATTCAGATCGATTGAGTGGATCCTTTGGATCCACCAAGGTCCAATCAAATGCTGCCCTTGATCAATCTGGAATGTGAGGGCATGTTCGATTGGTAAGGCTCGAGATCGGGATCCAGATCTCAGATCCCTTGGATCCTTCAGATTCAACTGAACACTTTATTTTGGACCTTGACTGTTGCCATGTTGAAAATGGCGCTCACAAGGCACCCAAAAGGGTGAACGTCGTACTCATTGCGTGCGTTGTACAAAAAGTCAACAAGCTCTATCTCCATTAGGCCTAGCACAAATTTGCCGGCAATTCTTCCAGCAAAATATCGAAATTGCTGGCAAATTCCGAGCAAAATATCGAATTTACAGAGGATCCGGGTGTATTTTGGCAATTTTATTCAAATTTCTTTGGTTTCATTGGGCCAACTTCGTGCTGAAATAGCTCGTGCAGGTTGTCAGGGGTACATAAATTTGAAATCATGCTACAAAATCCGGAATACTGACACCATTATAAGTTTTGCTTTCCTCATCAGAGCCACCATCCACTTTTACCAAAGTAGACGGTTCATTCGAAGCCATTTTTGCCCCAAAGCAGGAGCAAAATGGAGCAAAATATCGGAAACGAAAGGCAATGCCAAGCAAAATACGGAAAGTGCTCGGGCAAAATTTTGCCGGCAAAATATCGAAGCGCCCCGAGCAAATTTGGGCTAGGCCTAATCTCCATCCACGTGTGCGTACCACAATGTGTACAAAAATGATTTTTACCCGCCATATACGCACAAAGGTCACATATGGATCCGGTCAACCCTGCTCCCCGAGGAGGGTTGACTGGATCCAAATCCGAAGGATCCGGATTCGACCAATCGAAAGGGTGCGAATCCAGTGGATCCGGTGGATCGGGATCCCGATCCTACCAATCGAACATGCCCTTAGTGAGTTATGAGGGGTTCCATGAGAGAAAGTAACGATTTCTGCATCATGACTTTTATTCCCGCCATTTGTTCATAATTATATCACGTACAGAGTACATTTTTTGGCCAAAAGAATCCGGTGGATCCGGTCAATCCTGCTCCCGGAGTAGGGTTGGTCGGATCCAACTCCGTTGGACCTGGATCCAGATTCATTAAAACAAACGTGCACATATTGAGTGGATCCGATTGATCTGGATCTCGAATCAACCAATCAAACATGCCCCTAGCCTAGGGTGCGTTCTTAAATTCTCTCGGAAAAAGGTTCAAGAAGTTTTCTTATATCCTCTCTGAATTTTAGGAGACTCTCCAAAACTCTCCAAGCTCTCCGAACTTCAGAGGTGGTTGAAACTTGGAGATTACCGCGTTTTGGGATCAGCGCATGTGAACTTCTGCTAAAAGTCATATGTTGATCATGAGTGTACGACATTCCCTTTTACATACTCACGGGCGTACTACATTCGTGTCACTCAAGATCGTGGCCCCTTTAGCAAAAGATTTCCGAATTCTTCGAGACCCGTTCCTAAATTATTCCAGTTTCTTCGACTTCCAGGAGAAATTTCTGCGAGAAGCTAGAGAAAATAAGAACGCACCCTTAGGGTGCGTTTGGTTGGTACGATCTAGAACAAGATCGAACAGCTGGTGCACATGGAGCAGCCTCATGCCAACCAAACGGTACTCCAGAAACAGAGCACATTTTTGTGAAAAATGTGCCAAACGTGGTGCATTCTTCAAAATGTGTATGGGTCACCATGGTCACTTTGTACGGTACGGCGAGTCCAACCCAAAAGCGTATGCACGTGATCATTTGGGACCAAAATCGAGGTTCCCGCCTGGTTTCACTGTGGAAAAGTGAAACTGCTCGGTCTGCTCCGGCCTCGAGGCCGGAGCAAGCAGAACATGTTCTGGCCGACCCAGAACAGGTGCAGTCCCAACCAAACGCGCTTTTCTGGTGAATCCTGTTCTATGTCGTACCAACCAAACGCGCCCCAAGATTTACTTGACAATCATTCGCTCCACATACAGTGCATATCTAGTGCCTTTTGCTTGCCGAATTACTCTTACGGAATTACGAAATATAATTTACACCGAATATAACGTGTTTTACAAGCAATCAAGGAGCGTGTATACAAGTACCTCTTCACTCTTCAGACTTCTTATGCTGTTTCTCTGTATGTGCAAATTGTGTGTGTGTGTGTGAGTGTGTGTACATGTGTGTACGTGTGTGTACGTGTGTGTACGTGTGTGTGCGCGTGCATGCGGCTGCTGCTACCTTTCTCCCACTTTGCAGTCGGTCTCTGCGTCGGCACCTCCGCCATCCGGTGTCCAGTCCATTGCTGCATCCACGGAGAACACTCCAACACTGCAAGGTGATGAAGCTGAGCGCCTGTCACACGCTCAGGATCGACCCTCTCCAGCAGCCGGCACTAGCGGAAAGACTCCCAGGCCAAGCAGTTCTCCGGAGACATCATCTCGTCGAAAGTCCCGCGGTTCTCCGGGAGCGTCTCGCGGCCCGCTGTCTATGCCAACGGGCGGCCATGATGCGCACGAGGCTATGCGGCGTTTCTCTCCCTCGCAGGTGTCCATCAAGACGCCACTGCTGGGCAGCTCGCCTGGCATGCAGCAGCAGCCGCAGCACGTCGTGACCATGCCCGCTGGCGTACGCATGACGCAGCTGCAGATGCACGCCACCGCCGCTGCCGACGGGGACGGTCGCAGTAAGAGCGCCACTGCGCCTGGCACTCTGGTCTACCCGTCCATGCCCATGCACGCCATGCAGCAAGGCCACCAAGGTGCGGCGCCCCTCGTGCAGCAGCATGTTGTCCATCCGCAGAACCAGATGGCCGCTGTGCAGCACCATCAGCAGCAGCACCAGCACCAGCAGCAAGTTCAGATGGTCAGCATTGAGCAGCAGCGGTTACAACAGCAGCAGCACCAGCACCAGGTGCGCCAACAAGCACAGCAACAGCAACAGGTGCAGCAACAGCAGCAGCAGCATCCCGGTTCCTACCCGTCTTCATCCAGTCCTGCGGGGCCAAAGTCCTCAGCAGCAACGTCGCCCAAGTATGCACGTCGCTCTACGCAGCAGCTGTCCCCGCTGATGTCGCATGCGCCCCCGGTGCAGCTGATACCGTCTCAGTCACCGCCTGCACCAGCACCTGCACAAGTAGCCTTTAACGGTGCTCAGCTACCTGCTGGCAATAGTGTCATTGCTGGGGCTCCGGGCACGATGCAGTCGCAGCAGCTTCAGCTCCAACAAGTGCACGTGCAGCAGGCTGTCCCGCACGCTCCCACTCTGGTACAGACGCTGCCTCAGCAACAGCTGCAGCAGGTTACTCCCGGTGCTCCGGTGACGTATCATGCCCTGCATGCCCAGCAGCAGCAACACCAGCAGCACCAGGCTGCAGGTGACTATCTGCATCGGCCAGCAGCGGGTGGTAACGTGATGGTTGGCGCAGCTCCCATGCACGCACAGGCCGCCATGCCAATGCAGACAGCAGTATCGAAGTCTGCACCGATAATGGTGGCTGCCGGTGGACAACAAGGTCGTATGGCTTACGCTTCGCATTCGCCTCAGCTGCAGCATGCATATGCAGTAGGTGACCATCACGGCGTGGCTCGGGTGAGGCCTGGTTTGGTACGTATGCCTGCACCACAAGTTCAGCAAATCGGTGCATCACCACCTGTTTCGTATGCGAGCCAGCAGGTTCCAATCGTACACTCCTTCTCCCAGCCACAGCCAACTGCAGTACGACTTGCTGGTCACCCACTGCAGGGCCAGATCGGCGGTCCTATATCAGCACCCAACATGCCGCACATGGCCGTTGTACCGCAGACTGTGTCGTTTGTGCAGGCCGTTCCCAATGAACAGTTCACGGTCGCACAGCCACACATGCAGCAGTCCCGACCGGTAGTGGTCGCAGGCCACCAGTATAACATCATGCCAGCGCAGCAAATGGCACAGCCGATGCAGCACTTTACGGCTGCCGCAGGCGCTGGTCCTGCTCAGGCAGCTCGCGCTGCTACCATGACGGCACCGCCTGGAACAGTGCTGGTTGCTGCTCAGCCGTATAGTGTCGTGTCACCTGATCACCATCGACGGTCATTCGATTCCGCCCACCACTACCCGATGCAGGTGCGCGCGTCTGGTGCTGGCCGTCAGTACACTGCTCGCCATGAGACCAAGTCCAAATCTCCAGGGCACTCCGCCGCTCACAGCTCTCATTCGACTGCCGTCACCTCGACCGCCGCTTCACCTGCGTCAACTCAGGCCCCGTCGGAAACGGCCCAGGCAGCGTCGAAATCCGACCAGCCTTCTGCCAACACCGAAAAGTCTCACTGATCATGTCGTAAACTGATGTTTGGGAATAGCTGTTGTCTACCCAGCCTTGGCTCTATGACTCTCCTCCCAAGGTTATCCACGATCTTTCCCCCATTGTAGTGTCATCGGCGCCAGACTTTGTTGTGTCATTAGTTGTCAACTGTGTTTTCGTCCTTTTCTGTGTCGCCCATGGCAAACTTATGTGCTGTTGTGTTCCTCCTCAGCAGTACGCCAAGGGTCCGAATCAGAGATGCTCCTCTACCTCTGTGGAGGGCAGTATCGCCACTCTAACCACGTACAGTAGAAACCGGCCTTTCCCTTTGCACGTTTTACCCTATTGAAGCCATTCAGGTGGCAAATCTATAATCTTTTTACCTTAGCTTGCATTGCATATCGCTCGGAAAATGTAAAATGGTCTTATTTGCTGATACATCCATCTGCCTCTAAGTTTTATCGCTCTGTAATGCATACAGATATAACGCAAACTTTGATTTCGTTTAACGCAATCACCACCAACATTGTAACCCGAAAACGTTGAAGACTTCATGTGGTGCTCCTGTTGTATGAAACAATGTTTGTACAGTAGAGTCGTGCCCCCAAGAATGTTGTTTCCAAGGGGTTCGCCTGGGACGTTCTTATTTTTCAGCAAATCTCGCTGCGTTCTTCAGCACGCAACTCTACTGACAGACTGTACTACGACTGTAATACCATTCTACCCAGAGTCCATAAACGACGTTCATGCACTCTTGATTCTACGTGTAGTGCAACAACAAAACTCAGACAGCATGTTGTAAAAGAAAAAGGCCCAACCCTGCCCTGCCAGTTATTTGGACTTAGGCCACCCTTTGTTAATTCATTGTTTAACGTCCTTTTTTCGCGAAAAGGTACGCGGGAGGGCGAAAAAAAAAAAAAGCCCATTCCAAAAACTGGAAACCCCAATCAAATATTTTGACCAGTAAAGCATGTGATATATACAATATTTCTGGGTCTAACGGCACTTGCAGGCATAGAACAACACTCTTTGATGGTACATTGGAGCACATGCCTGATGAATCCAACAAAACAGGTACATAGCATGGAGTTAGCATGTCATGAATTCATTACATCTGGATTTTTACTAGGACACACACCGTACGATATTTAAAAGCCAACAAAAAAAGAAAAAGAACAGAAGACAAAGGCATGCCCGGGAGGCAAGATTAGTTTAAGGTCATGATCGGCACACTGTGAAACTACACAATCATGTATTTACAACTTCGCATATTATTGGTACTGGTGCTTTCTTGGTTTTTTCCCGGTCGGGAATACGGGGGTAGCCATGGCAAATAATAAAAATAAAACTGCGTGTAGTCGTTGTCGCCTGAATTCATGAAGAGTGGAACAGCTGGCCTCTTTTACGGGCAAAATGAACACACAATTAGAACTACAAAATCTCCTCATTCATGATTCTGCCTTTGAGTCAGGAACCAGCAGGCAGGTGTTGAGCTCCGAGTCTGTGAAAAGAGGAACAACTTTTTGGCAGTGAAAGCAGCTAAAGTCCATACATGTATAAGTTACTAACTCCTGAGCTAGGGTGCAACGAGGTTCTGACAGTATATCAGAATAACGTCACAACAGGCTTATTCCTGCAGAAGCCGTTGTCATCTAGTATAATGTATTCAAACCGGGTATTTCTTTGTCCATGCATGTCCTTGGAAAAAACCTACAAGTCACAGAGAGTGAAATCTTGCGCATGTACACCCAATGAAAATTGTGGCCGTTTACTTGGCATTTCCAACCGACCCAAATCATGCACACATGCAAGGATCTAGATAACCACCGAGGTGCGGCAAACAGCACACCGCAGCACAAGCACACACAAATGGAAGAGTTGATTTCGAGGGATGTATTCGTATTAAGAAAAAGATGCACAGATTGAAAATGGTTAACGGTAGCGACGGAACTGCTGGGTGTTGCGGCGCTTCCAGCTGGCACGACGAGAGCTGCCGATAACCTTGGTGTGCAAATGTCCCTTTCCAAGTCCACGGTTCTTGCGACCAGCAGCAGTGAGTCCACGGAGCTCACGGTGCTTGTGAACAGCCTTGCACAGCCAGTTGATGCGTGGGTCACGGCGGATGGCCTTGTGCTGTGGGTCTACCATGATAATTTCGAAGAATTTATAGCAGGCATCCTCAGCAATCCAGTAGGAGTTGAGGACGCGGAGAGATCCACAGTAACGACCGGCACGCTCCTGTTAACAAAGACGAGCGAAAACGAAAATCATGGTTGACACATGGTACTTTTGAACGGCTACAGTATCAAGTAACAAAAGTAAATATGGTCAGCACGTCAATGACGTTAACCGTGGATACAGTAACTGAAATCTGCTCAATCATGCTCCAACCAAGTCTGTCCCCTAGAATACTTGCAAACATTGCACCGCACAGAAAAGTGGAGTCGTTGAATTCGTGATGTTACTGAATACTGCATATGAATGCTATTGAGTACGCAGGCATGCACACAAAAAGTATTCGACTGAATATTATTCCAACAGTGTTCTTTCATCAAAAATCAGTTTAGGAATGTAACATACCTCAGCAACTGAACGAAGACTGCGCTGGAATTTCAAATGGTTGATACCCTGATGGACGGGCTTTCCATAGGTGGCACCCTTGGGGACAGGGCGCTTACGTCCACCACGACGGACTCGAACTCTGTAGATAACATATCCCTGCTTGGCCTTGTAACCAAGGCGGCGGGCTTTGTCTGGTCGGGAAGGGCGAGAAGCACGGTGGATGGCAGTCAGATGACGGAATTGCCAGGTACGAACACGCAGCAGAAAGCGAAGCAAATCTGACTGCTTCTTCTTGAAGAGTTCCTCAAGATATTTGTAAGCACCCATGACCGATACTGAGAATAAAACAGGAATCCAAACACCAACAGCGACTACTCAGTATCCTAATCTCCTTCCTCGATTGTGTGTCCAGCTATTTCTAATCCAAGAGGCTGTCCATACACTGCATTCTGAGACTTACTTACCTATCCCCTTTCACCCGAATATCCCCGAGTAAGAGTGGAAATGAAGAAGAAAGAGAAAGAAGAAAATTTGCGCATGCGCTTTGAAAGGATTGTCACGTGGACAAGAAAGCAAAAAATAAATCTCTGCAAAAGGAGATTTTTGTGAAGCGCGGCCGCGAAGCGCGCGGCCGAGTCACCGAGCTAGCGACGCTTTTTTTGCGCTTTGAATCAGATGCGCATGCGCCAAATGAGATGACATGGAAGAATCCCTTTCGCTCGTTGTGCTGTTTTTCACCAAACTGCAAAGATGTTGAGGGGCTCTCGTCTTGCTCGGTCCTCTGGGCCCCAGCTGGCGACGACGTTGGCATCCCGCCTTCGTTCTGCTGAGTCTGTTGCTCAGATCCCTGTCCGTTGTGCAGCTGCTGCCGCCCAAAGCAAGGCTGGTGCTCCTGCTAAGGGTCGAGTTGTTTCTGTTATCGGTGCTGTTGTGGATGTCCAGTTCGATGAGGGACTCCCACCGATCCTCAATGCACTTGAAGTGCAGGGCCGTGAGTCCAGGCTTGTCCTGGAAGTAGCCCAGCATTTGGGAGAAAACACTGCCCGAACCATTGCCATGGATGGTACTGAGGGTTTGATTCGTGGTCAGCCCGTTGTCGACTCTGGTGGTCCCATCACCATTCCAGTCGGTGCAGAAACTCTGGGACGAATTATGAACGTCATTGGCGAGCCAATTGACGAGCGTGGACCAATTAATGCCAAGGCGTCCGCTCCCATCCATGCTGAGGCTCCTGAATTCGTTGACATGAGTGTTGAGCAGGAAATTCTGGAAACTGGCATCAAGGTCGTGGATTTGCTGGCCCCCTATGCCAAGGGTGGTAAAATCGGCCTTTTCGGTGGTGCTGGAGTAGGCAAGACTGTGTTGATTATGGAACTGATCAACAACGTCGCTAAGGCTCATGGTGGTTATTCTGTATTCGCTGGTGTTGGAGAACGTACTCGTGAGGGAAACGATCTTTACCATGAAATGATTGTAGGAGGCGTCATCGTCCTGGACAAGCCAGGCTCGAAGGTCGCCCTCGTGTACGGTCAGATGAACGAGCCCCCGGGAGCCCGTGCCCGTGTTGCTCTGACCGGTCTCACCGTCGCTGAGTACTTCCGTGACAAGGAAGGCCAGGACGTGCTGCTGTTTATCGACAACATCTTCCGTTTCACACAGGCCGGTTCCGAAGTGTCTGCCTTGCTCGGTCGTATCCCGTCCGCTGTCGGTTACCAACCTACATTGGCCACTGACATGGGTTCTATGCAGGAGCGTATCACCACCACCAAGAAGGGATCTATCACATCTGTCCAGGCTATTTACGTGCCGGCTGACGATTTGACTGATCCTGCTCCAGCCACCACCTTCGCCCATTTGGACGCCACCACTGTGTTGTCCCGTGGTATTGCTGAGTTGGGTATCTACCCCGCTGTCGATCCTCTCGACTCTACCTCGCGTATCCTCGACCCGAACATCGTCGGTAATGAGCACTACTCCATCGCCCGTTCCGTGCAGAAGATCCTCCAGGATTACAAGTCTCTCCAGGATATCATTGCTATCTTGGGTATGGACGAGTTGTCTGAGGAAGACAAGCTCACAGTGTCCCGTGCACGTAAGATCCAGCGTTTCCTGTCCCAGCCCTTCCAGGTGGCTGAGGTCTTCACCGGCAAGCCCGGTAAGTTCGTACCGCTTGTGCAGACCATCAAGGGATTCACGTCTATTCTCAATGGTGAGCTTGACCACATCCCACTGCCTGCTTTCTTCATGGTTGGACCTATTGAGGAGGTCTTCACCAAGGCTGAGCAGCTCGCACAGGAGACTGGCACAGCATAAGCTTGTCGTCGCGTCGTACCACCATTGCCTTATTATTATTCTGCTCTGTACAAATTGTTTTCGTGTGAAGACGGCAAGAGTCAATTTTCTCACTGTCGAGTTTGTAGCCATGTTTTGTGATTCATTGTCTCTTTTTTTGCTTTTCCGTTTGCATTTGATATGCATACGCCAGTCCATATCTAGCTCAGCTTTCGCTGAATGAATGCCAGCTAATTTAACTTTTTAAATCATTCATGAAAGGTTTAAAACATTAACTTCGGTGTTTTCGTGGTGGGTCGAGTTCAGAGGGTAGCTTGTGTTTGAAATGGTGTGTTGTGCTGTGGACACTGTGATGTCGGTCGTGGACGATCAAGCGGCACATTCCAGAGTCCTCTGTCTCTGTTTCTCTTATTGTCAGTGTCTGTCTGATGTGGTGCAGTCCCGGGAGGTTGCATGGTTCTGCTCCACTGGCATAAAAGATCATTGATGTTGGTGCCCAGGGCCAAGATCTGAGCAGAAGCCAATGAACGATCCCCGTATTTTTGGTTGTGGTGTGTGTTTTGTTTTGTATTTTGAACTTCATTCTACACTGTATTCTGGTCCAGTTTGCACTACAGTAGAATTGTACATGCAGGTGCGCGTACAGTACTGACCTATTCATGACTGTTGGCACGTTTTGGCCTTCTTGTTTGGTTTGGTTTTGCCTTCGGTGGTTTCCCACCACATATACCAAGTCCAACTGATTACTTCAAGGTTCGCGCACTGCAAAAGAGATGTTGGGTCCGTTTGGACATGCATGGCAGCTGCAGCTATTGCCAAAGTATTGGCTTTGGCCCTGTTTGGGAGAATTTTTTTGGAAAACTTTGAACTACATTGTACAGTATGTCGACGTCATGGTTGAATTGATCATGACATAATGCGCCTTTGAAGTATTTTTTACCGCGTACGAGGTGATTTGTAAAAATTTTACATGGCATATTATTTTACAATTTGAGTAAAATATCGTTGTCGAGGACGATTCCTTTCTTCTGGTGTAGTGTTTTTATTAGTTAGATAGATTAGTGAGTTGCCATTGTATAGTAGTAGATAGGTATCAGCAGCGTTTCGCGACATCGTTTTGTTCCGCCGTGCTGTGAGTCGTCAAGGATGGATCGACACTCATGATTTTGTAATAGATGCAGTAAAATAACTCTCAATGGAGACTAGAAGGACCTCTGAGCGCCTGCGAGCGTGCCCTACGGCAGGCCAGACCCCTGAGCTGGTCCCCGAGGCCGACCCTCAGTCTGCCACGCGATCAGACGAAGCAGGAAGGAGTAAGAGACTGGCCAGAGGCGAAGGCCAGAAATCAGCAATTTTGGCTGTACGTGCGTTTCATTCGCCAGTCACAAAAGGCAGTTTTAAATCAAAGGCTGACGCTGCTGCTGCATATGGAATTAGCAAGCAGCTTTACAGCACGTATGAGTCTGAGCTGGCCAACTCAGGTGTCTTGGTAGAAATCCAGCAGGGCAGGTTGCCAGCTCCGGAGTTGCCGCCGCGTAGCGTTAATATGTTGGGTGTAGACGGCGAAGCACTCATTGAGGGTGGTCCGTTGTCTTCTCCCAACACACTCAATATGGATATAGTCAAGGAGTTGATTGTCAGTCGCTGCACTCGCCTTGGAGATGATGCGCAATATGGAAGCCACGGCACTGTCGGTATGTACCGGGAAGGGCTTAAGTGGGCAGTGGGGCAGATGCATGATGGCTCGCTGCCAAGGGACGGCCGGCAAGCATCGCAGTTGCTCTCCGTGATTGGTGTAAACGTTTCGCACATGACGTTGCACAGTAAGGTAAAAGTAGTGGCGCAGCAAGATGAGGTTTGCATAGTCACACCACAGAAGGCCGGAATCCAGTCGAAAATTCCGTATCGCTTTGAATTGGAGTTAGCAAAATACGTCCAGATGTTGCGTGCTCTAAAGTTGAAAGCTGGAAAATCGCTGATGATTGGCGCAGCGAATTTCTTGATTCGTGGCACATCCTATGCTGATTCTTTTCAAGCAGCTGAAGTGCGGTATGGCTGGTACTACTCCTTCAGAAAGCGCTGGGGTATAAAGGTGAAGAACCAGACGCGGCTTGAAATGGACCGAGCCCGTTGGACGACAGCTGACCATATGAAGAATTGGTACCAGGTGGTGATGGAAGGCATGATCGCTAGCGGAATAGCTGTGCCGAATGAGTCCTTTGACCCTGATTTGCCGTATGACACCCTGTTCACCATCACTGACCCGGACATGGTATACGAATGGGACCAAACCGGCTTTTCGTTGGACCAAACCGATGACGGCAAAGGGACAACCGAGAAGACGATGACAATCGATCAAGACGATGTTGGTGAGTGCGTGGCGAACAAGTCGAACGTCAGGTGGACTTTGACAGGAGGTTCCTTCCTCACTGGAGATTCGCTTCCTGGATGTGCCACGCCTGGAGCCCAGGGCGTCAAGCTCTCCCTCCTAAAGGATCCGCCGCTTTCAACGATCATCGACCCAGCCACCAGAAAAGGCCGCCCCTGCCAATTCTACCCGCATCAGTCAGGTGGATTTTCCTACGACCTCGCCCCTCTCTGGATGACGAACGTAGTCGGTCCATGTCTACCCAGGAAGGAAGGGAAGCGGGCGTATGGCTTGTGTGATGGCTATGGGGCCCACACCACATTGCCGATGGTGCTGGCAGCGGAAAAGGTGCAATCTGATTTGCAACTCCGTGTGCCACACACCAGCCATGTCTCGCAAGTTGCAGACGTTGCCAATTTCCCCCTGTTCAAGAGGAAGGCCAAGCAGGCCAAATCCGACCTGCTTGTAGCAAAGGTGATGGAAGGGAAGGCACCACGGCTGACATCTGATGACATGCCTGTCATCATAAAGAAGCCGTGGGAAGAGGCATTCCATCCAGACGTCAGCCGAAAGGGTTGGCGAGAGATTGGGTTTGACCCTGCCACCAAGTCTTGCAACCGCAAACTCTACTGGGATCTTAAGGCCAAGGAGGATGCAGTTGCCACCAAGCTCGCCAACATCGGAGCGGATGATGCTGTGCTAGATGTGCGCTGCCAGCAATTCAAGCAGGGGCATGGCGGCCATGCTAGTGCTGCTGGTGATCCCAAGGACGTGTCGGACTCTTCCGATTCGGGAGATTCTGATGCCCCGTGCAACGTTGATAACATGCGCTTGGGAGCTGAAGATTTCATGCTTGGTCCGCTCACATACGGCGCTGGACGACGGAAGCTTGAGGAGCGCTTCAAGCGCAAGCAGGAGCAAGAGTCACTGAAAGAAGAGCGTGCGCAGAAGAAGGCTGGTCGGGACAAGCAGCAAGCTGAACAACGCCAGCTTGATGCCAAGGCTGCAGCGAAGGTTCTTTGGGAATCACGGGCTGCTGGTGTGAAGCCTGCACTTCAGAAGCTGCACAAGAAGCATCTCGCTTCCATCCTTGTGCTCACAAAGACCCCCAACATCAAAGGCAATGAGACGAATGTCATTCTTCTTGAGGCACTGGAGAAGAAGCTTGCTGGAGGTAGTCCGGAGGAAAGCAGTCGCAAGTTCAAAGAACTTGTTCAGCTCTTCATGGACTGGCCTGATGAGTCTGACACCACTTCTCAGTCAGCAGTACCGTTAGTGCTTTGCGCCAACAGTTCCTCCACAGTCAATCCTCCTGCTGTGCCGACTGCCCTACCCAGCACCTGCATCCACTCACCAGTTGTCACAGGTGTTAGCTCTTTGGTATCTACTGTGCCCAACATTGCATGTCGCCAGCTCTCTGCTACAACCAGTCGGGGCCCGTTTCCACCAGCAGTTGCTGTCTCCCGCACATCTGTTCCGGCCCACGTAAGCACAGTACAGGCCATGCTTGCAGTGCGGCCCGTGACACTGTCTTCTGGTGCGGCCAGGCCTGCTGGGCTTTCTTCTGGTCGACTGCCGGCCATCGCAAGTACTACCGTTTGTCGTGAACCGAGGCTGTCACCCGCTGCATGTCTGAACCCTCTTCCGTCAGCAGTTGCTATGTCCAGCACATCTCTCCCGGCACGGGTTTCCACGCCGCTGACCGCCACTGCTATGCAATCAGTATGTTCTGGTGTGGCCAACCCGCCTGCTGGGGTTTCTACTGACGGAGCAGCCATGTCCATACCTGTCCTCACGTCTTGTGTCGATGCTGCGCCCCGGGGTCGCAGCTCACTTCCATCTTCTGGAGTGCGTGTTTCGTCGGCCATTGCGCCACTGTCCGGAGCTTCCTCTTCTGGTCCAGCACCGAATCAGTGATTCTAGGATTAGTACCACTCCGTGACTATCATGGTATTCAGTCATTTTGTAAGACTTCCACCCTAGCGTCATCAAGCTGTTGTCGTGAACATTTGAGAACTTGAGTGGAATAAATCATAGTATGACCTATTGTCAATTGCCGTATTCAACCATATTTATTGGGAATCCTGCAACGCCCATCTGATTTCTCTGCTTGTAAATTAATTCAGACCTATCTCGATGTCCCATTGCGAGTTTATTGACAAATTCAGGCGCTATATGTTGGTGATAGGCCCTATTTTACTGATTTGTAAAATTTTGTACACACTTTTATATGTGTGGAAATTTGCATGTAAAGTAACCTCATGCTGTGTCTCTCATTTTTGTGGTGTGAGCTCGAGAAGACTCTACGCGGATAGAGGGCATACAGACTGACAGAATGAGACCTCGCACCTTTCAAAATTCACCAGAGGGGCGGAATAATAGATAGGAAGATAATATTAAAAATACTACACAGGTGTGGACAATATGTCTCCGGAATGGCGAGAGTCACACTAAAACACAAAATTGGTTTTAGATCCGGCTTTCAACCACTGCCAGCTCCCTGAGCTCGTTAGCTGGACGATGGTATGCCGACCGAGACCCACGGACACACATGACAGCGGACGGAATAATAGTCTTTTTTACTTTGATGTAAAATTTTTACAAATCACCTCGTACCGTCCCGCGATTTGCGTGACCGATCCCCTTTTTTTTGTACATTCGTCAACACATTTTTCTAGTCGAAGCTCGAATCATTCGAATGAAACGAAAATTCAAGAAGCATTTTCATCTTCGGCTACTTCATTGACACTGTTGAACTAAGGAAACAGTAGGTAAGCTCGAAGAAATTGCTGAAGATCGTGGATGGAATCCTAATATTCGCCCTCCACCTGCTGTTGGCTGACCTACGCTCAGTACATTTCGAAAACAATATTATTGTGAAACCTGAGTATAAGAATTCCCCACTACCGGTATGTCTGAGCTGGACCACCAACAAGATCTGGGAGAGTTCGCGCAAGTAACTGGCCTGGACCTTGAGCGAGCGCAGTTTTACTTGGAAGCTGCCAACTGGGACGTGCAGGTAACAAGTTCATGCTGCTTTACTTGGCTTCCTGGTGCGTGACAGAAACTGATTTTTCGAAATGAACTATACAAATACCACGGCTCGATGATTGTGTACACGTTGACCGCATTTTGTGTGAAGTCCTCCGCCGTAAAAGCCCGTAAATAAGTACCTGCCCGAAATAAATACCTGTACCCCGTTCATTCATTTACTTTGTCTGTTGAAGTCAAGTTAAGCCCAATAAACATAATGCTCGAAATACGTACCCGTATGGTGTGCACATGCAGCGTGTAGCATGTACATGGAAAATGACTTCTCCACTACACACAAATCAGGTCCGAAAGTCAGTACCCGCCCGAAAGTTAGTACGGGTGTGGACACTAAGTTCGAAAGTAAGTACGTACTTATTCCCGTAGCTATGCAGAAGACGTTACTTCAGTAACGTCTGGCGCTAGCCAGGGTCCACACAGCTTTAATTTGGTGTTTGTTTGTGTGTTTGTTTGTGTCACGCCTGGCGCTATCCGTATCTGACGGCAAAAAAGCATAGGATGTTATAAATTTTTCAATTCTCCTTTTTTTCAGGCATATCCTGGGATTCGAACCCGCACTATCGCCCTACATGCATTCCCCCATACACTTCGCATTCATACCCATTCTTCCAAGTTGCGTTACGTTATTATCTTGCGTTTGAAAGCCCTATTTGAATATTGCGGGAAGCTGTATGTGGCCAGCTGTGTTTGATGGTACGGTACGGGAGACGGTGTCGTATTACCCTCGATCGTACCTGTCCCGTCCCTATCCCCTACCGTACCGTGCCATCAAAGACGGCTGGCCACAATGCATATAACTCAAATAGGGCTTTCAAATGCAAGATCACAATGTGAAACAACTTGGAAGAATTAGTATGTATGCGAAGTGCATCGGGGGATGAATGCAGGGCGCGCGATAGTGCGGGTTCGAATCCCAGGTTATGTCTAAAAAAAAGGAATTTTTTAAAGAATTTATAACATCCCTATGCTTTTTTTTTGTCTAGGTCATCAAGGCAAAAAAGCATAGCGTAGGGCCCTGAGCTTCCAAGCTCTCTCGTTTACGGACTTTTACGGTGACATATTGTGCCGGACATCGGTGACGGGTACTAGTATATTGCCCGAATGGATAGTGCATCGCCTATAGTCGAGTAGTAAGCTGGTAGTCGTGTTTTCGCTTATGCGAACACCTAGTGACTGTACAGTCATGCAGACAGCAGTCCCTGCACTGTTTGCAAAAGTGAATACTTTTGGATAAACTGAAGGTTCTCATTTCCATGGTCTTGCGCAGTCCAGTGTTACTGGACTTTGAAAAGCATATTATCACTGCTTCACTTGACCTTGATCACCCTACACAGGTGCATAAAATCTGCACTGTATTGCACGTGCCATGCATCCCCAGGTTGTGGTGTGGATAGGAGTGAAGGGTGTGGATAGGAGTGAAGGGTGAGGATAGGAGTGAACGGTGAAGATAGGAGTGAATGGTGAGGATAGGAGTGAAGGGTGAGGATAGGAGTGAAGGGTGAGGATAGGAGTGAAGGGTGAGGATAGGAGTGAAGGGTGAGGATAGGAGTGAAGGGTGAGGATAGGAGTGAAGGGTGAGGATAGGAGTGAAGGGTGAGGATCTGCACTGTGTTGCATGTACACATGCGCAGGTTGTGGTGAGGATAGGAATGAATGGGTGAGACACAGTCTGTGCCTCTGTCTGTCATCAGCATGTTCATGACGCACCTCGTACCATCGATGCAAGCACGTGTAACGTCATTGCACTTCACAAGAGATCATTCTTTCAGGCAATGGATGTCATGCATGTGGCGTCGGACAACATTATCCTATTCGACTACATATGTCACTGCTTCACCAGTATTCACCGCAACCACACGTATACTGGCAGTGGTGTCTTGCCGCCATCATACCTTGTATGTGATATCATGGCGCGTGTGTGTGTGGTGGTGGTGGGGGGGGGGGGGGGGGGGAGGTCGTAGGGTACGTACACAAGTGTGCATGCGTTCAACTGAGGTACAGTAAAACCTGGTTTTAGCGACCATCTGCTCTTAACGACCGTTTTTCCATGCACGGACAGTTCTTCACACACACTGTGGGACCTGGTTCTAAAGACCACCTGTCTTTAACGACCGCTTTTCCTTGCACCGTCGGGTGGTTGCTTAAACCAGGTTTTACTGTACTTGATTGTGGAGATGGTAAACATCGCAACCTCCACTACCACGTGTGCGTGTGTCTGAGGGTGTGTTTGTGCATATGCATTCGGATGCCTGCTACTGGGCGTTTGTGGCAATGTGTGGTGTGCCTGCTCTCCTATCCTACATATTATTTATTTCTAATTTGCTCTGTTGTGCTCCTGCTCATTTTTCTCACTTCGTATTTTTTTCTGTTTGGCGCGCATGAGCAGTGCTGAAACCGAGACCCATGGTCGGTTGAGCTGCTCTTGCCCCGCCTCCACTGCTTCGGCTGCCATCCCTATGTGTATCCCTGTGCATTTTGGCGCCGGTGTTTGCACCATGATGGTTTGTGGCTACTTTGTAAAAAAATAAAAATAAACCACAGTGCAATGTACGCTGCTCACAGTCAGCTAGTATCAAGTCTTTTATAATCCTTCTTTCTTTAACTGCCCTTGACTGAATTCCACGACTCTACTTCATCTCACCAAGCTTTGCTCGTACGTGTACTGTACTTGTGTGCGAACGCCTTTCCAGGTTGCTCTCAGCTCCTACTATGAGGACAATGACGAGGACTCTTCCATCTCTGCCATAGACGCGGGAGTCACGCCGGCGCGACAGTCAGCACCACCAGAGCATCCACCCCCAGGTGCCGCCGCCTCAGGAACAGACCAACCGAAGTCTCGGTATGTGCTGCGAAAAAATATAATAATAATAAGGTGGCAGTCAATTTTTTCTTCAGACTTTTCCCGTTTGTCTCTTTCCCTCAAACCAGTTAATAATAAAATTACGTGTGCAACAAGAACTCAGATGGTGAGCCAAGGAAAAAATTTGTAACATGGAAAAATGTGGGCACAATTCATGCCATGGAATGTCTCAGTACTGTACTCCTTGTCAGTTTTGTGCTAGATTGTGCACGTTTGACTGTTCGAAATATGGTTTAATTGGTGGACTCGATCGCATAACTTGTGCCCACATTTTTCCATGTTATAAAAAATTAACGGTTCGCGTTATGCTCAGTTAGAGTGAGCTTTCTGCATCCGTGGGAACGCCACCACCCTCATAGGATCAAAGACACAGATGCAGCTCCTAAAGCAGCAAGTAAGAACACCGTAAAACCTTTGACAAGTGACCACCGCCCAGACGTTATGAATTGTCCAGATCTGGATACTAGCGGTCGCTGTATGCACGATCCTTCTTGTAGACCAGCGAACATTATTAGGGCTGGTGTTCAACTGTACAGATGCTGTATGAATCCTGGTGTTGGCCGAGACGAAAGGGAGTGCGCGACTAAACACGAACTACTTATATAATACTCGAGCCTCTGTCTGCTGTGCGCACAGTCGCTTACCGGCAGGATTTGAAACTCAGCCGCATGGGGCATGGGGGTACTATTACCAAATATGGAATCCCCACCTATCAGCGCATACGCGTGGGAGCTCCAACTACGACAACCCATACAAAACGGACCTAGGCACCAACAACCTGCCTACGGAGCCACCCATCGAATACTGAAATACTTGAACGTACCCTGCAGCATGACCTCTCCCCAGCCCTCGACACGCTTCTTCTCCTATAGATTTCTCCCATGAATGCCTTGCTTGTCTTTTGTTGTCATTTTTCACTCTCTACTGTTCTGGTTTTGATTGTGTGTGTGCCTGTGTGTTTGTGTGTGTGTGTGTGTGTGTGCGTGTGTGTGTCTGTGCCTGTATGTGGGTCTGCTTGTATGTATGTGTGTCTGTGTGTGTGTTTGGGTGCCGGTGTGTGTCTGCTTGTGAATGTGTGCATGCACTGGACACTTGACTATCAGCTCTGGTGGTGCAGGCCGTAGTGGAAGTAACATTGCCACCATGGCTAGCTTTCAGGGACAGGAGTCCAGTGTGGACCCTGACCAGGGTCAGGAGTTCTTTGCAGGCGGCAGCGAGCACAGGTAAGCATACGGCGGTCAGCCGGTTGAGAGAGATAGCCGTAGGTGCACGGGTGGACAGACGGACGGACAGTCGGACGCGCATATGCACACACACACGCACACACACACACACGCACACACTTGTACTTGTACTCGTCAGGCGAAATAGCACGTCATAGTACATTTGAGATCAGCGGGAAGAAGATGACGACGTCCACTAATTTAGTATCTGTGCACACGAATCTGCTGTGTGTGTGACTCTGTGTTTCAGCTATGATATCATCTTCTGTGGTTCCATGCCTAGCATGTACGTCTGAACCATCCTGCAAAGTTTGAATGACGTAGGTTGAGCGATCGCTCCGCGAAACATACTTTTTGAAATTCTCTTCATAGTATATCTTCCACCATTGAAATTTCGAATTTCTTCAAAAAAAGTGCTGAGAGGGGTGGCTTGCAACCTCGATATGGCTTGTTCCAGGCATGCTTTGGAGCCATCTTCTGTTGAAGTAGTGGCGGGGATCTGCCCTGCAACTGCTACAACAAAAAATGATTCGATCTGAGAAAGGGTGAGACCGCGAATCTCGGTTGAATATTGAGTATTTCAAGCCTTTTCACGACGAAGATGGAGTTCTTTTTGGAGATGGACGTCGCGGCAAAGGACATGGTGTCTGACTTCTGGCGTCTGGTGAAGCCAGGGATCATTTGTCCAGTCAGGTCAGCAGCCTAACCGTCGTCGGTAAGCTTGTGTTTGGATCCCGTTCTGCTCGATGTGGTAGATCACAAACAATTTGATATCGCACAAATTGATCTCAGCATCGTGCGTACGGTATTTCATATTCAGAAAATCCCAAAGTGTCTCTGTGTGGCCATCCTATGCCACGAGAAACTCCAATCAGGCTCCTATGTCCTCTGCCTTCATGATTGAATGTCCACTACGTTTGAACAACGAACACAACAATCGAGGACGGCTTTGCAATGAAAAATACAGCTATACTGGAGCTGAAAAAAGAAGAAAAAAACGTGCTCAGGATGAGACTCGAGTACACGCATACTCTCCCAGCAGGTGAAACGTGAAAAATGCGTGTCGCCGACTGACCAGTAATTTCGCCTAGCGCCTGACGTGTTGCTCACTGCCAAAACTGGTCACGTGGGTCTCCCCGGGAGAGGGGAGAGAGAATCTTGGAAAGATGACTCGATTGGCTATTGAACCACCCAACGGCCGACACCCTCTGAAATCCACAAAACTCCAGGTTGACTTGAAAATGATCCCACTTATGGGCTTACCACACCTCAATAAGTGGCACACACACACACACACACGCATACACACACACACACACACACACACACACACAGAGGCCACTTTGTTCCCTCTTTTTAGGAGTATGTTAGATTTCTGCCTGCCTTGGCTTTGTGCTCACGACTTGTACTTGGTAGATTGTCGTGTTTGAATTGAAGACATTCTATGTTCTGTGAGGCTCACTGGCTTCAGCTCAAAAATTATTGTCGTGCTTGTTGACTTGGAATGTGTGATGTTTCAACTGGGCGTGTGTAAATGCGCTTGTGTGTGTGTGTGTGTGTGTGTGTGTGTGTGTGTGTGTGTGCATTTGTGAGTGCACGTGTGTGTGTGTGTGTTTGTACACTGTGCACGATTGCTCTGTCATGTGCAGTGGACAAGTGATTAGTGGACCTCCGAAGAAAAAGCGTGTGGATGCGGCTGGCTTAGCGGAAAGTGTAATGAAGTCTGCGCAAGAGTAAGAAACCAAGAAAAGACATTGTTGATGTATTTCTCATCTCAACTCATCGTAATAACGTAGCATTTCTTCGGAGGCTGTCTAATTTTTCTCTCTCCACAGCCCAGACAGAAATGGCAGTGGAGTATGCTCCGCGACAATTAGTCGTCCCTCTTCGCCGCTTACACCATACGAATGTGTTGGGTTTCTGTGCATGGCTCTATCACAGATTTGCATCTTCAGTACGCTTCCATATGGTGTTGCTGCCACTCTGAATTTGGCTACACCAACTTAATCATTTTGAATTCATTTTTTTTTTTCACCGTCCAATGGCAGAAGCCAATGCAAAGGAGAGGGCGTTGGCCAGCCATGGCACTTTGTCGTAAATGAGGAGTTTGAGATGCGGTTTTCAGTGCACAGTGTAACGACACTGTTTGTTAGTGAGATGTGCACACTGTTGTATTTCTGGTGCTGTTTCACTCTAGGCATGGTGCTGAAACGGTTGATAATCAAGAGAGTAAGCAGAAGGACACATCATCTGCGTTTACTGGCTCTGGTGAGGGACATCCTGTGGCAGTTTCTACTTCTCACCACTGGCCTAGCTTGGTTGCATTCCTTGTTTTCCCTACTGACCTCAGAGAGGGAGAAAGAGAGAGAGAGAGAGAGAGTGTGTGTGTGTGTGTGTGTGTGTATGTATGTGTGTGTGTGTGTATGTATGCGTATGGGTGTGAGTGTGAGAGAGAATGTGTGTTAGAGGGAGAGTCCTTTGAATATTATATCCTGTCTGAATGAGCGAGATTTCATCTTACTGACATCTGCGATTTTGAATGTGTGTTTTCCCACTGGTACATTGTTCGTTGTGCTTTTGCAGGGTATCGTCTAGGGGAAACACCAGAGGAGAGTCAGATGGTCGTAAAAGCTGAGGCAGCAGCAGCCAAAGAATCGGTAATCTGTGACTAAGGAGACTGTTGATGTTGCTGCTGATGCTGATACTGCTGATACTGCTGATGCTTCTGATGCTGCTGCTGCTGCTGCTGGAGATATGTACTTGCAAGTATAAATAATCGAGGTGTGGCGAATAAGGTTGTGTTGCTACCCACAGGCTATCTGCTAGCGGCAAGCAGCTGGAGTTGTATCGTATTGATGCGACACAGTTTAACTGCAATGCGAGATGACCTGTCTACAGAGACTGAGTATCTTTCTGTTACCGTAGCCGTTAGATTTGTAACACCCTCTCTCTCTCTTTCTATGTGGGGTTTTTAACACACTCTCTCTCTCTCTCTCTTTCTATGTGGGGTTTTTGTTCTTGGTATTAAGGTGTCGGTCACGATCACATTTTGGAATAATGGATTTTCAGTGGATGATGGCGACCGGCGTGATGGCTCCACCGAGGAGGACAAGCGTTTCTTGAAGGACATTTCAGAAGGGTGAGGGGCGTGTTAATTAATCTGTGGTTGCTACCAGCCAACGTGTGGCCAATGTGTGTGTGGTGTGTATGTGTGGGGGGGGGGGGGGTGCTTGTGTGTGTGTGTGGGGGGGGGGGGGGTGCTTGTGTGTGTGTGTGGGGGGGGGGGGTGCTTGTGTGTGTGGGGGGGGGGGGTGCTTGTGTGTGTGTGGGGGGGGGGGTGCTTGTGTGTGTGTGTGGGGGGGGGGGTGCTTGTGTGTGTGTGGGGGGGGGGGGGGGTGCTTGTGTGTGTGTGCATGACTGTACTACCTATCATGTGCACAGTTGGGTTTGAGCATAGATTGTTGCAAAATCATACTGGTTGTCCACGATTATCTACGAGAAAGTCTAACAACTTTCTTATACCTAACCTGCGATGTGCTACAAAGGTGACCTTCACGTCCAGTGGCTTCTGACAACTACTGTCGTGGACATGGAAATCCAGTCGATTGACCGGGGCCGGCGCCCTCAGCGCATACAGAACGTTGCGTGCAGTGTGCACAGCCATGTTGAGGCCGAAGAGACCAGCGCGCTGTAGCGTGTACTGCTCATGCTTACCGACGGCTGCATGGCCAGCGCCCTGGGGCCGCTAGACGTGCGACCGGATTTCCATGTCCACGACAGTAGCAACAAATGCCAGTACAGTCAGACCTCGCTTAACCACACACGTCCGTTTTCCACGGAAATATCCGGATAGGCGAGGGAACCGGATAATCTAACACCGGTTTTGTTGGATGCATCACATAATGCTGTACATCTGTAACCAGCTATTTTCTTCCAGATAGCCAAGGGATCCGGACGAAAGAGGACCGGATAAGCGAGGTCTGACTGCACTGGCAATATTTCACTCTTTAAGTCTTTAGATAGTATATTGGTGGCCAAAGTTTAGGGGTCAACAGTATTGACTTATCTATCAGCCTTCCTTGATGGGACACTGCATGATCTCTTTAGATTCTTTTGCTTCCATAATATCTGAAATGCATCTGATATGCTACATGTACTATTGCGCTTGGTGCAATCCGACCCAAAGTGCAAAACTGGCGCCCTATACCCGTTCCGATTGCATCTTTGTATTTCTATACGTGTACGTCGAGCTGCTCGTTCGTACCACTTCCAGGGGCACCAAGGGCCGTGCAAATTGAGGGCGCCAAATGTGCACTCTGAGTCGGATTCGCCGAGCGCAACTGTACGTGCAATAGCCCTCAACAGAGTTCCGTGAACGCTGACCCTAGTTTATGTGGTACACACAGTATTGGAAAGGAGGATGAGAAAAAGGTGATTTTCTAGCATGTACTACTAATGGATGTAATTTCCCTCGTCTGTATGTCACTGTCTGTGCTCACAGGGTTATCCCCGGCGAACTCAGGCGCGTTTACAATCAGTCGGAGATTTCTGTGACCATGTCGAGGAAGGACTCCGACTACGTTCCGCCGAAGAAGAAGACCAAGGCGTTCACCGGGTCGGGCAACCGTCTGGGCAGGTGAGCGATGCGTGCGTGTATGTTTAGTGTTTGTTCACGTGTTTGTGGGGGGGGGGGGTGCGTGTGCATGTATTGAGTATTCGTGCACGTGTGCTGGCTTGTGCGTGCGCATGTGTTGAGTTTGTGCACGTGTGCTGGGCTGCGTGCGCCTGTGTCAGACTCCTTACCATTTGGCATTGCACACTTCGAAAACCAATCACTGCTTTGACTGTACTACATCACTATCAAGGCCATTTTTGCAGTATCCCGACACTGCCAGAGCTTTTCTGCACGTTGTCCCTCACTCACTTACCGCAGTGTGGCAAGTGCAGAACGTGACATAACATGACAGGACCAGGGCCATAACGTTATTATAAGGTCTGTCCATAGGTCAGGATTTGTTGTGTGTGTGACTGTGTGTGTATTCATCACCCTTGCAAGCTGTTGAATGGTGTAATCCCAGCACAAGTTGCTATGTCTAGCATAGCTGTTCGCTATCATCGCTTCCGCGATGGGCAGGTCTGAGGTATAGGGGGGGGGGGGGGGGGGGGGCAGGGAAGGAAGAGGTCGATATCCCGCTGAGCGTGTTCTTTCAAAGACTCCCGCTGATTTTCTCTCCCCTCTCCAGGGACAAACCACTACATTGTAAGCCAGTTTCTGGCGGTGAACAGGTGCATGTAACTGTTATGGCCGTTTAAAACTATGTGTGCCGTGTGTGTGTGTGTGTACGTGTGTGTGTACGTGTGTGTGTGTGTACGTGTGTGTGTGTGTGTGTGTGTGTGTGTGTGTGTGTTACATGTGACAGTCCAACGCCTGGTGTCATCGGTGGCGCAGCATCAAGTACTGGCGCAACTTCTCACTCGGCAGCTGCCACAGCCATGCCAGCAGCAGCAGCAACGGTGGCAGCATCTGCACCCATTGTAGAACTCGACACAGGCAAGCCATTAACAACGTTACAGATCCGCCTGTCCGATGGAACAAGGTACACTTGTGTGCTGGATACCTGTGTGGTGTGTGTGGTCGTGTGGTTTGTGTGCGTGTAGTAGTAGTAGTTTTTATTATTTTACTAGGGGAGTCCCAACAGGCTACTGCCTTTTTACTGGGAACCCTAGATGAAGCTTAACCATGTTTTTGAACAGGGTAAGAGAGTGGGCCTGTCGACAGTCAGCTGGAAGAGAGTTTCAACTGCCTGCCGCCAGAAAAGAAAGTGTGTGTGGGTGTGGCGTGTGGCGTGTGAATCATTTGCCATTCAGTTGTAGCCAGACATTTCATTCCCCCGTCCTTCAATCTAAAGCAATAAGCTGCTGGTGCACTGTCAGTGGAGAGCACTGCTCTCTAGCAATCCCGGCCAATGAAATGAAGGAATAGCCCAGGTTGCATGTACATCACCACTATGATTGTATTGGTGCATGCCCGGCACATGCATACACATGCAAGACACATATGTGCACTGGGCACTGTAGCTGAGGCCAAGAGTACATAAATATCATAACAAAGAACAAAACAGCATGCTGTCCGCAGATTGAGTAAATGTCATAACATATGTACTCTTGCTGAGGCCCATTCCGTACTACTGTGTGCAGTGCTGCTCGGTGAAGTCTGGTCACGTGAGTGAAGTACGCGCTTGGCGCTGTATAGCCCTTGACCTGTGAACAATGGGATGTTCACTGGTTGGTGCAGGGTGCGAGGTTGGCTCATTGGATTGGATTTCATTGAGCAGCACTGTAGCACTATACGTAGTACCTTTCTGACGCAAGCAGGCATTTTGCTGCGAGTACACGTAGATGTTGACCAGGCCTTCCGGAATGCTGTGGTCTGTGTGTGTGTGTGTTTGTGTGCGTGTGTGTGTGTGTGTATGTGCGTGTATGTGTGTGTGTGTGCGTGCGTGTGCGTGCGTGTGCGTGCGTGTGTACATGTGCAGGCTAGTTGGTAAATTCAACACAACGAATACCATCACGGCTATCCGCAGTTTCATCAACGCGTAAGTGTTAACCCTGTTGTTTGTCCCATGCTTAGTCACCCTCAACAGTGCTTAGTCTTCATTACGCACTCCTTCTCACATTTGTTTTGAACATTTAATGCTGTGTTTGGCAATCTGCCCTGAGTGAACGGCTGCTACCAGTACCGACAGCAGAGCAACCAACCTCATGAACTTCTCCATTGACGGCAGTAGTATAGTGTTAGATGTGTTTGTGTAGTGTGTAGTGTGTTGGTGTTGGGGATATTGGGCAAATACCCTCTACTGTACTCTGTGCGTGTGTGGTGTGTGTGTGCAGGTCCAGACCGGGGATGGCTCACCAAGAATATTACCTGATGACCTCGTTTCCCAGCAAGGAGCTGTCCGACGAGTCACTGAGTCTGGAAGCTGCTAACTTGCTTAATGCCGTCGTCATGCAGAGAATGCGATAGGGTGGTCACTGGCCTCTCCTTTCTCTCCCTCTGCTCTGTCTTCATTCCCTTGTGCGCTTCAAGTCACCTGAACCAGTCTTGTGAGCGTCTTCAAGCCTTTCGCTGTTCAAACGTAGCAAGTAGCACTATGTTCAGCTCATTCTCTGTGTGGCTGTTTATGGGGGTTGTGCGACGACATCATCATGATGTAATCTCATAAAGATTCGTCATAGTTATAATGTCCCTTGTATTGAGTTTCGGAACCAATGTAGCGTGGTGCCACTCCATACGAATCACCCCGGACGACGATGTCATTCGCATCACCTCTATACCGCCAGTGCACAAGTGTGATCACATGGCATGTCTGTGACTGGACGCTAGCTTACCAACGACGGCATCATCAGCGTTGGTGGTAATTATGCTCTCACGACTGGGTGTTTAATCGCGTTCTCAACGCACGTCTGGCATTTCCAGCAATGCAACTGCCCACGTGCAACTGTGTACAAAAGAAGAAAAAAACGCTGTCTCACTCTCACACCCACCCTTACTCTCCGACTTACTGTGTACAAATTCCCACACAGCCACGCAAATGCACACCGCCTGTTTGTTTAGTTGCCGTTTTATCTCTATTTTTATTGCGCGTGTACCTCCGTGTGTATACTGTGTCGGGACCAAGACCGAACGTGGTGCGCACATGCATTCCTCAAACTCAAAGTTTTCTTTATCTTCTATCCTGCTGGGTTGCATTTCCGTTTTCCTTTTTTTGGCTTTTCCAGTACGTTGTGTTGACCCGGATCTCACATACGTTCTGTTACTTTGAATGTTGCTTTGTAGCCATACGACTCTCAAGGACAGGTCCATTCTGTCTATCGCTCTGTCAAAAGTGAGCATTGAGCTCTCACATTCCCTTTGCTGTAAAGTACTTTGAAGTAACCCACATCATTGGTCTGGTCTGGTCTGGTCTCTGCTTGCAAGTGTCTTGTTCAAGTACCAGGTCTATAGTATGTGGATGATGTGCACCGGCCGGGCGTGTCATCATGTCCGGTACCAAGAGTTCATATGAACTCTTGCCGGTACACTGTACATGATGCATTACTCGTTGCAGATTTACATGACTGGATCCTGTGCATGCAGGTTCTAGTGCTTTCAAGTAATAATTATTATTAGTTTTCATTCTGTCGGCAGCTAGCGCGATAGCACTGCATGCAGTGCACCCTGGCTGTGCATGTGTACATAGCCATAGGGCGGTACAGTCATGATGATGATGAGGAAGTGTCGTATTACAGTTCTGGCTGGAGAAATCCAACCGCATGAATAAAGTAGTGCCGCGCTCGAGCAAGCAGAGCGGTGGTGTGTCCAGCTGGCTAGGGTTGCGTGCGTAGCCCATACCCACTTTTATATTCATGAGGTCAGATTTCTCTGCATGACCACCAGGACTGCACTTGGATGACTGGGTTTACTTCGAAGCACAAGTATGGCACATTTGATTGATCAGGTTCGTACCCTGAATCGAATCGAATATTCTAAACAAAAAAAATCTCAAAGAGTCTGCACACCCACGCGCAAACACAGAAGCATGTCAACAACACCGTCAACAACTACGATGAGATCAGAGTAATCGATAACGAAAAGTCATTTTGAATTTCACTGCAATATCAGAATTGAGCCTTTCTCTCCAACAGCCCATGGATCCAAGGCAAGATGACAATACACCATGATAGAGTAAAAAGTAGCATCTAAAAAGCAAATTCATGCACAGTTCACAAAAATGTTGTCTGGAAAACATTTGTACATGTACACAGTACAGGGGCATACGCAAATGAGGTAAGAAAGAGAATAAAAACATAATGATGGGAACAGGGAGACAGACAGAGAGAGAGAGAGAGAGCTCACACAGCTGGAGACTGACAGCTGCCATGAGTAGTCGCAGAGAAAAAGACGAAGACAAGAAAGGAGCGCGTGAGATAGTTCTATTCATCTGCACACAGTGAATTTGGTCCAGCAGCACACTTGTAAGAACGCTGGACATGCTATGTACAAACAATGGTCGTAACATAGGCTGCTGGCCACGCAGCAGTAGGGCACACACGAACATCTGACGCTGAGCATTGGACAGGTGTAGAGCAACGGGGACCCTGGTTCGTCATGCTCTGACATGCAGCATCAGCAGCAGTAATGGGGAACAACAGTAACACACCATCCAGAAAGAGGAGCACTCCACAGAGCAGTGTTCAAGGCACCGCAAACGTACCGCAAATCGCAGCATCACGTACACTCACACAGATATATGCCGTGGCGAAGAGAACGGGAAGCAGGTCACCCAACTATGTCACGAAGTCATTGTATTAATCAACTTTGTACAACCTCTCAATATTCAGAGACGGAGAAGCGGCGTTCATGCCAACAAGAAGGACGATGAGCACCATTAGTTGTGTGTGTGGATGAAGCTTTGAACATCCTCACAACAGACGCGTACTATTCCGCATCTTCCGGCTGATCAGCAGCCACCAGATCATCATCTGCTTCCTCATTGCCCTCATCATCATCATCAAAGTCCTCGTCGTCTTCCTCATCATCGCCTTCAACATCTTCAATCTGCACAACTTCACCGTTGACTTCTTCCTCGTCACCGGCCTGGGGCTGAACGCCGTCTAATACCTCTGCACCTTCGGAATCGTAAGACTGGTCATCCTCAAAGCCTTCCTCGTCTTCATCCTCTCCCTCTTCCTCCTCTCCATCACTGATATATACTGGATCAGGATTCTGGAAGGACCCAACATGACAAAAAGAGAGAGAGAGAGAGAGAGAGAGAGAGAGAGAGAGAGAGAGAGAGAGAGAGAGAGAGAGAGAGAGAGAGAGAGAGAGAGAGAAAGAGAGACAGACAGACAGGGAGAGAGAGAAGAGTTAGGGCCACGTAAGGCACGTTCAAATACACACAGTTCTGTCCATTCCAGAACTCCCTACCGTGCATACACTGTTTGATTACATAGATTTCCTCGTCAGAAACAACAGAATCCAACTCCGAAGTGAAGGCAGAATTTATAATTCTACCGTCAGGATTTAAGCAATTGGTGTATGCCATCTTGATGCCATGCATGTGTGCTGCCTGTATACTACAAGTGGAGAGTCGTACAAATAATTGAATACGTGATCCTTCTACGGTTATGGCGAGAGGAGCATGAGTACAGAGTTCACGACTAATTGTTCGTTTACATGGGCGTAATCCGCTCACTCCGGTCATTCCAGAATTTTATGATCCGGTGCAGAACGTGTAATCGAATGCATCCAAAGTGTATTCAAACCAGTGCCAGAAAGCAAGAAGGCGACTTTGGCGCAACAGGAAAACACTCAGAGAGGATTCCTTCCAGGATACAAGATGCGCGCATGCACACAGACACACATCCGTGCACACCGTATATAGTACGCATAGAACACCACACTTGTACAGTAGTACATGTATCAGGCAGGCAGCCCATCAGGGGCACAGGGGGCACGCGAACTCCTCTAAAATCTTCCAGCCTTCATTCATCGTGTGCATGTTTGGGCCAAGTGGCTCAGGGGTCGCAATTCAGTGCCTGCCGGGAAGCCAGAATCGAGTGCCAGTGTGCAATGCACAGTGCTGCTCAGTCAACACAGTCTTGTTTAAAACGGGAAGCAGCCTTACCGTGGTTTGAAACTGCTGGTATTCGTACTGCTGCTGGCCCGCTTCTTCAGGGCTGGAGATGTACTCTGCCTCTTCGTCGTCATCCTCATACGGTTCCACAGGGTTGCCATCCTCGTCAACAAACGTGCCGTCCTCGTTCTGAAACACAAAGCCGGCCGGGCCAACATTATCCTCCACGCCGTCGACATCGTCGTCGTCTTCATCCTCGCCGTTCTCAGAACCCGGACCGTTGGCTTCTTCAACCATGGCAGTCTGACAAAGGAGCAAACACAGATGACGTTACTCACTGCATGGTACCGTATTTTACCGGCTTGAGGACAGTTGTACCCCGATTGTAAGTCAAACTATCCCTTTTTAGGTCGGATTTTAGGTCAATAAAAGGTCGACTTGTAACCGGTAAAATACGGTATTCATCAATAGGCTTTCTAAGCCTGCTCATATACTGCACAGAGTCAAACAGCAAGGACTTCGATACAGGAAAGAGATATGATTCGATCTCTCATACTCTCAAGGTGTGTATAGCAGTGTCTCATCTACCACGTATTCTGTGTTGCCCCGGACAAAGGTGTTGGACACATGAATGCAACGGTCACGAAAGCCGTCAACTTCCAAGTCCCTGATGTCCAAACAGCATCACTGTACATCTCCCGATCACTCCCGCCCTATCATATCTACCCACTGCCGTAATCCAGGACGAGCACAACACCCCCCCCCCCCACCCACACACACACCATGTACCACACACACACCATGTACCACACACACCTACACACCCACACAACACCCACAACTCACCATGTAGTACTGTACAGGATCACTCCACAGCTCATCCTTGATCAGCTCGCCAAGGCCAGATGAATCTGTCTTCTCCACAAACCAGGAGAAGAATGAGGTGGAGTCGCGGCCTTTCCGTGCGCCAAACTGATCAACTAAACTCTACAAAGGAAAGGAGAATCACGAAAAGAGGCAGATGTAACTTCCCTCTCATCGCCATAATCAGCCATCATGTTACAAAAGACTTGAAAATACAGTAAAACCGGCCCTAACCGGACGCCCTTGGTGCAGCGGAAACTGTCCTGATACGGCAGGATTCCGCTTGATCCAGGGATGCAAGTTCGTTCCACAGCACTTTGGTGCATGAAGCCGTGTCCGGTCAATACAGGACTTCGCTGGGTACAGGGTCCGGCAAACACAGGTTTTCACTGTACATTCATAGACATGCAAAACCTACTGATCTCAAACACCACAGGCAAGTTAGGTCTGCATGGTTGTGTGGGTCAGATCTAGGGGTCTTCTTATTCAAGCACTGCAATTATCTTTGGGTCATCCGTCATAATAAAAATAATAATTACCTGAACTCTCACGATTTTCAAAGAGCATTAGCTACATGGGCTGTCCCAGCAGAACTATTGTATGTGTGTCAATTTGAACTCGGATGTTGAGCCAATGGAATCATGGATAAGTAAGGAAGGACAAAATGTTACGAGTTATGACCAACTGTCCACCAATGTCAGTTTTGTGAACTGTTGTCGCACTTTCTGACTGTATATTATCTGGTAACATTGGTGGGCAGTCAGTCATTACTCGCAACATTTCGTCCTTCCTTTATTTATTGTATGTGTATTTGTATATATTCAGCATCTCCTGGCTAGTCAAACGACTGCCAACAACAAATGAATGTGAAATGAAGGGTGATAGCAAAGCACGTTGACGTACCATGTTAGGTCTCCAGTCAATGGGCGTGTGCTCGGTGGTGGACGGACGCTCATTGCTGCTACTGAGGTTGTAGGTCTTGGTGAGGACCTCGTTGGTGAAGTGCTCGTTCTCGCTAAACCGCTGCACAGCCAGCAATTGATACATGTATCATTCTCAGACTGAGAGGAAGGACACTGGTTACGGCAATTACAAGCACAGAGTTCATATCCCAGGTACACTGCATGATGCTATGCTACCCCAAAACAGACATGGCCAAGTCAATGCTCTCAAGACTCCTACCACACATCAACTGTAATGGATGCACACACACCACACACACCACACACACACACACACACACCACACACACACCACACACACACACACACACACACACACACACACACACACACACACACACACACACACACACCACACACACCACACACACACACACACACACACACACACCACACACACACCACACACACACCACACACACACCACACACACCACACACACACACACACACACACACACACACACACCACACACACACCACACACACACCACACACACACCACACACACACACACCACACACACACACACCACACACACACCACACACACACACGCGCGCCCACCCAGATAGCAAACAAACTATGCTAGACATAGCAACGTGCGCTGGGATTACACCACTCAACAGCTTGCGAGGCAGATCAGCAAAGGATTTGACCACCACTACTATAGCCTAGTCCCACACCACACGGCTGGTTGAAGTGACTTTCTCCGACCAGTGAATCCCCTATATTGATTTTCCTTTTCTCTTTTTTCTTTTTAACATACATAAACACACGTGCCCACACATACACACACACACGTGCCCACACACGCAACCTTTAGATAGAAGATTGAGTGCAAACAGGTTGCCAAAAGTGAACCGTACATGCACAACGCAAGCTGCTTACAAACTCAATCTTGTAGCCGGACTTGATGTCCTGGAATTCTTCAACATTGACGTCGATGAGATGTGTCAGTGGCTCTTCATCTTCCTCTGTGATGATTGGTCCAATAAGTGGATGGCTGAGAAGCTATCACAGAATCAAGTCAAGGCAAAACTACGGACAGCGAGATAACTGCATACTTAATTTTCGCAAAGGTGCGAGCCACAGAAATTGCTGTTGACTCGCCCGAGTGCCCCCCCCCCCATACAGCAACAGTGTTGGGTACACATCGAGGCCACCATGTAATCCACCCGAAGTACAGGTAGGTAGCGGGGACCTGCGGGAGGACGGATGCGCCACACCACTTCGAACCCATTCAATCCGAGGACTTGGTAAGTCGCGTGACCCCACTCCCCGGCCTCCCTGTGCATACTACGTTGGGTGCAGTAATAACATCATCGTCGGGAGATCGGGCCATCTTAAGCTGAACGTCAGGATGGGATTGTCTAAGTTAGGGCGTGTTACTGCTAGAAGATGCAACGATTAAGACAGCGTTGCCCGGCCCTAAAGGTGAACCCGTTACACCGGACAGGATAAAACATCATGGCATGTTCTACTAAATACATGAATTCAGCATGACACATACCGGCACACACACACACATGACCAGCACACACACACACACACATGACCAGCACACACTGGCTATGGTCAAAACACTGAACTACGCTTGCACATACAGTGAGACCTGTCTATGACGACCGCTCAAGGGACCTTCAAAATGTGGTCTCTGTTACCAGGTGGTCTCCTTATCCAGGGTCATTTGACTGGAAATAGCATCCCTCGGTCCTGGTTTCTGTGACCTTCTAGGACAGGTGGTCGCCTTATTCGAGTGGTCGCCTTGACAGATTTTACTGTACATGTGCATGTGTATGCAACTATTATAGTAGTAAGTACAGCACAGCACAGCTACCCGAGTGGTGAGTGCATATTTTTACACTACGTATCCTTGCCATGTTTAATTCATGAAGTCCCCACGACAGTGGATCAGGTCTGCCAATCTTCACTCTGCTTTGCTGCCAAGCGTCATTATTTTTTTTTTTGTGCTGCGCTGACGAGTCCACAAAGGACGAAACAGTTCTGTCCGCAGATTGAGTATTTCGCTCCTGCTCTTGTAGCAGTTGAGCACTCTTGCGTGGGGTAGTGCCTTTGCTGTTTGCATTATGCAGAGCTCACTGACTTGTCAGTTTGAGCACTCTGGCAAGGTACGTTCGGACCTGATTGGAAATTTTTATTTCCATTGCTATCAGGTTCGGCCTCATTACCTCTGTGCTGCGCTGACGAGTCCACAAAGGACGAAACAGTTCTGTCCGCAGATTGAGTAATTTTATTGTTAATATTTTTAAAATTATTGATAAGGCAATCCCCACAGGCCTCCAAGGCCTGCCATGTAGAACATCGTACAGCTTGCAACAAGTTAGTCTCTATAGCAAAAGACAGTAACTGATGCTGACCAGCGCAGAGTATCGCATCTCAACGTCGGTGAAGGACTGAACACGCACCCCACTTGCCGCTTACCTCACCATGACGTCATACTCATAGTCAATATTCTCAACGAACGCACTAAAAGATTTGAAAATCAATCAGGCTTTTTATTACAAGAAATTTCTTTTTGACAAATTCTTATTGCTGTTTCCACTACCCAACTACACAGGTAAATTAATTAGGAGGATACGGCTTGCATCCAGAACTGGGGAATTTCAGTGATGATCTCCGATCTCCGCGAGAAATGGGGTTTGCGAAGTTCATTGAAGCGCTGCTCCACACGCAGGATCTCCTCAGACGCTTTCTCGTTCAGCTCATTCAAGCTATCCTGAGTGTTCTCCAGGTCGGACAAGTACCGCCGCAGCCTGTCCACCTCATCCTCACTCTCTTCGGCTTCCTCCACTCTTGCCTTTTTCGCAGGCGGCGCCGTCCCTGAGGACGGTCGCACTTGTGCGTTCTCCGCCATCACGTCAGAGCAGCAGGCTGTTTGAATCCCGCGCATGCGCTGGAAATCTTTAGTTTTCAAAGCAAATCGAGACGATAGTAGATACTGCATGCAGTACGCGCGCGAAGTGGAGTAGACTCTAATACATGTTATACTATTCGAGACAAGACTGTGTGAGTGAGTGGCAAGCGACTTGGCGAGCTTGTCGACATGACCATTGATGACTGCATGCTGTAGATCTACACTATAGTATATCGGTGACGCCTGCTGTTTTGCAAACACACATGACATGACAGTCGACCGCCCTCGGCAGCGCTTGTATCTCCCGATCATTTTGCCCACGCGAGAGCATCTGGCTCTTGGGACTTGGGCTTTTGTTTTGGGTCGTGTGCTGTTTTGTAGCTAAGTCTTCGCCGCGCTGGCCTGTTTTTGTCAGATCTTCAGCGCGGTTTTCTCACCCGCGCCCGTTCACCATGGTTCGTTGCACAAGAACATAAGATCTGTTCGCCCGGAAAGTTTTATTTCAAGGCTTCTGCCCTGTTGAAGTTCTGGTGTAGTGACTTGCAAGTAGGTGATGTAACACAACCGGTGAGCCGAGATGCAGGCCATCCATGATGATCCATGGTTGGTGAAGCTTCGAAGGCATGATGCAGCCACACTCACAGGAGTGTCACGGTGCTTTTTGTGGCGGCTGCCGCTAGCTGCAGCGCCAGAAGAAGAAGAAAAAACAAGCCCAACACCACGTCGTTTGGCCTTGGGTCAGACTCGTAGTCGTACTGGTCCGTCACTTCTGTAGTTGCGTCACAGTAGTATCTTTTACATGTATTTCAGACTGCCAAAGCGGCCATTGCCGCATTGGGAGTGAGGCAGGGGAGGCGGAGGGGAGTAGAGGGGTGTACGAGCGTAGATAAGATCTAAGACTAAGATCTATGCATGATCGGCATCAGTGGCTAATATTAGTACTATTACTTAGTACCAAGAGGGGGGTTATGTACTCTTGTTAGTACTAGTAGTAGAACCAACTACCAACTACATGTACTAGCAAGAGTACATAAACCTTTTATGTACTCTTGCTTGAGTCTTGGTACTTTTTTTGTAGTACTACTAGTTACAGTCAGTATACTGACTGTAGATCTACTACTACTAGTACTACTACTAGTACTACTAGGGAGTCGGAGGCCTTGTCAGTGCTAGTGCAGCAGTCTTGCGCTTGCGCTGTCAACGAAAATCTCCAACAAGGCACGTGCCGTAGACAATGGTAGAGTTTCTAATTCTGCTGAATGATGCCTGGTGCAAGTGGTTGGCTGTCTTCGAAGCTACGACCAACAAAAAGTGCGAAGTGAAATAAAAACCAACCAACAACAGTCCAAACGCTCGCCATTGCCGCATTGGTTCGGAAAGAAGGCCATGGCACAGTGCCACTGCGCCAGCAGTGGAGTGCAGTCACTTCAACAGGGTCAATGCTGGATACGGCTGAGCAACTGATGCGTGTACGAAGTCAGTGCAGTGCCATTCGGCGCTGAAGATCGCGTGCAAGGGGCACCGACTCACGGCATAAATAGTACTGGCGTCCGGAGAGCCGCGTCCTGCTTTCCTGTAACTCATCTTCGTTTTCAGGACTACATGTACCTCATTTCACCAGGCGCTAGCTCGCAGGCAGTACTGGTATTTACCGTCTAATAAAATTTGTGCTGGGGATTATCACCGACTATCTACAGCATTGACTTCAAGTTGCGCATGTACTGAGTAGATCAATCGGTACATGTGTTAGTTCGGATTGGATTGATCAAAGGCTTTGCGAAGCCACTAGGTGCTTTCCTGTGTGACTCGGTGAAAATAAATACTTCTGGCTCCAGTCGGAGGGATTCTGGATTCTGGCTGTTCTGTCCCGGTCGACGCGGTCGTTCAGCAGCACATTCCAAGCCAGCGACATACACGTCACCGACAGCGGGTTTGATGACGGCTGCAGGCGAGCTTTTCACCATGGTCACCGGTCTCTTTGCACCGTTGCTCGGATTCTTACTGGTCAGCATATGTGTGCTAGTACTTCTGGTTGCTATCGTTCTCGGCGCTGTGTTCCTTTGCCTCGTGGCGACCGCAGTGTTGCTATCGCGCTTTAAGGGCAAACAGCGGCAAGCCGATGATGGCGAGCGGACAGCAAAATCATGGAACCATGAGCGCTTGACGACGTTGCTAAGATCGGGCAAACATACGATGCCGTGTGGCATTGTCAATGTTGACGTGTTTGATCGGAACACGGATTACTTCATGCAGGTGGCGGCGAGCCACGGGAAGCGACTACGCATCGCGACGAAAAGCGTCCGCGTGCCGGAGCTAGTGCGACGAGCGGCAGAGAGGCACCCAGACACGGTGATTGGCGTCATGTGCTTCAGCGTGGCGGAGGTGGCCCTGTATGCCGTGCACGCGTCCACCCGCAACATTCTGCTGGCCTACCCGCTGGTGCAGCCCGCCGAGCTCCAGCAGCTGTGGCAAGCCGGCATGGTCCAGCGGCAAGCTGTACTCACACAGATGGTCGACTGTGGCGAACACGTACGCCTGATCGGAATGTGCTGGCTGCAGAACGCGCACAGAACGCTCCAGGAGCAGGTGTACCGTCCGGTCATGGCTCGCCTGTGCATTGACGTTGATGTGGCCTTCGCGCCACTGCCGATTGTTTACATTGGAAGCCATCGTTCGCCATGCAGAACACCCGGCGACATTGACGACATCCTGAACCAAGTTGCCGCAGTCAACAGCTGCTGGGAAGCAGTTTGGAAGGATGGCGTAGCACCCACAGCATCGTTGTTGGCACAGCATGCAGTCCGTATGAAGGCAATGCCCTGGAGTGAGAAGACAAGTCTACTGCGTGGCCCTCTCGTGACGGTGACGTCTGTGATGGGATACGAGGCTCACATAGCCGGAGTTCCCGATGCAAGCGGGTGGACTCCGGCACGGAATATCGCCGTGCGCTTCATGAAGTGGTGGTCCGTTGGAGATGTGAAGCACAAGCGTGCTGAGCTGTGCGCTCACCTTCAGGAACGTGGGATTGACCTGGAGTTTGTGAACGGTGGCGGGACAGGCAGCATTCTATCCACCATCCAAGACGAGCGTGTCACCGAGGTAGCAGTTGGTTCCGGCCTGCTGCAGAGTCACATCTTTGACTTCTTCACGGAGAATTCTGCCGAGCCAGCGCTGGTGTTTGCCCTCGCTGTGACCCGGAAAAGTCACACATGTGGGTCGGAGATCGTCACGTGCCAGTCTGGGGGCTTCATAGCTAGTGGAGAGGTGGGTCGTGACAAAACACCGTCCGTCTTTCTGCCATCCGGCTACAGAGAGTTCTCCACCGAGGGCTTTGGTGAAGTTCAGACTCCCTTGTGTAAACTGTCACCTTCCGCACCCAGCCTGTCCGTGGGCGATTATGTCTTCTTGCGGCCAGCGAAGGCAGGGGAAATTGCGGAGCGATTCTCCAAGTACTTGTTGGTGCATGATAATGAGGATGGTGTGGAAGAGGCACTAACTTACAGAGGACTGGCTATTACAGCCTACTGAGGCTGAACCCAAGCACGTTGCTGGAAACAATCACCCCGGCCTGCATGCGTAATTGGCTGTAGCCGAGTTTGAGTTGCAGTATACAGTACAGTCATTATCATTTTATCATTCATCAGTTCTATGCTGTCCCTCCAGGAAATCGCGATTCCACGGATGCAACAAATTTCGCGATTTTGGCCCAAACCCGCGATTTTCAGCAAAATCCACGATTTCCCGCGTTTTTTGCACTATATCTCACATGTTTCATGCACTTTTCACACAGTGCTTTCCACGATCCTGTAGGTTATTTCCACAGTATGACTAGTACTACTCGGGAGTAGATATACTATGCAACAAATTTCGTGATTTGGCCTAAATCCGCAATTTTCTGCAAATAATTCCGCGAATTCCTGGCAAGTTCTGCATCATTCCGCACTTTTCGTCGCATTTTTTGTTGTTTTCTGCCGCAATTTCTTGCGCAAGTTTTCGAGAGTTTTTTCCGCAAATTCCCGCAGGGACAGTCTATGCACTTATTCACTGTACGGATGGGATATGCCCGGAGCTATGACCCCATCTGTTACATACATTGAGAGTTGTGTGGATGCATGCTTGCCTGGTACACAGCGAATTCATGCAGCAGTAAACATGCACAGTGTACAGCAGGGAGTAGTACAGCTTTACTATTCACAGTACGAAGAACCCGGTGTGCAGTGCATGCCTGTGCTGTTGTGGACATAGAAACCCAGCATACTGTAACAATGGACCAGCAAGTGCTCAGGGCTGCACAGCCAGCGCCCCATGTCCGCAACATCTGAGGTACAGTACTGTAGAACGGGTAATTTTAGCGACGTAAAAACCCTAGCGAATTTAGCGATCGACTCCTTTTCGCTAAAGTTTCAAGTCGCTAATCCGTTGAGACATTAGTAGTGCACTGGTGATCCGTGAGTAAAATCGCTGCAAATCGCTAAAATAAAACGTCGCTAACCGGTTGACAATGGGAAAACGCTAAAATTAATAGTCGCTAAAATTACCCGTTCTACAGTATACGAGAGAATCATGAAGAGCAGCTCCAGACCGACCTGAACTCAGGCCGGCATCGCCGTGACATTCTGGCAAAGCCGAAATATGATCCACGTATATTCAATTTGTGGGACTCGTGCCATTCTGAAAACTCTACCATGCAGAGCCATGGCAGTATACAGTAGAGGCAACCCCCAACCTCAAGGGGTGATGAGAAGGGTATGAACAACTGCAGGAAGCCCTATCTCTTAATTTGCTAAATCCTATATATAGGATTTTGGTCATATTTTTCAACTCAAAATGGGTGTGGCATGAGCATAGGGAAACGTATGTGACCAATTCTTCCGCGTTAGGTCTTAGTTGATATGGAGAGTTGAATAAGATATTTTTTTCAAATACTAACATCTAAGGCTCATCTCCTTGCGCAATATTTCTAAGGCCTGTGCTCTATTTTTTGAACCCTATATATAGGATTTGAGATTTTCCTGGACCTTGTTTCATCCTTAAAATTGGTAGTTTCACGACGGCATGTGCGATATGTCGTCATGAAACCACCCTGTGCCACACCTGTAATGTTCTTTTGCACATTCACTGCTTCAGTCCTTCCCATGACACCAGCTGAACAATGCTGCTCAAAATTCCAATCCTTGTTCAAAATGGGTATTCATGATGTCCTATGAATCTAAAAAGTAAACATTCATGCCTCAAACATATTTACAGCTTCTAATAAAACCATTATGCTCTTATTATGGGTCATGAATGACTCATGATGACCAATAACAACGGCATAAAGGTCACGCATTTTCAAATCCTATATATAGGACTTTTGCCCAGCAAATTAAGAGATACACACAAATTATGTGTAGGGTTTCCTGAACAACTTCCTTCTCGAAGTGACATTCCTCAGCAGATGGGCAAGGTTCCTTACTTGGCTAGAAAAATTCCACAAGAACGTCCATGTCATACTAGTAGACGTCAGCAAATCCTGTGCCACCCCACAAATCCTCGAAGAAATCAGCAAGACTTGCAGAACTTGTTTTTTGTTTCGAAAATCCAAGAAACCTGCAGAGCGCCTGTGGCCAAACTCTTCTTCTTAAACTAAAATGCAGAGATAGAGAGATAGGAAATAAAGCGGAAGAGAACATTATTCCTAGAAAGTGGCAAACCAGACTTCAGTAAATTAAAATTTGAAAATAATAATACCAGTGTCTTACGTCACTAGCACTGGTAGAATCCTAAAGTAATAGTCACGCTGCTTTTTTTGAGTTCACAGACATGGCGAGGGGCGTGAGATAAGAGGAGATTTATGCCGACTTGACCCAGTGCAGCCTAGCTGAGCTCATCCCGGACTTCAGTCAAGCCTGTGCGGTGGACAATACTGAACAAAAGGCAAGCGGGAGTCGCAACTAATGTTATCTGCCACAACGTGGCAACATCGAGTCAACATCTCGCAGCTATAAGAACGGCTTTGCGGAATGCATCCATAAACACACTGCCACATGGTTTGCAGGATGGTCCGACAACAGCATACAAGTATCGAGCACAACGGGCCGGGCACGTTGTTAACAGCACGCCCGCCGAGATTGCACACGATAGCAGTGTGTGCTGTAGCCACCCTATGCCTCACAAGTCATCCATCACTGGGATTGGTCACTGGGATTGATCACTGGACAGCATACCATCATACTATGGGCTGTAATCACGATCACTTCAAGTAATCTCCTGGGGCAGTAAGCTGGACGCTACCTAGCAGAGCTAGGGCAGTTGCTGGCGAGGACGTAGCCTGACTAGAAACTTAGAAGTCCTGCTTCCAGACAAACTCCGACTTGTATGGATTGCCTAAAGTACAGCTCTGCGAGCATGTGTAGATGGCAAGCGTAGCCCAGTCTACAGACGGTCCGGCTAGTGTATCCAGATGCAAGTGTGCCAGTAGCTGAGGAAGAATCTAGAGCCAGCAGTAACATCAGGAAAAGAAATACAATAGAGATATAGAATAGCTCTTGTAAGCTGTAAACTAAAGTCAATTGCGTGTACATGTACCGGTATGTGTGTGTGTGGGGGGGGGGGGGGGTGGTAAAGCACAGCATAAGCTGTTCTGACGCAAGTCAGTCGTGTGGGATTGGAAAACTAGTCCAATAATCCGAGTCCTGATTAACTCTGCCACACCATGCTCATACGTGTACTGTTGCGCTCGGTGAAATCCGACCTAGAGTGCATACTTGGCAACCTCAACTTGCACGGCCCTTGATGCCACGAATGTGGCTGTGCCCACTTTGCACTTTGGGTCGGGTTTCACCGAGCGCAACTGTAGTAGTAATAACCACTTGACTGAACTGAGTCAAGAGTTACCGGGGGACACAAGACTTGACTGAACTGAGTCAAGAGTTACCGGAGGGATACATGCCGCAGGTGTATATGTTCAACACGGCGGCGGGTATCCTTTCATTAAAGGGGAAGTATACCCTAAAATCAAATTTTCACCAGTTGTAGTCTTCGGGGTGCTGGGTCGAATGGTCTTGGTCCGAGGACGCTGAGACGCTTCCTTCCTCCTTTATTCCCAATCGAACCCGCGCACTTCCACCGAAACTGGGTGACTGCGCCCTACTAGATAGGGATTTGTATTGAAAAAGTCACTAAAAACGCCGTTTCGTTCTTATAAAAGCACGGATGACCGAGACTGGTCCATATGTTGTAGTCTTGTGGCCGCTGAGTCGACTGATTTTGGTCCGAAAAGGCTGCGATGCAGCGTTCGGCCCTTATTCCCAATCGAACACGGTTGAGTGAGCGGTCACGTGCTCATGCGTACACCAGTCGCCTGGTCACCGTGCCTGCAGAGTACAATTTTCACATCAAGATTCAACTCAAAGGTTCAAAGCAGGGAGTCGTAAGAGGCTTTTACGACTCCCTGGTTCAAAGGTTCAACTCGAGTGACATAAGCGGGCCCAAACAGGCTGTAAATGAGCACGTGACCGCTTACTCAACCGTGTTCGATTGGGTATAAGGGCCGAATGCTGCATCGCAGTCTTTTCGGATCAAAACCAGTCGACTCAGTGGCCAAAAGACTACAACATATGGACCAATCGCGGTCATCCGCACTTTTATAAGAACGAAACGGCGTTTTTAGTGACTTTTTCCATACAAATCCCTATCTAGTAGGGCGCAGTCACCCAGTTTCGGTGGAAGTGCGGGAGTTCGATTGGGAATAAAGGAGGAAGGGAGCGTCTCAGCGTCCTCGGACCAAGACCATTCGACTCAGCACCCCGAAGACTACAACTGGTGAAAATTTGATTTTAGGGTACTGTATAAGCAGAAAATTTCGTCGGTCAATAATTTCGTCCGGCTCCAAAGAAAGGGAGTTCGTCCGGTTGTAAATTTCGTCCATGGATCATAAGAGTGCATTGAAAAGCTGGACAAATCGACATTAGTCCGCCATTTAATTTAGTCCAAAAGCTCCTTGGACGAAATAGACGAAATTAAATTCCAGACGAATATTTCTGCTTGTACAGTATACTTCCCCTTTAAAAGTCTCTTGAACACGAAACAAGCATACACAGAAACGACTTGTCTCAAATTAATATGCTTTAAAAATTTCCACGGTTCGCTTGAGACAAAGATCTAAGGCACAGATGCAGCTCCTACAGCGGTGGGAGGTGAGTAGATCTCGGCCTGCCTTACCTGGAACTCAAACGTGCGCTTGGCTCCGCATGCGCAGTCCGGGACATCACTGTCAGCCGCCTGATGCTTGGCTGAGAGCCACAGTGGCTCGCCATCGCGATTGTGGCGAAGCACCTGGAGTCGGAGAAAAAGGGACAATCGGAACAAAAGCGAGATGTGGCGGTTGTCATCATACAACATCGCAGGATACACCGCGTAACGGCTCTCTATTAACGAGCACTAGTAGCTCATGGGTGTGCATGCACGGCAATCATGTCTTAGAAAGCACACGGACAGGAGCGGAAAATACACGTAGCACTGAACCGATTGGACAGAATAAAGCTTCCGACATTAAATGAAGCAAAGACCTCCACCTTAGACAGGTTAATACCGTAATGTGTGTACTGGTAAACAATAAACATTATTACAGGTGAGGCCCAATCAAGCAACAGCAACAACACCGTGTGAACCACTGCAACAGCACTTTTTCAGCACCAAATGCGTGAAACGTAAGAGAGTCACGCTAGCACCAGAGACGACCTGCTCTCAAAGACTGCAATAGGCAGGTCCCATGAGCAGGCACTGAAACCAGGCTTCACCAGTATGGAGAAAAATAAATTGTCCTATGTTGATGCTATGGTTACAGCGAAGAACACCTCCTACCTGCTCAGGCGCGATTGCAATTTTCCTCTTGAATGCCTTGAAGCATGCATCAGTGACGCCAATGCCATCTGCAGCAGCAGCCTGTAGCTCCTCATTGCTGACTTCGCCGTCTAATGCTCCAGACTTGCCTCCACTGCTCTGAACGTACGTCTTGAAGTCTTTCAGTTGCTGCTCCTCGCTTTCGCCTTCGTCACCATCACTGTCGCTACCGGCGCCAATACCCTCATCCTCTATTTCAAGTTCTACCTCCGATTCAATGACCAGTTCCATTTCCGGAAGGAGAATCGATTTAGCTGCATCAGCTGCCATCACACGAGACCATTTCGCAGTCGTCAGTGGAGCCTTTGCGTCCGAGTCCTTCGGTGCAGGCTGACACTCCGCCTTGTGACCGTGTTTCCAATGCATGACTTGGTGGTCCTTGCCGCAATAGCGCGGGCCACGGCAGCGCGAGCACCAGAGGCGGCCAGTGCAGCCGCATAGCGTGCACAGCGGGGTGCGCTGCGAGTCGTCTGCGCTCACCAGCTCCTCGAAAGTCGCCTCTCCTGAAACAGAACAAGCACATTGGCTGGTAAGATACATTCCCATCACACAAGCATGACCTGTGCAGAGTTCAGAAAGACTGTACCTTGCACTAACATAGTTTATAAGTCGATGTGTGCCAGTCATGGGGTGTGTGTGTGTATGCGTGTGTAATTGTGTGTGTGTGTGTATGTGCGACATCGTCTCGTGCTCCGTGCCGGGCGGCGGTGTCTACCATTGCTGCTCGGGCAACTCCTCCACCGCCGCGTGTGCGGCTCACATGCTGCAAGGCCCACTGTGGGGCCTGTGGTCGGTGCTGCCGATCTACTCGTGGATTCCAAATCCATAGCTGCCAAAGATGGCTCTCTCGTCGTGCCGATTTAACATGGTCCCTGATCTCTTGGCGGACTGCCGACTTTCTGCCGCCGCTCGTCGTTTCCATGTTGTTGGCCCCGCAAGGGGACACGTGACCGTAATGGCAGTGTTATCCAGGACCAGGATGTGTGTGTGTGTGTGTGTGATTGTGTGTGATTGTGTGTGTGTGGGGGGGGGGGGGGGGGTGAACATGCATGTGCATGGATCCATCGAAAGGTTCAGCACTAGTCAGCTCCAGTCATACCTTTCGACCCAGCATCCAATTTACATGGCTCGAAGCTGTAAAAATTATTCTTCCTGGGCAACTGAGATCGTAACACAGCAAATGGGCGATTACTGCGATCTGAGTAACATTCACCATTGCGACATATGAACACGAAGACAGTGCGATGGAAGCACTCCTCTTGATCTTCCAACGGTGCATAAGCTTGAAGGAGGAAAACAAAAGGTTTCTTGCAGATGGGACATGTCAGGTCCTTGGTTGATGGCAACTCCAAAGGGCTGAGCCACGCTGGTTTCCCACCCATTTTGGATGGAAAGTATTTGCTTTTCAAATGTTCCACATTCTCAGGTTGGGCTACAAATCCCAGTGAAACATCAGGATCATCTTGAGACATTCTGGTAGACCCTTCTATGAAGCGATCAATCACCTTCTCACCAACTAAAGTCCAGGCTCAAACAGGACACTGGTACAAAAGTTAGTTTACTGGTTCCTCACACTCTCAGTCTCATGCCTGTTCACACTCACAGACACAGCACAGCCTTTGCAAGGACTGATCTGAAGGATCTAGGAGTCGAGCATTCGAATATTCATGCAATGTCTACATTTTCTTTCTTTCTTTTTTTTTGCAGCGAAATCCTTGAAGACGAGGCGCCATATTTCGTCGCGTAGCAACTGAGGCCCAGTGTGGGAAAGGGAAGAAAACGACGACGCTCCAACGTTTGACTTTCGTTGAGTTTCTTCAAAATGAAAAAAAGCAAGCATGCCATTAATTTTGATTAGGTAGCCATGCAATATCTCGAGTATTTGAGTAGTGGCTTCTTTGCTCCCCTGCTTGGAACTCTACGTAGGAGGAAAACAGTTTGAGTCGTGGCACCATACTCCATCTGATTTGTATGTAGGCCCCAACATGATCTGCTATAACTAGCATAAGTACAACTCATACATGTAACATGTTCGTAGCATGACCGTGCAGAGGTATGCCGGGAAGGAGACAGGCTGTGCGACGAAAGAGGAGGGCGGCGACGTCGTCCAGCGATGAATGGGATGCCGAGGAAGCCGAGGATGTTCTGGCTTCATCACCACCTGCCAAAAGTATGCTCCCACCGGCACACATACACTTGCACATGTAGCTATATTGATCTGGGCAGATTGTGGGCATCCGGGCTCTGCGTGTTGTGTTCGGGCTGCAGTGTTGCATGTAGGTCAATAAGTGTAGCCCCACTGTATAAGAGTACGAATATATCATGGAACTGCATAATTACGCCGTCTTCTGGATAGAATTTTGCCCGGCACAATTGCGTGTTTGCAGAGCAGTGGCACCACCCTAACACATGCATGTATATGCACATGTATACTTTTGTTCTCGGGTCCTGTGCTACAGGGTCAAGTCGGCGATGTGTGGCTGCCAATGCGAGAACGCGAAATGCACAGCAAGCGCCAAGAAAGGGCGCACCCAGCCCGTCAAGCCCCAGCCCCAAATCATCTGAAACGCAGAGTGCTGCTCCGGGAAAAGACGTAGCGCAGGGCAGTGCAATTGAAAAAGATGTGAAGCAGCTATCGGTAGCTAAACGCCGTGCTAAAGGGAAGACGCAAACGGACAGCGTTGCAGAAGGCGACGATGACACAGAAGAGGATAGTGCGAGCGAGGATGATGATGAACAGTCATCAAGTAGTAGTCCTGCGTACTCTATTAGCTCTTCCTCTGACAGCGACTGGGAGGAGATGACTCTGAAGAAAGTAGAGCGCAAAGCACTGTACACATCGCCGCAGAGCGAGGTACGCTTCATGCCCATGCTGCCGCTGAACCGTGTTAAGAAAACCGACCTGTGCCGTTCACCGGGCAGTACTGCCGGGCTCAAGGGTGCTGGAGACGGCGGTGGAGGGGCAATGAACGCCAAGAGTGGTGACGCTGGTGCAGGGCATACATTGTCGAAAGGTATCGCAACACAAGTCCACCGCCAGCCACAAGCCACCGCATATGCCGGTATGTACATGCACAGTAAAAGCTGGTGTAAGCGACCTCTGGGTTTAGCGACCACCTGCTCTCAACGACCGTTTTTCCATGCACCGACAGTTCTACACAGACACTGTGGGACCTGGTTCTAAAGACCACCTGGCTTTAATGACCGCTTATCTTTCATGGTTTTGTCGTGCGAATGTGCACAAGAGGACCGAGTCTGTATGTGCACACAGGAGATTACGTCGTATGCGTGATCCGTATTCCACAGAGGCCGTCCCCTAACGTAATGCTCTGGCCATGCGCACGTGATCCGTATTCTATAGAGTATAGATGTCATTTCATGACGTCATAATGTTGTCATGCGCCGCGCGTGATCCATATTCCACTGAGTGTTAACCTTTATGCATGGTGCGAATCTGCTTAGTGTTGGCTGCATGCCGTTCGATAGAACTCGCACAGGCTGATTTGCAGCAAGTAGGCTATGGCCTATGTCTATTGCCACAAGTACATATGCGTGAGAGACAACACGTAGAAGAGGATAACAACTCCGTTGTAACTCAGAGTTTCACGCCCAAGGCGATCATCCCCTCGTGCGTGAAACTCTGAGTCGCAACGCATTTTTCATCCTCTTCTTAAGTACTTGTTGTAAGGAGCTCTGTCCTCAGGCATTGAGCACTCTCTTGGACAGCCTATAACCTTTCTGTTGTACATGACAGATACAAAAACTGCAGTTTGCCGACCTTTCTTTGACAGACACTGTGTGATACACGTGTATGTGTGCAGAGCAATACTATCTTTTTGTTCGTCAGTTTGGGTGTTCCTATGCGTGTGCATTGCAGGAGCAAATCAGCGGCGGGCACCTGCAAATGTGGGAGCGCAGCGGGCACCTGCAAATGTGGGAGCGCAGCGTGCACAGCAGACACCAGCGGGACGCCAAAAGAACCAAGCAAAAGGACGGAACCCATCACTCCAGTCCACGTCCAGCACTGAAAAGCAGACGCCAATAAAGGACGTATCTCGTCAGCCAGCGACCAGTGCCGTGAAGAGCGGTGCGCCGAAAAAAGCTAGTAGTACTGTAAAAAGTCCGAGGGTGGAAGGAAAGAAGCAATCATTGGTAGCTGGGCGCAATTCTAAGGATGGCAGTCAAACGGGCAGCATCGCTGAATCCGATGATAAGGAAGTGAGCGATACCAGTGATGAAGAGAAGGATGAGGATGAGGAGTCGTCGAGTTGCCCTAGCGATGTCAGCTCTGCCTCGGACAGTGATTGGGAGGAAGCGGCGGCAGTTGTGAAAAAGAAGAAGAAAGGTAAGGGACCGATGCGTAGGTAACTCTTTTTCTGCGCCAACTCGAGTCTGTGTATACGAGTAGTACCGGTATGTGTTTGTGCATTTGCTGTGCATGGATGTGCGTGTGTGTGTGTGTGTGTGTGTGTGTGTGTGTGTGTGTGTGTGTGGGTGTGTGTGTGGGGGGGGGGGGTGTGGGTGTGTGTGTGTGGGTGTGTGTGTGTGTGTGCATGCGTGTGCATGCGTGCGCGTGTGATCAAAGCAGCGTGCTGTCTATACTGGTTACTCCAGCAAGTGTAGGGTGTGCATAAGTAACTGTCTTGGCGTTTTACGCCGATATACTCTGTGTCGTGTAGACCAGGTGTGCATTGGTGGTCGATTCACATGGTTTCGCCAGTTGTGTGGATTAGACAGTTATCTGGCGCAAGTCTTGATCCGTCTCATTCAGATCTTGTTCGCTATCGTTGCTATAAGAGAAAATCTGTGGGTGCACATCCAGTGCATTTGCAGATTTGCGTGCTTCTCTTGCGACGGGCGTATTCATGGTACATGGTACATGGTGTGCGTGTGTGTTTGCCCCCCACCCTCCTGTCTCACAACTCTCACTCTAACAGGAAATACTTGCTTACAGTTACGGCACCTTACTGTCGATGAATCAAAAGGCTCAACAGAAGACATGGATTTGTTGAAACACATGATGATATCAGTATTCACCAGTGTCAGATCTTGCTCTTGTTGTGTAATTCTGCATGTTTCTACTGTTGTAACTGAAAAGACTACTGGGAGATACGTGATAGTTACGGTCTCCGAGGATAAATATCTGAGATGCAGCTTGGTGTCACTTTGGTTTAGTTGCTGCAGCAGCACCAACTCGCCTGAAACGATGGGTACTTGAGGCAGAACCTGGGGGAGTGTACATGTCATGGAGTGCTGAAGAACGACGTATTGCTGCACTCCTGGCTGCAAGGTAGGCAATGTTCATGCTGTGGCGTACTGTATACGTGCACAGCTGTAGCCACATGCGCGTCTGTCTGCTTGTCTGTCTGCTTGTCTGTCTGCTTGTCTGTCTGTCTGTCTGTCTGTCTGTCTGTCTGTCTGTCTGTCTGTCTGTCTGTCTGTCTGTCTGTCTGTCTGTCTGTCTGTCTGTCTGTCTGTCTGTCTGTCTGTCTGTCTCTGGTTGTCGGTCTGCCTGTCTGTCTGTCTGTCTGACCATCTCTCCCCTTACCTGTTTGTCTGTTTGTCCATACTTATATATACCTATCCCGCTGGATGTCATCATTGATATGAACTACTGTGTAGAGGTGATGCGAATGACACCTACATCATTGTATAATTCTTTGTATGGAGTTAATGACATCATTCTCTATGCATTGTATGGAGTTAATGACATCATTCTATATGCATTGTATGGAGTTAATGACATCATTGTGTGTGTGCTTTGTATGGAGTGAATGATATTATAGTACAGTCGAATGTCACTTATCCAGTCGCCAGTTATCCGAGCACGTCGGTTATCCGACAAGCCCGGGAGGGGTAATTTTATGACTCTCAACAGCAAAATTCTTTAAAAAAATTTGTTTTGTTTTGTATATTATACGGTGTATTAATAAATATGCATTTACTTGAAGTAGATGTGGTCAAGTATGCTAACATGTATGTATACATGGAGCAATTCATGAATATGCATGAATATATTTGGGTATTGTGTGCATAAATCAGTGAAATCCAGCCATATATGCACATAAAAAATGATATCAGTTATCCAACATAATTATTCAGTTATCCAACATGCCTGATTCCCGAAGTGGTCGGATAAGTGACATTCGACTGTACATGGATGTGCATTGTATTGTATGGAGAGAAAAAATGACGTTATCGCACCATCTCTATTACCTTCCGCTCGTGCTAGGTTCACCACACTTGCCGCCACGCTCCTTCACCGCTGTTGAAACCTTGCTTTCCCTGAAATACAACTGTAGCCTAGTGTAGGAGTTTGCTCTCCACCCCAGTAACTCGATCCTTACAGGACCTGTGACAAAACAGCAATTCACAAACGCTTTCGCCTATTGGCCATCGTCAGAGAGCTGTCTGAGCAAATGTGGGTACACCCAATAATAACTCAATACTGTACATAACTGTTCATCAGTTGAGGGAGTTGAACAATAATATAACCGCTAATATTTGTGAAATATATTTGACTTTTTGAATGGCAGCAACATTGTTACACAAATGTGAAGTGGGTAGACATGGAAGTATGTGTACAAACTGTCGGTGTGAAGAAGCAAGTTCCAAAGAGCCTACCTCGATCTTCAATACCATGTGGTGTGTGGTCCTCATCCTGTGCCGAAGAAAATACGCCCAGGTATCTGGTGCATGTTGCTTTCGGGATGAAGCCCAGGGAGATGTTTCTGGAGTATAAGTGTGCGTGTGTGTGTGTGTGAGTGTGTGTGTGTGTGTGTGTGTGTGTGTGTGTGTGTGTGTGTGTGTGTGTGTGTGTGTGTGTGTGTGTGTGTGGTGTGGTGTGTGTGTGTGAGGGTGTGTGTGTGTGTGTGAGAGTGTGTGTGTGAGAGTGTGTGTGTGAGAGAGTGTGTGTGTGTGTGTGTGTGTGTGTGTGTGTATGTATGCGTATCAGCTACTGTTAATAAAAAGCGAGGTGACGTGGCCCACGTTCATCATGAGCAACCATCACTCCACAAACTGCGCATGATCAGGAATGGGTGGTTTCTCATCACACTGCCACCTCGATGGGCATTTCATCTTTTCTGTCGTCGTACTCATCGTATGCATCACCCTCATCATCATCGTCATCTTCTGTGGTGTGCTCCGGGGTATATTCGGGTATCAGGTGCCGCTGCCACATGGACCATGTCGGTACCAGGGTGGATTGCTCCATTGCCAGTCGATCACCGCGCTCCAGTAGTATTGTCCCGGCTCGACTGATTTCCCAGGCGATGGCCTTGTGCCAGCTACACAGCATCTCGGCCATGTCCTGCAGCAGGGCCGGAATGCTATGTTGTACGTTCTCCAGCGCAGCCAGCTTGTGTGCTCGCCGCTTCCGGATCGTGTCAGTCGCCTGCAGTTTGAAGCTGGGCGTCGACAGGTTGCCGCGTACGCTGTTCAGCATGCTCAGCTCCGCCACGTCGTTTCTGGCCAGGGTGGAGAGAAGCGCCGTGGTCCAGACGATGGCCGCGCGCTCGACGCAGTGCACTGCATTGATGGCGTTGAAGCAGACCGACGCGGCGCCACGCAGCAGCCAGTCACTGTCCTGCCAGATAGCGCTGAGCACCTACAGTCACACAGACACGCACAAGCATACACGTGCACACACACACACACCGTTGAATGTACTTTGGAATTCTCATGTTATGGTTCTTTTTAATACTTCCTTCTCTCATACGGTAAGACCAGTAATGTTTAATAACGAACATTTAATTCTAACGAGTTAACGAATTTGAAAGGATCGTTAACATTTGAAGTCATTATGTGCAAAACGATATGTACATGTACAGTCATTTGCCGGTTTTGAGACAGAACTCGTTAGAATTTCACCTCGCTAACCCACAAAAATCCGGAGATCGTTAACTTTAATTGAGGTTAAAATATCTGGTCTTGCAGTAATATTTTATTCATTTCTTAGTAGGAACCGGAGGTTTTTCCTCTGGTGAGAAGCAAGAATTGCCTGTGCTCAAAATGAATTCAAATAAAATATACAAACAAACCTGAACTGAGCCGACCGTGCGCATGTCCAGCTTGTGCAAGGCGGCGGCGTTCTCCGCCAGGTGCGTGATGGTCTTGATAAGCCAGCTGTGTGCACTCACCACCTGCTGCCGCAAGTCCATCAGGGCGGCCACGTCACGCGGCAGGCACTGAAGGCAGTCTCCAGGCGACGGTGCTGGTGCTGTTGTTGTTGTCGTTGCTGCTGCTTCTGTGTGCATGCAGCGTACCGCCGACAGCAGCACGATCTGCCGAGCAAACTCCACGAGCTGATTGTCGCAGTGGCCAGTCATGTCATGCAGTGCGCGTGTCTTCAACTCTCTGCCCAGTAGGTTGCTGAACTTCTCGTCGAACCATCGGGGATGATCACTGACGATGATCTCCTTTTGCACCACGTCGTCCAGTGTCTTGAGGACTTGCACCAGGTTGTTAAGTATGTCGTAGGCATGCAGGGAGTACGTTGGCAGTGTGTCCGCCATGGCTGACGACCCCGGTGCTGCACTGCTGCCCGTCACGTTGATGTTGAGTGTGTACCCGTCTATGGCTTGGCAGTAGATCTCCAGATAGACCAATGGCCACTTGCTGGCTGCCAGCTCCAGGTAGGGTGCCATGCAGGGCACGTTGACGGCGAGTGTGTCGAACACGTTCTGCAGCATCAGGAATATCGTGCGCAGCTTCACCAGGATGTTGCACCAGATGCCGTCGGTGGCGCTGTCCGCGTCCAGCGAGGACTGACTAACCATCGGTGCCAGTGAGGTCATGATACTACTGTCCAGGCAGCGTGCACGCAGCAGCTCGCTGTACAGGCTGCACATTGACTTGTCGATCACCGGCATGACGCTGCGCTGGATCAGCTCCCAGACGACGCGCTGCGTGCACTGCTGCCGCGCGCCGGTGAACAGCTCGTGTCGGAGTGCCGCCACAGCATGCTTGTCTTCGCTCAGCGCCTCTGACATGTCTGGGAAGCTGTTATCCCAGCTGGTCGCCTGCAGCTTGTTCAACAGCTCCGTATCTGCTTTGGCCGCCAGCCAGTGACACTGGTATCGGCCTGCCATGTAGACAAGATAGGTATCCACACCGTGCACTTCACCTTCACCCCCGCCCCACACACGATGCGCTTCCTTGTCCATGGCATCGGCGTCAGGGAACAGCGAGCGGAAGTTCTTGAGGAGGGTGGCATCGTGCCGAGCCTCCGGGTCAACAGTTCTGCTCGATGGGAACGCTGCCATTGTCTTGATTCGGTCAGCTAGACGCTGCCGATGCCGGACGTGATTCTTGGCCAGTGCTTCGAGCAGCTTGGACTGCTCCTGGCTACCCATGTCTTGCAGCGTTGCTTGAACAGATCCCAGCCGTCTACTGACTCTACCTACTAAGTCTCATGTGCTGTGCAGAATGTACTAGTAGCAGTTGGCCTCACGGCTTTGCCATCTTATCGTAACTGAGCGTGTTAGTGAAGTCCGCGTGGATGTTGTCACCTACTCGCTTTTTGAGCTGGTGCTCCTTGCTTGCCTAGTGTAGCACACATGCATGACTATGTGGTGTGTATATCATAGGCAGTTTGCTGCTGCTCTGTCACCGTAAACATGTCTCCTTAAACGCTCTCCTGCATCTACTATTCTGCCACCCTGTTGGTGTGCTGTACAGTGGGCACGGGATTGTGTCTAACTTGATACTGCAAGGGTGTTGAATGTGTTTCTTTCATACCTGTAGAATCCTATTAGTTGCCAGTGTCAGCAATGCCACATGCTGGTACAGCATCACTGCTCATTTCTCTTGGCACCTAGCCGTCAGCTCTCACCTCTGTTTCTGCTGCAGCTGCATGCTAGTGCAAGGCTGGCGCTTTGTCAACACCCCCTCCTGTCTGCAGCAGGGAGTAGTAAAATACTATTTTTACTACTCCCTGTCCTGGTCTGCAGCGCTATTTGCTGGTAGTGCTGGCTGCGATTTCCCTACAATCCACGTCATCACTGTCACCACTATCCCTGCTATTACACACCGAGCTGGCATTTGTAGGAGTATTTGGTGCATTTTTCAGCTCCTTGTTTGGCAAAGAAATACTTCATGCTCCATTCCCGGAACTGGACTGATATGTCTGCCTTGTAGCAGTGGTGGTATGTGCTGGCTAAGTTATTAGAGAACACAGCAGGGAGTTTATTTTCTGGTGGGCACCGGCTTTATATTCAAGTGCTCCTCCAGTAGAATAAATAGCCTGTTGCCGGGTTGTTCATGTGACACATAACGGAGGTATTCCGCTGCCTGCTTTGACTAGTAGTGTGCGAACGTTTACTTTCTCCTGGCTTGCATTTGCATTGCCTTTCCACCCATGGTGTTTATTTTGCCCGTAAAAGAGGCTTCGAGCAACTCTTCCTAGGTTGTCAATATTACTGGTAAGAGCCAGTCCACAAGTGGCTTGTAAACGGAGTCAAAGGTTCTGAATCTTTTTTTGTTTTGTGACCTACAGGCATGGCTTGGCGGATGTTGACTATGACACACTCTGTTCAAAGATGGAATCCCGCAGTTCAAAGGAGGTAAGGGATCCATCTCAACTACAGTGAAACTTCAGCATACAGTAGCATGCTTGTACCTCCTAGGAGTGTGAAACCTGTACTCTAGGGCAGAGGTATTGTATATCCGCGTCAAATGATTGGTACTGTAAAGGCAGACAATTTCGGCGGTGTAATTTTTTCGGTATTCTCCAAAATCGGCGGTTTGGTGGAGGGAAATTTTCGTTAAACCCGTTTTCCAGGTAAGTGCACTAGTACTATTACCGAAATTTTCGGTTGCGTTTTATTTTAGGTAAAAATTGTCAGCACCGAAGTTACCGAAAATATAACACCGCCGGAAATTTCTGCTTTTACAGTACAGCATAGTGCAGGGCATTTAAATAAAGTACTCTGTCACCCATAGTGTGTTATACCCAGGGATAATTTTATACTGAAATTTATACTGAACAGTTCACTGTGTATAATGTATAGGACTTGAAACTGGAACTGATGACGTCCGTACATGTAGTATTAAAGAAACACAACTTTTGAGTCGAAATGAATCTCCTTTGGCCTCGGTTTAGTATGGAGTCTGGAGAGTAGGTCTCTGGTGTGGTATGCTGGTTTGACTTTGGTGGAACTTTACCTCTTGGCTCAGTCCAGTCACCACCGGCGGATGTGTTGCCTTGCTGTAAAGGAAACCGCTCCGATCGTGTATGGTTCCGTTACGAAAACTTGAATCCAGGAGTCGACATCATCATGACTACTGCCTGTCTGTGATGTGGCTCTGCTGAGCCATAGTCCATTACTGGACAGCAGTACAGTCAACTTTGCGTATAACGACACTCGGCAGGGCATCAGAAAAGTGTCCTTATTCGCGAAGTGTCCTTATACCCGAAGTCTCATTATAATTATGTATACAGGTAGATGGGACTTTGCTCTGGGCATGGAAATTCTGTCGTTATTCGTGAATTGTCGTTATACCCGCAGTCGTTATTAGCGAAGTTGACTGTACAATGCAGTTCTGTTGCATTTGCTACTTTGACTTGTGAAGCTGTTCTATCATAGTGCTAGTTGAGCTTGCTTGATGCCAGTCGGATTTTGAGTTCTGTGTGAATGACCGTCACGCCTGCATTCCTGCTTTGTGTTGTCTGTCTGTCTGTCTGTCTATCTGCATGTCTGTCTATCTGCGTGTCTGTCTGTCTGTCTGTATGCCTGTCTGTCTGTCTGTATGCCTGTCTGTATGCCTGTCTCTCTGTCTGTCTGCCTGCCTGCTTGTCTGTATGTCTGTCTATCTGTCTGCCTGTCTGCTTGCGTATGTATGATATGACACGTACTACTGTGTAATATTGCATTCTCGTTTTCTGAAGGTTGATGTTCTAGCGGTGAGCATCCTCAGTGAAACACCTTCATTCAACACCCGTGAGTTTAATGTGCTTGTGTGCGAGTGTGTGCGTGTGTGTATGTGTGTGTGTGTGTGTGTGTGTGTGTGTGTGTGAGGGGGGGGGGGGGGGGGGGGGGGATAGGTCTCCCCTTCTTGTACATATCTAGCTAATCCGAAAAGTTCAAATTTTCTTTTTGTTATCAATTGAATATGGAAAGCTAGGAAATGTCAGATCTGCATCATTAAATTAGAACCTATGGCAGCAAGAAGCAGGACTGTGAGGTGTCATTGGACACCGTCTATTTAAAAAAAAACCCAGACGGTGTCAAATGACAAAGGTTAAAACCTTTTTATGTGGCCCTTACTCACCACCTCTTTCTTTCCATGTGCTTTCCTTGCATGTACTTCCAGTGGAACGGCATGCACCGATTGAGGTAAGTGCCTAGCAATCACTTATCCGTGGCTTACACACGTGCACATATGGCCACCACTACTGGATTCGATCTGCGTACGATCGTTACATGGGTAGATCTACTCTGCATATGGTTTGGTTACTGCAAACCGCCCAATGTTTGTGTCACTAAATTTTGCTTTTTCTCAGAACCAGCGAGTTTGCGATGGTGAATGGTCGCGTAGCACCGTGTCCACACATATACACCCACTGTTGAAGTTTGATTTCACGGTGATTAATATTTGCGCTGTGCTCTTCTCGCAAACATTAGCAAACATTGATACATCACGAACATTAGGCTGATAAATATGGTGGTAAAGACACACCTGGCAATATGGCGGTAAACACACGCCTGCCCACACACACGCTCTCTAGGCTGCAACGTTCTGGCACAGAGCTCTCCTTCTCACCACCACCACCATCAGTTCGCGCCTGGCGCCTAGTCGATGCATGGTTGGCGGTATCCGACATAGCAGGCTGGTACATCAAGTAGCGCATGGCACATGGAAGATGACACAGCAACGACATAGCTCGATTGCGACGTACGTTTCGTCCCCACTGGACTCATCAGGCAACCTTCTTTCAACTTCATGCAAACATTAGGCTGTCTACAGTAATCACTTAATGTGTGCCTTGCCTAACAATCTACATGTTGTGACGTCTGGCAGACTAGTGGCAAAGCAGACCACCCACTATGTAGGACTCCTGACTAACTGGGACTGGGTGGACACGAAAATGACCACAGCAGTGCGTGCGTGTGTGTGTGTGTGTGTGTGTTTGTGTGTGTGCGTCTGGAGTTTGTATTCCATGCAGCAAATTACTTGTATGGTCACACTTGGACAGTAGCCAAACCCTCGCTATGCTATATTTCCCGGTGTGACGTTTGTTTGCATAATGTAGCACCCTCTCCAGTCTGTTTACAGTACTGTCGAGCACCGAAGAACGGAGTGCCGAAGAACGGCCAGGCTAGAATTTCGTCAAGCACAGCATACCAATGTATACACGGTGACTCCACTGCCCATAGGCTGTGATACATGGAAATAAGAATGGTCTAGGCTAGAAGGCTGACCCCTAGTTCTTCGGCGACCAACAGTACTGTATTGCCTCTATGTATATGGATGCTTGTGTGCAGCAATGGAAGGTTGTCGTACAGGAAATCCTGACCAAGTGTCGCCTGAAAGCAGCGCCTTGCCTGCCGGATGTAAGAACAGTATAAAACGCCCTTACACGTGATGTGACGTCTCTCTTTAGTGTGTGTGTGTGTGTGTGTGTGTGTGTGTGTGTGTGCGTGCGTGTGTGTGTGCGTGCGTGTACGTGCATGCGTGTGTGTGCATGCATGTGTGTGTGTGTGTGTGTGCGGGCGCGTGTGCATGCGTGTGTATGCGCATACGGGACTCACTTTCCGGAAAACAGCCACTTCAATCAGCTGTGTGGTGTAGACCAGACGAAAAATGTGTGGCGGTCAATTCATCAGCCTTGCAAGCTGTTGAATGGTGTAATCCCAGCATAAGTTGTTACATCTATTAAACATAGCTGCTTGTTCGCTGTCATAGCTTCAGCAATGGGCATTTGTGAGTGTAAGTGTGCGTGTGTGCACGTGCACTTGTGCCAGAAACGGGCGGGTGTGTTGCCATCAGGTTGGGTTTATTGAGTTATTGTGCTATGTGTGTGTGTTACCGGGCATACACAGGCAATGAGGGCATTCGCAAGAGACAAGTTCCCCGCTGCAGGTGAGTAGAGTTGCCTTTAAGTAATGCTGTCAGCAACAGGACTTTAGTACCGCAATCAATAAGACAGGCTGAATCGGCATTTATTCAAATGTCGATTCAGCTTGTGTTATTGATTGCGGCACTAAAATTGTTGTCTCCTCGCCGTTTATTGAACACCAGGACTGCGGATTTATTTATGTCATGGTACACAGTAAGACTATGCCTGCAGCTGCAGAAAAAGTGCTCAACATCCAATTTCTTGGGGGGAGCAATGACCCGTGTCAGCAAACAATGGATCACTCGTAGTGTTTTGCTACTCTTCAATGCATGTACATGTACTGTAAAGCGTGACATTTTCGCGGCGTTTTTAGTTCGCGTTTTCAGAATCCGGACAGGTTTGCGAGGTTTTAATTTTGCGATTGCAGAATGTGCTACTATATAGTGCTGTGGCATTCTTGCTAAACCTTTCATGGATCTCCTTTCATGGATCTCCTTTTCACCTTTCATGGATCTCCTTTCATGGATCTCCTTTCATGGATCTCCTTTCATGGATCTCCTTTTCGCGCTGTCTAAATTTCGCGATTTCCACGCGGTCGCGAATTTCGCAGAAATTAGACCATGGCAATAATTTCACGGTTTACAGTATTGCTTGCCTGATGATTGCACGCAGTGCATGGAACTCAGAGTAGCAAAACACTACGAGTGATCCGGTGTTTGTTGACACGTATGTGATGGTACATATATTCATGCATGTCATACAGTGAGAATGTTGCATGTCATACAGTGAGAATGTTCTGTACACTGTTACCGCTGTGACTCCACCTCTGATTTGTTTTCTTTCCCTGGCTGTGGTATCATTATTCATTACCACTGGGTGTGTGTGTTGTAACCTGTGATATCTCTGATCCCGTCTGTCTGTGTTTGTTTTGCAGGCCCTGGCGTCCCCGACTACGCCCTGATCTACAAATATCTGGCTGCTGCCCTCGCATCGAATGTGAAATTACCCATCTTGGGAAGCCTTGGTAAGAACAGGAGTACATATCCCCCCCCCCCCCCAGAGTGTGCAACTCACGCATACCCTGCTGTCCCAGCAGGATTTCAACAACAAAAATTGAAGTCGATGTCATTCTTATGATGCAGTGCTCCTTACACCGGTGATTTACGGCATTTTGTACGGCGGGGGGGGGGGGGGCAGCGCATCAGACGCGTTTCATTGGACTAGTTGCAGGGTCCAATGCACTCATCTTAGTGGCCACAAGCGAATGCACTGACTCACCAACAAGGCATCAGTTGTATGATCTCTATGCCTTGCCATCTACCGTATTTCCCCGAATACAAGTCGCACCTTTTTACACTAAAATTCAGGGTGAAAAAGGGGGTGGCGACTTACAATCGAGCAAGACTTACTACTGAAGTGAATATATCAAAACATGACCGCTCAAACCTGAAAATGGAGGTGCGCCTTATAATCAAGTGCGACTTATATAAATCGGGGAAATACGGTACATCATTATTATTAGGACCTGTATTAAACATTGCTTGTAGTACATGGTACAGTTCGTAGTCTTGCAATACAGCATGGTTTTGTCTTCATTGTGTTGTGCAGAACAAGCTGTAGTTGACCACCTGGTGGATGGCCTACACACTGAGCTGGCTAACTATGAGCTTGATCCCCTTATCGGCCATCTGCTCGAGACGTACAACGCACCAACGCTTGATAAGCCCATTGACGCCTTCAACGCCGAGCTCTCCAAGGGTCTGTCACTGTTGAATAGCTCTCCAGTCAAGCATGCGGCAAGTGTCCAGAGACCGGCAACTCCGATCCGAGCAAGTGCGGCGAGCACAGTGAGCTCTCGAACTGCCGGCACAGTGTTAGCAGCAGGGACAACCTCAGCCGATGCTGCGTCGGGTAGGAACACTGCCGAGGCACGCAGGTGTGGCAACCGACCTGACCCTGCAACAGGTCCCACTCATATTGCATCTTCTCAGGAAGGGGAAGGCGCTGACGCAAACGCACATCAAGCTGAGCCTAGCGCAGACACCACAGTGGACAAACAGCTAGATGAAGTCCATGCCCCTACAGAGCAGCAGCAGCAGCAGCCCTCTGAACAGCAGCAGACAGACCAGCAGCAGACAGAGCAGCAGCAGCAGCAGCAGCAGCAGCAGGACAGCAGTAGGACCTCATGCACTACTCCTAAGCGTCAGACAGTCGATCCAGCACAGGGACATGGGCGGACCGAGACACATGCCACCAAGTGTTGCCCATCCACTCCCCTGCGGAGGACCGATGAGAGAATAGCAGCCAGTCACGTACCTGCTGTCAATGTCGGACAATCTCCAAGCTCTGGCGGCGGCGGTGGTTTGACATCGGACTCCGCCGCATCCCGATTTTCTCCTCGAAAGCTGACAACAAGCCCTGGGAGTGACCGCTTGCTATCCTCCCCATCGCCGATCAAATCGCTCCACTTGAACACTGTCGAGTTTGCACAATTCCGCTCCATCTCGTTGCAGCGCATGTCTTCGTTCTGCAACCCACTCAACATTCCGGCTGCACTTCTTAACCTCAAGCCTAACCCGAACCGACCCCCTAAGCAATTAGCAACAGGTCCGGCGAAAGAAGTCGATACGTGAAGCACCCTTGCCGAGTCGAGTCGGTGTTGCTGACTGTGCTTGGGCATCGGGAACAGTTGCATGTACGTACCAACGTCGTTCTCTACAGCAGCAATGACTGCTGCTCTTTGTACATATGAATCCTCAGCTACAGCCTACTGGCTGGTATGACACACCAGCTACACGTACACGTACGTGTAGCTGGTTTGCCCTGCTTCCTGCTGTGCTGGTGAGCTACTGTACATACTAGCACACTGCACATAGCTTTTATCCGCTGCATTCATGCCTGCCTGTGTTCAGTACATGTATGTGTATGTGTAACCGGACTGTACCTTCCCCTTCTTACTCCTGCTGTTGTACATAGTACCAAGAGTACATAACCCCCAAGAGTGTGCAACTCCAGCTATGGGGTCTGCGACGGCAGAACTTCACAGCACGTGATGAACCCGTACACTTTAATAGCACTCTGTGCATGATAGATAAAGGGTTGTACGCAACCCAGCTTTGGGTACAAGTCTCTTGTGATCACTTTGCACTGTTTTCCAGCGTAACCTTTTGAACCATGTCATGTGGTGTGAAGTTATGCCGTCGCAGCACAGCATAGAGGTTGTGCAGGCAGTTGCACACTCTTGGGGGTTATGTACTCTTGATAGCACCTACATAGCACCTGCTACAGAGCTGTTGTGTACAGTACTGTATTATCCTTTTATTGTATAACCAGACCTCTTTAAAACTACGTACTACAACTAACTTCGGTGTAAACTACAGCGTGTTTTGTACAAATGCTGCGTGCCCCATAATGTAGTACATTGTACGTTTAATCATGCATCGTGTTGCAGCTGGATGTTAGCCATGCTTGCGCACACAGCACACGATCCTGTTGCGTGTACCAGTATGAACTTGACTCGCCACGCTCCATTCTGCTCATGACTTGAAGTGTTGCTATCATCTCCGGATGGGCATATTGTATTGTATTGTGTAATTATTTGTAGTATTGTGTGTGTGGGGGGGGGGGGGGAAGGACGGGTTGGCCACGCCAGTGCCCCGTCAATAGACCATCGCCATGTCCATGATGTCACACAGGTCACACATGACGGAAAACCTCCCCTGGTCACCACAAATCACCTCGGTAGTGTTACGCATGTCTATTAAGCTGTGAATCCGCCACCAAATCTGGCCGATTGCCTATAGTGCGGCCGGCTACTATTCTGCCTTCATCCTCCCCCATATCTTCAAATGCGTTTCTCCCGGACTGTCCAGACAATCCACTGGGCAGCAGAACACCAAGCTAGACAAACGCTGCACCTACAGTTCTATTCAGGCTGTTGCGTGGCCGACCGCATCCACTGCCCCACCCCCCCCCCCCCCCCACACACACACACACATGCACTCCAGGGAGTACAAAAAGTAAAGCCTTCTTTTTTTTAAAGTGCTCCCTGCCTGCTGCACTAGTTTGAGTCTTCCGCGGTCCCAGCAGGGTACTACTACTAGCTAGGCCGGGTGTCCATGGCCATGGGCATGTGTCTGCCCAGTGCTGGATCATTCATGGCACGCAAGCTCTGACTCCTGCAATCGAGTCCTGCTTCCAGTTTGTTGTCACAAGTAAGTACATTGTAGTACTAGTAGTAGTATAGTAGACCTAGCTACCGGTGAGTCATTTCGGGCACGTGAACGGATGACGATTTGGTTAAAAATAAGCGAAACGCCGGATCGCGGAGTCCGTTTGATCAAGTGTTTCACGTGCATGTTTGCTTGGACATGTAGTAGATCTACTTGTCGATCTACGAGCATCTAGTTCTAGCATGATTACTACAGATCACTACTACTGTACTAGTCTAGGACATGTGTTTTGGCACTTTTTGATGGACCGGTGCAGTGCCAAACAGTGTAACTTCCAAACTGTGGGTGTGTGGGATATGGGCGCTATGCTAGCGCTAGATCAGAAGTACATGAAACAGCGACTGTCAGTGTCACAGTGTCAGCATTTTACTCTACCAGATACTATCATACCATGGCTCGGAGCGTGAGTTAGGCAAGAGTCGCATCTAAAATAATCAACTACAAAACTAACTGTCTACTTCTGACAAGTCCACCTTTTGGCCAGCGCCTAAGTCCTTGCTTAGCTCGCGCTGCTACCAGTGAGGCAGTGGTAAGGTCATTGGAGATCTGACGCTACCTGTAGAGCCTATCGGCAGCGATTCCGTAATTGTTTGTCCCGTTGATTGTGTCAGTTTGGCGATGATGTAGAAGAAGACGCTGACCGGTCCGGACGAGGTGGAATTGTTGTAGTGGAAGTGCCCGTACCAGTATATTAGAAGAAGCTTTCGTCCGTCCAGACCAGACCAGAGAATCTCAGATAAAGATCACAGGGATGCAGTCAAGCGCTTGAATATCTCTGCAATTAGCGTGAGCATTATTCTGTTCTGTGAGTTTGTGGTAGCACACACCCAGGTCTTGTCGGAGTGCAGAGGCTCGAGGGTTAGGTGATTGCGTGGTCCTACGTTGTGGATCATAATAGAGTAGAGAGTTGATTGAGCACGCTACTGTACAGACGCGGGCCAGCGACGACAGCAGCAGCAGCTATGACGAACGGTTGGGTGACGATAGAAGATGGAGAAGAGGTAGAGTCCATGATTAATTTTATTGTGCTTTCCGAAATTCCAGTACTCTTTCGTCAGCCACGTGAACACTAGATGTTGTGTTGGGAAAAGGATTATACTGACCTACTTGTACCGGCACATGTGCTGCCAGTGTACCATGTTTTGTCCATGGTATACCTCTTCACTTGTCCAACTCCAGTAACAGTCTCGTTTCTCCGAGTCACTTTGCGTTCCGAAAGAATGTAATTAATACTATGATGGAATGTCAAGATGTTCGCAGTGAAGAGATCATTTTTTGGAGTTGGAGAAGTGAAGAATTCTACATGACTGTGTAGGAGGCTGCGTTGGAGTTTACGGGCATGTACATGTACTAGCACGGCTTCATAATCAACAGATTTAGGAAAGCCCATGCATCATTCATTCCACCACAAGTACATACTATGTTTTTCGATTTTGACAGCATGTTACAAGGCGAGGACGCGTAGTGCTCCTGACTACAACCATAACCCGGTTGGCAGAGTCCCGGTCTTGCGACATGCTGTCAAAATCGAAAAACATGTTAAACTACCAAGCAAGGCTTCTGTATATACCAAGTACATACTAGTAGACGGGGGGGGGGGGGGGGGGGGGGGCTGTTGGAGTGCGCATCCAAGATGTGCTAGAGCTGTTAGCCAGTTAGCTGTTAGAACGTCAGCACCGTCGGTCAGTGTCGTGCAATGTTATCGCATGAGCTGATTGTTTAGTAAAACTGTTGGTGCTAGTGGCCACTATAGCGTAACTTGTCGTTCCCTGGTCCTTTTTCTTTCTTATAAATCCTCGCAGATTATTTGTATAAAGCTTTGCCCCAGGCGAACACCCATGCCATGGATGTAGCCGGTGAAGGGAGAGCTGGACCGAGCCAGGTTCTCGTTTACAGTAAAACCTGTGACTAACGACCACCCCTTGGAACTAGAGAATGCCGGTGGTCTTTAGTGGCAGGTGGTCTTTAGTTAGACGGGTTTGCACCGCACAACCATATGTGAATGTGAGACCGGCCGTGCCTGGCAAAGTGGTCTGTAGTACCAGGCTGGTCGCTAGTCACGGTGGTCTTTAGTTACAGGTTTTACTGTAGTACCAGGCTGGTCGCTAGTCACGGTGGTCTTTAGTTGCAGGTTTTACTGTACAGGCACTGCACACACTGTGATGGTCCTGTGGTGTGTGCGGTGATCCCGGTTTCTTGATTGCATGTTTCAAATCTTTATTCTCACGATAGCCAGTGGCCAATAAAAGATCGTGTTTGATTGCTCTATTGTTTTGCTTGAGGTGCCTTGCAGCTGCGCAGCCAAACAGGGCTTCTTGCGATTAAGAAATTCTGTCTGATTGGCAAAGCTTCTTGCGATACCATGTAGAATGATTATTAATGTCACTACTACTCCGAACCTCCTGGCATGCTTTAGAGCAGAGCCGCCAATTGTTGCAGTGTGTGTGTTAAACCTATGGTTGTTTGTCGGTGCTTTGACTTTCTTGTGCAGGCGATTATCTACAATTTGAAGGGAGAGTCCCGCACTGTGACAGGCCCACGGCGGGTACGTAGGGGAATCACCCAGCCACTTGTGTTACAAGACCAGCCGAGTACATGCATAACTGACGTCGAGACGGAATGATGCAGATGCTGTTTTCGCCTATAACTTACCGACACCCCTGTGTACTATGATGCACCGTGGCTTGCTTTACAACGTGTGTGTTTGTGTGTGTGTGGGGGGGGGGGGGGGGAGGAGGGGAGGTTACAGGTTTTCAGCCAAGGTCAGTAAAAGTGACTCATCATAGTGTTTCTATATAATAAGATTGCGGAAGTATGTTGTGTGGGAGATTCTTTCCCACAACGTGTACTAGTACTTTGAAGTATGTAAGCACCTTGAAGTTATTTCATTGGAGCCACCTTGAACGTGCATGTCACAATTATCATGTCACCTTGCTCCACTTGTAGCTGTTTTTGTGGAGGGAGAAGGATGTCACAATTATCATTTCATCTTGCTCTGCTTGTAGCTGTTCTTGTGGAGGGAGAAGGTTCAGAAGCTGAGATACCACTCAGCAAACCAGACACAGTATCTGCGTGTTGTGCATCGCAATGGCAGTTTGGAGCACAAGCAGGGGTAAGAGAGCGTGTCGACTAAGCAAGTCTCTCTCTCACTCTCTCTCTCTCTCTCTCTCTCTCTCTCTCACTCTCTCTCTCTCTCTCTCACTCTCTCTCTCTCTCTCTCTCACTCTCTCTCTCTCTCACTCTCTCACTCTCTCTCTCTCTCTCTCTCTCTCTCTCTCTCTCTCTCTCTCTCTTTCTATGTCCACATGCTGGTTGATGTGATTTTTTTTACATGTGACTTACGCAAGAGAATAGTATTACTAACATTGATTGATCAGGGTCAGCCATGCGTTCGGCCGGCATATCTCTTGCCATGTGTTCTCTCATCAGGGATGTGGCTGTTGGTAGTGGTGGACAGGAGACTGCACTCTTGAGCATTATCCTTTCATGTTGTCACATGTTGCACGTTGATACTATTAGTGTATTGTAGTTACGAATTGTGTACAGAACTGTCACATGCTGCAAGGGCAGCATTGTCAAGACATGCTAGGTCGCTTGCAATATTGGTGCGTTGCGTATTACTGCTATGTATTTCGCGAGTGTAATATTTATTTGTTAGTCTGTTAGAATTACATCACGAGTGCATGTCTGTTACGTCTACGTCGAGACACATTTTACGATACAGTAATTGCTATGCGTGTTCGTACCACGCCATGTTCACGAGCGGAATATCTTGTGAATTGTTCTAATGTATTATATAAGTAGAATTGTTGACACACTAATTGGTTGCAATGTACATGTACTTACTAGTACTTGATCCGTTGCATTATCGCCATCCGCGGCAACTCCGCTACGATCTACTTGGCGAAACTTACTCTCGCTGACAGGGTGTGCTGTCACCCTGTCGCTGGGTGCAAGCACCCCTTGACAGACACTGTTTTCACCTCCGTAACCAACAATTCTTTATTCTTTCACTCCAGCACATTGTTCTGCATTTCAAATTATTGCTTTTCTTTTCGTTGCATGCACTCGTACTCGTCCGCGCTGCACGCGGACTTTGGCAGTCGCCATATTTAGTATCTCTATGGCTACGATGATCATGCATTTTCTGTACGCTGCATTTTCTCTCTATGCCACGTCGTTGTGTGCATGCATGCAGCGCAAGCCAAATGCACGCACGCTGCACGTTTTGCCCAGGACAGCGATTTGGCGATCGTTGTTCGGTGTGTTCTTTGGTGTTCTTGTTGGAAACGAGTGGTAATGTCGATTAAAGGAGTTTCTGGGTTTTTGTGGTCTGCCTGACGATGGTTAGTTGCGGGACCAAGTCGCACCGCAACAAGTGGCATGGTTCAAAAACGCAGTCACCCCTGTGTAATGGTATACATCTGGATGATGGTGTACACAGAGGCAGCAGCAGCTGCTGAAATAGTGCTCCAAACGCAGAGCACAGAGCGTTTCACACTTGGAAGACTAGAGATCACTCGGAACATATTGCGACTCTGAGTTTCATGCTATTGTCCAACAACCATGGCGGTGTATATGTATACATAGAGCAGGAGGGGGGGGGGGAGGAGACTCGGAGAGAGAGAGCGAGAGAGCCTCGGAGAGAGAGAGAGCGCGAGAGAGAGAGAGAGAGAGAGAGAGAGAGAGAGAGAGCGAGAGAGAGAGAGAGAGAGAGAGAGAGAGAGAGAGAGAGAGAGAGAGAGAGAGGATAGAGTTAAGCACATGTTCCATTTGTGTTGCATATGGCACACTGCCCCCTGCACAGGCCAATAGGGATATTTGAGAACCCGCTCATCTACACATCTGTGAGAGTTCACGACTCTATCCCACTGGATGCCAATGAAGTGTTGGTCGTCTACCTTCAGGGAGAGGACAAGATTGAGCGGCGACTGGTCTACGGTCCCCAGCAGTTTTTCCTGGCAGCCAACGAATGGTAAGCGGCTGCAGACTGACGTACTGTGAATATTTCAACGCGACTTTGCACTCGGTTACTGTCCCTTGCTGGTTTACATCTACCAGTGTTCAGCTGGGAAGAACTGAAGTGGTTTTTCGTGTGTGTAGCCAAGGACTTAGTGTGGCGGCGTACGCTGGAAGTTACAGTGTCGCTGTAATCATTGGTATGCTATTAGGGTGTTCTGGGCTCAAGCCTGTGACAACCAGTACAGTACCGCACATAGTCAATGTACGCAGAGTACCACAATCCAACCGATTGTATAAAATACACGTGCATGTTTCAAGCGGAGTTGCCAATCTCGTCAACATGGGGGGGGGGGGGAGGTGGAGGTGCTTAGCCATCCCTACTCTGCTGCTCTCTGCTTGGTACACATACTTCATGCAAAACACATGCACACACACATTCATTCTCTCTCTGTCTCTGTCTCTCTCTCTCTCTCTCTCTCTCTCTCTCTCTCTCTCTCTCTCTCTCTCTCTCTCTCTCTCTCTCTCTCTCTCTCTCTCTCTCTCTGTCTCTTTCTCTCTATCTCTCTCTATCTCTCTCTCGCTCTCTCTCTCTCTCTCTCTCTCTCTCTCTCTCTCTCTCTCTCTCTCTCTCTCTCTCTCTCTCTCTCTCTCTCTCTCTCTCTCTCTCTCGCAGGATACACAATTTCAGCTGGCATGGCACAGACCCAGCAAACAAGACTCGCAAGATTCCAAACGCGCTGTGCTTCTCCAAGTTGCGTGTTATCCCCGATCAGTTCTACTATAATGTGAGCAAAACTGACTTTGCACTAGCTTGTTTTGAAGGGACGGAACGTGGTCGTACCATGTTTTACTGGGTATGCAAGGTTTACAAACCTTGCAAGAACACTGGTGCACATACAAAACATGCATGGGTTTCTTGATGTGTGCATCATTTTGGCCTAATTTCAAATAAGCAGTTTACTACTGAAGTATGGAAATCAAATTTGCAAGCTTGGCCTGTAAAAACACTCGTCTTCTGAGATTTCTCTGTGCTGCCCGACTGAGTTGACAGAGGACTGAACTGTTCTGTTTGCGGACTGACTAGGTGTGTCCTTGCATATTTCATATCATACCTATCTCTGGCCTAGTGAAAACTGGCTGTAACGTTATTCCTAGCAGTTAGAGCACCGTGACGGTTGCTGGTTTACAGCTCTCTAACCAGAAACCCAGTTCAATTCGATTCTCCCCGTCAATCTAGGATCCACTGATGAGGTGTAGTCTGGTGGAAAAGTGGCTAGCCGTGTGGTAATTGTGTGCTTGTCGTGCCTGAACATAAGGGTTTGTGATTCATTTTCTCCAGTGCTCCTAGTGTGCTGACCCCATTACTTACCATAGCCTAGGAGCTGTGTCATCATTCATCATCCACAGCAAGAATGCAGCAGTGCCTGTATCTATGGCGACGGAAATAAGGAATGCATAAGATAACTTGTGAGGCGCCGCCTGCTTATGCTCCACTGTGTGATTTGTTGCCAAGTGATTTCCATCGACTCCTGAAGTTGTGACCTGACTGCAAGGGCGATAGGCCTGCACCGTATGTATTGTCCAGTTCATTGACTCGTGTGTGCTATTCCCGTGCACTGCATCAGGTTGATGAGGTACGGACGAACGATGATGCTGTCATCAAGGTGAAGCTGATGATATTCTTCGAGCTGCGCGATGTCGAACTGATGGTGAGTGAACCAACGACTTGCTTCTTTATGTGCTTGCTCTTTGAGTGTGCACCCGAATCCCAAAGAGAACACACTCCCCCCCCCCCCACCCTCCATGCCTTTGCTATTCCGACTTTCTTTTTTCCGTTCTCTTGTGTTCCAACTTGCCAAATGTGTAGCTCGCCCAGACGGCCGATCCCATTGGCGACTTCATCAAGTAAGCTTTACACTGAAGACATCAATGGTACTTGATTTTAATTGCACATGTGCACGTCCAACCGTGCTCACGAACAGCAAAGAACTGTCCTGTCTGCAGATTTTGGGCTAGATGAAACAGATCCTGGAGGTAGCTGAGCTGGTCATTGCTCTGACTAGCCAACTGATCACTCGGGCTTCTAGCTGATGCAGCATGTCCACCCTTGCTCGATGGCGCATTCCTGCAACTCTGTGATAGAGGAGAAATACCCCTACATCGTGCTATTTGAGCTGCTCATAAGTATCTCTTTTCTCCATTTTGTGTGCTGTGCAGTGCGCTGTGTGCTGATGTGGTTGCCTTCAGTTCACAACTGAGGTAAGATTCACGGTGATCACATTAATTTTGTATTGCTCAAAGACGGTGACCACCGTTCCGACAGGGTCTTTTTGTCATGTCCCGCTTTTCTATCCCTCTTTACACACAAGAGATGAGAGCAGGAGAGAAGAGGGTATTTGGTGGGTGGGCGGGTATCCCTCTTTACATACAAGAGATGAGAGCAAGATTAGAATCGTACATGTGAAGTGCGAGACTCTGGCAGTAACCTGAACAGAGAGTGCAAACACGTGATGCCCTTATCCCTCTGTTTCGTATTCCACATGTGTGTTCCGGTCGGCAGCTATGAGGAGTTCCTGGAGCAGACCAGCGGGCTCAATGACATGGACTCGTACCCGGTCCTCATGGAGCGCTCAAAGCGCATGGGATACGCTGTCACCAAGGTGATCTTCCGCGGCTACCACGCAAGTGACCAACTTCAGGTGAGCAAACCGCTAGTCTTGCTGGCTGGCTTACAATACTGTCTGTCGCCGAAGAACCGGGGGGGGGGGGGGGGGGGGGTGCAGCCTCCTAGGTTAGATCGTTCTCATTTTCATGTACTACAGTCTATTCATAGTTGAGTCACCGTGTATACATTGGTATGCTGTGCTTGATGAAATTCTAGCCTGGCCGGTCTTCAGCGCCCGTCAGTACTGTAGGGCACTGTACTATTGGCCTTCTGTTTGAACTGACTAGACAGGCTATCAGGGTACAAATGAATGGATTTGTTTGGTATACTAGTAGTTGTTCAACTACTACCGGCTACCCGACTGCTGCACTCCGTGACATGCCAAGCTGCGGAAAGTGAAACCTGTATGTAACTAGTGTGTGTGTGTGTGTCTGTGTGTGTGTGTGTGTGTGTGTGTGTGTGTGTGTGTGTATCACTGTGTGCGGGTGTGTGTACGTGCATGTGTGTTCTTTGTCTCCATATGGTGTTCTTGCAGGGTATGCATGACCGAGCTGTCAGTCGCCGAACTCAACTACAGCTTCAGGTTAGCGTGCATTCACCGCATTGTACTCGATTCAGTGGACTGTATACAGTGGAGCTGGCTGTGTACAGCGGAGTGGACTGTGCACAGTAAAGTGGACTGTGTACGGTGGAGTTGACTGTGTACAGCGGAGTTGACAGTTTACAATGCAGTGGACTGTGTACAGAGGAGTGGACTGTGTACAGCGGAGTGGACTGTGTACAGTGGAGTGAACTGTGTACCATGGAGTGGACTGTGTACAGCGGAGTGGACAGCGTACAGTTCAGTGGACTGTGTACTGTTGAGTGGGCTGTGTATAGTGGTGTGAACTGTGTATAGTAGAGTGGACTGTGCACAGTGGAGTGGACTGTGTACAGCGAAGTGGACTGTGTACAGCGGAGTGGACTGTGTACAGCGTAGTGGACTATGTTTATCGAAGTGGACCGTGTACAGTAGAGTGGGCAGTGTACAGTGAAGTGGACTGTGTACAGCGGAGTGGACAGCGTACGGTTGAGTGGACTGTGTATAGTGGTGTGAACTGTGTATAGTGGAGTGGACTGTGTACATTGGAGTGGACTGTGTACAGCGGAGTGGACTGTGTACAGCGGAGTGGACTGTGTACAGCGGAGTGGACTGTGTACAGCGGAGTGGACTGTGTACAGCGGAGTGGACTGTGTATAGCGCAGTGGACTATGTATATCGGAGTGGACTATGTACAGTGGAGTGGAGGACTGTGTACAGCGGAGTGAACTGTGTACAGCTGGTGTGGATTGTGTGCAGTCGATGGAATGGACGGTGTAAATATTATACAGTTGTAGAGTAGAAATGGACTATGTGGAGTGAAATGAACAGTGCACATTGATTGTATTGAAAGCAGAAATTATTTTGTGTGTGTGTGTGGGGGGGGGGGGGGGTGTACATTCTGAACTGATTACATGTACAAATGCTGCATTCACGTCATTGACACGGGGCTCACCCTGCATTAACCAAGTAGCAGCAAATAACTGCTGTGGATTCGGTGGCTACAGGATGAAATGCTTAGGTATTCTGGGGGAGAAGGGGGGGGGGGGCTACATGATAAAATGCTTAGGTATTCTGGGGGGGGGGGGGGGGGGCTATACCCGTCGTCCTTGGCTTTGATATAATCTCCTTCCATCATGGTCCAAGCCAGAGAAGTGTGCAGTCTTTTTCTCTTTGCATTCTGTAAGGCTGAAATCCTTGTGGTCTGTTTGCTCCTGCATGCACTGCACTCCGTCGTTCTCAATGAATTCCTCGGTGTCTACTTTCTCCTGCATGCACTGCACTCTGTTCTCCATGTAGATGGAATCCGAAGAGCAGAAGCAGTCGCTCACTGATCTGCAGATGCAGAGAGAGCTCGAGCGAGCGGAAACAGGTTGGTGCTGGAATGGATAATCCGCCGAGCCCGGCGGCACTCGGCAGCTATTGGTGGCATCTTAGGAAGAAGGTGTGAAATTCCTTTTGCCCATGTGATTTGTTTAGAAGTCACTATTAAAGGGCAACGATTATTAATATTATCTTCCCCCATCATACCCTGGTTGCCAATCACTGTGTTGCTTTTGCCCGTAAAAAGAGGCTATACTCTCTTCACTAAGGGCAACTGCAACTGCATTCTATTTCTAATGATAGTACGTTGTACTGTAATGTGCTTGGTGTCTTGCTGTTTGCCTGTCTGCAGAGCAAAAGCTAGCGCTGGACAAGAAAATGCACGAGCAGAAGCTGAAAATGTGAGTTTGAGACGTCTAGAGTGCAATGCATAAATATAACAACTCAGACATGGGCGCTTTGTTTATACTTCGAAGTAGATTTTGTCTCCCACAGTGTATGCGCCCGCTGTGCTTATAGATAGTTCTTGGTGCATCAGCCTCAATGGTCCTTGAGTCAAAACTGAGCACGCAATGAATCATGCTGTGCCAGCTTGGCATGCCTCCCCTCCCTACCCCCAAGCCGTTCTTTTCCAGAGCGTTGTTTTCATCCCCTTTTCTGTCTCTTCCACTTTGGCTCTTTGCACTGTGGCGGCATTGACTGTGTGCCTTGATGGCTCTGTGTCTCTTTGCATTGTGCCTTGACTGTGTGCTCAGTGAAAAGACAGGGCACGAGGTCAAGATTGAAAAACTGCAAACAGAAGAGAAGATACGGCAGTTTAGGGCAGAGAAGGACGCGCAGACAGAGGTGAGAAAGCATAGCCTGCACCGACCAAAATAACACATTTACCACAAAGTTTTAATACCGTAATAAAATTATCCGGAGTATAAGCCCCACTTTGCTTTTGCTCGTACAACTTGCTATACAGCAGAGTCGCGGGCCGAAGAACGTCCAGCCTGAAATGCTAAGAAGTTCGCCACAGCCTAAAGTTAGGAACGGCGGTGTTGGTTTTCCGGCAGCTTTTGGGATACATATGATGCAGTATGAATTGTTTCTAACGTGTTGTAAAAACGCAGCCAGGTTGCTGAAAAAAAATAAGACCGCCCCAGGCACAACGTTCTTGGACACGCGACTCTACTGTATGTGTGACCTTGCCGTGTGTGTGATGCCTTGCTATGTGTGTGATCTTGCCGTACGATCCTGTTTTAAAATGTGTTTGTGTTGTCCGCACCCAGAGTTCTCGTCAAACTAACGCCCAGATCCTGTCGCATCTCGGCGGCCTGCAGGAGTCTGGGGTCGATATCACCGAGTACATGCTCAGCCGCTTACCCAAGCCGGACAAGACCATCCGCGTCGTTACAGCAGGCCCCGGCACGCCCAACGTGCATGTCCATCCATCCTGAGCCAAAGCCAAAGCCATGCTTCGAACAACCATTAAAATCGACGTCTTTGACCAATCCATTGAAATCGTGCGCGTGCAAACGACTGACTATATGCTATCTGTTGTGCGAGTGTTGGGTGAATGTAACCTTACGTAATCGACTGAGTTGATCCACGTTGTTGCATAAAACCTTCCAAGTTTTCACCCACATGAGGGCATGATCAGGGGTGCACATTGTCTGCAATTTATTATTCTTTTAGCTTCTTATACCCCCCCCCCCTCCCCCCTGCCTGTTTGCGCCGGTTGCAGCAGCTGTATAGAGTGTTGCATTGTACTTCTTTCTGGTCCCCCCCATCCCCCATCCCGCCAGTACAACCACTGCTGGCACCCTTCTTGAGATAGCATAGTATAGGCGCTGCACTTCCATTGCCACAATGAAGGAGCCTGCAATCCAGCACCATTCTAATGATCACTAGTGGTGGCTTGCACTCACATGTCTGGGGTGTTGTATGGTATGCTGTATGCGAGTGAGCGAGAGAGAGAGAGTAGGGAGGGGAGGGGACGAAAGGCAAAAGAGCATGCTATAGGATGGCGAGTCACCGCGGACCCTATTCCTCGGCAGGTCGGTATTGATTCACTCATGGCAGCTCCCAAGCGCAGCTGGGTAAGGCACTGCTGCGAGGAGAACACACACAGGAGTGTCTGTGAGGTAATCTTGGGGTGGAATTCGTACATACCGTAGAGTCTTGCATTAAATTATAGTATAAAAAAACCTCCAGTCATTTGTGTGTTCTGAAAAGCAGTTAATATTTCTGGTAATCACTCATATAAAAAACCAGGTGCTATAAAAAACCTGTATAAAAAACCTGGTGCTATAAAAAACCACTTTTTAGGGAAACGACTGAGGTTTCTTATGCTATAATTTAAATAGCAAGCTTCGCCCTCGTGTTCACGGGGAAAAAACCCTCGGCAAATAACCTCGGCTTCGCCTTGGTTTTTTGCCTCGGGTTTTTATTTCCCGTAAACACTCGGGACTCAGCTTATATTCTTTACTTAAAGCCTGCCTATCTCATAGAAGCCTGTTTTGAATAGAAGCCTGATTTTCCAGATCCCCTGTTGGCACGTAAGCCTGGTTTTAGTGTTGGCACACATAGAAATACCTGGTAACAGTGGTTTGAATAGAAGCCTGATGTGAATGTAAGCCTAACCCTGACATCGGCTTCTACAGGAATAAGCCCGGCTTTAACACGCGGCATTTATACTACGGCTACGCCTAACTAACTTCGACCAGCCACTCTTGTCGGACGCTTTCTCGAAATTCAGCCAAGCCATGGTTAATAGTAGTAGTACAGTGTGCGGTGCATGTGATTGTGTCTTTTAAGACATGTTAAAACATCCTGGGTACGGGTAATGCATTGGTCAGCATGATTGGTGCAATCTCCTGGGTGCCGTGGTCACCGGCACATGCACAGCCAGTAAGTCTGTTTGTTCATGAGCCAAAATTTCACTTTGTCGTGTAGTCTGACTCATGACTACGGACCAACATCAGGTCGCAATCACAGTTGTAGTGGCGCAGATGAATACTCACGGCTTGTAAATGGTTGGCAGACAGGTGATTGGTCGCCCATTTCGGAACTGGGTTACAGTCTGTTTTCTTTGGGATAGTGTGGGTTTCGCCCGGTGAAAACCAGCCCGACGTAAAATACCTCACCTATCAAGAAGCAGCTAAAAATCGCCCAGTAGAATTGCAGGGTTCTAGCCAGGTCAAAATACTGGGGGGGGGGGGGGGGGGCAGAGGAAACAGCTGAGCTACCACGCGAGGACAAGAAAACGTCGACATTGCGTTGGACATTGACAAGGTGGTCTAACGGACACTTTTGACCCTGAGTGCTTCTTCCAGTAGAGTGGGGTATTGCGGTGTACCAAGACCTGTCACTGGATCCCAGCCGGCCGTTGAGCAAAAGCCAGTGTTGTAGTCGCCGCATCCCTGGCTGCACCCATGCGCCATGTCAGTCAATCCGGCAAAGCCATGCGCGTAGAGGAACGGGTTGAGGAAGCCCAGAGCTGTCTTGCCATGCCCGTTGATCAGCTGGTCGTTGACCAGTGAGATGATACCCGAGAACGTCGGAGCGGCACACGAAGTTCCATATGCAAAAGAAGGTGTCAAGTCAATAATTATCTCGTATCCCGTCGCCAAAGCAGAGACATCTGGGAATCCACGGCCGTTCTTGTCATAACAGGACTGGTTTGGAAGGTTCTGTGACGTGGACAAGAACTTCTTGACATCAGTCGCCTGATAGGCCGCCCGTTGGAACACGTTGGAGAAGCCCCCGCCGGAGAACGAAACGCCCATTTCCGTTGACGCAGAGGAGTCCAGCGCACTGCTGAGAGTAGTTCCACCAACAGCTGTCACGTACGGACTAGTCGCCGGGAAGCTGGGACGGAAGTGCTGCTCGAAACACCCAGCACCGCTATCGCCGCTTGCGAACAGGAGCGATGTGCCACGGGCGCCGATTTTCTGAAATTCCACATTGATACGTTGCATGTAGGGGATGGAGAGTGAATCTTCATGATCCCCATAGCTGACGCTGATCACATTGGGGATGGTGGAGGAGTTTGCAACAGCTTTGATCCACACTAGGAATGGCTCCTAGAAACCACACGAGCAGACAAAGACAACACATGAGTGTAGTTTATAGATTAGATGTATTGATTAGATACATGGATGTGCATTGTAGGGTTATAGCCAAAAGAAAAGTGAAGGGGAGGGGGGGGGGGGGGAGGATCATCGGACCCAAATTGTTATGATTTCACCGCCATTATCTGTTGCCATTTCGGTCTCTACTTTCAAAGACAGCAGTAACCCACCGACCAACTTTAGCTCCATGTATTTATTCAGCGGCCACTGGAACCCGCCATGAGTATGGGTTTCAGAGGTACTGGGTGATGATTACAGGATGCAATGACTCATACAATGCTGTTTTATAGTTACAAAAAGGTGGCGCTCTCATTCTGCAGGGTGGCGCTCTCATTCTGCAGGGTGGCGCGTTCATTCTGAAAGGGGGCGGTCAAAAAACGAAGGAGGGTGCAGCACCCCGCTATGGGGCTTTGGCGAGAACCCTGCATTGTATAATGATAAACAAGTGCAGGTACTAGTATGAAACTCCTACGCCACCAAAGACAGCTTAGGGCTTTTGCTGGAGCAGAGCGTCAAGGATATGCAACTGTGTGCCTAAAAAGAAATCTACAATAGCTAGACTGTAAAAGAAAAGTTGTCTCCACTCACCTGGTCTTCATGTTTGCCTCCGGTGTACCAGAAATACGTCGGGATATTGGCACCAAGCGCCATGATATACTCGATATCCAGCGATGCCTCGAGTCCTGCTTCGCCAGAGTTGTTTCCAATCACCTTGGCTACCTTGCTCATGTGTGTGAAGCCAGTTCCATACTTCTCCATGAATTTGGTCAGATCTGTAGCATGATAATATTCGTCTGAGAACTGGGCCACAGACTGGATGTTTTTATTCTCCTCGCCGGCTCCTACCGAACTTCCCACCTTGTAAAGTTCTCGTAGTGAAGAGGGCTCAGCCTGCAAATTTACGCCATGAGCCTTGGCAATCGCATACTGTGTCGAGTTGGCGAGCCGCTGCTGCCTGTGAGGCAAGCGATGCACACCACCGACAAAGTCTAAATGATCTGCTACCTCGGCAGGAACTGTATAGTGATTGTTAGCTCTCAATGCTAGTGCACCATCCATCTCGTGTTGATAGAATGACACTTGAAGCAGTTGCGATGCTTGGCTAACTGTGACATCACACTCCAGAAACTCGTGTGCCTTGGTGTATTTGCACGACTGGGAGACGGAGACATCAGTCCCGTTTAACCATTCCTCAACAGCATGTAGAGATGCCCTGGACGGTCGTACCAAAGCATCGACCTGATCAGCACTCAGGAACTGTCCGTACTGTGGACTGCCGGGAGTTGAAACTGCCAGCAACTTTTCCTCCAGCGCGATCAGGTTGCTCTGACGCAGAGCAAAGACTAGTTTGTGATCGTCGTCGGGTTTTGCTAGACCCAGCTGCTTCCAATCTGGGTGGTGCTTTGCCAGCAGCTGATCAGCTTCCAGGCGCACTCGTGCACCCAGCACCGAATTACAGCAGATTAGGGCCACAGAGGCCGTCAGAAGAAGCTCAATGGCTTGCATCATGCAGGTGTGCTGGTTTCTCCCCAACGGCTACGTTCTGCTTCGAGTTTTTTTCGACACTGGTTTACTAGTATTCTGTAGCTACCTGCTTATTGCCTGCTACAAAATGTAGTGGGTGCTGCTGCCGGCATGCCACTGCAGAGCCAGAGGATTTCGAAAGTAGATTTTGAAATGTGCCAGCGTGTCACTAACACGTGTCACAGTCAGAGTAGCTGTAGACATAGAAATTAATTATTTTCTAAAACATTTAAAATTTTGAAGCCGTGTACACGTGCGCACGCACGTGCACGTAGAGAATTTTTTACTGAAGACACAATGACATGCGCGCTGATATGATATGCATGCAGTGCATGCAATGCATAAAGCGAATACACTGCATCAAGAGTAGATTATTTCGGTAGAGAAATCAGGCAACTAATAGTAATACTATGCCTATGCCTATGGCTATACTATAGACTAGTTAGATTACACCTAAAAGGCACCAGAGTTTGCACTGTATGTGAAGGGAATCATGCGGCTGGTCACCAGAGCAGAGTTTGCACTGTATCAGTGTATGTGAAGGTAATGCTGGTCACCTAATTCTACATTGCAGCTGAAACCTGGCAGGTCCCTGACACCGAAATTTTAATACACGTAAAATACATGTTATACCGTAGTAGGTAGCGCCTCCATGAAGGAATCATAATTATTATGAATATGATTCAAGTGTGTGTGCTGGTGAGGCAAGCCAACACATGTGGCCATGACAACGCCGACTGCCGGTTTCGGCGCTACCACGAGCTTGTCGCGTACCGTGAGAGTTCAAGTTATAACGGAGGAGAGACTGCGGAGACGAAATGGAGAGCCTGAGGCCGGGATTATCATTCAAGAGAGAGAGGGGACTTTTGTGAAAGGTGAGGAGAATCGGGGATGTGGGAGTGCAGATGATGTAGGGACACTGAGAAGTTTCAACATGCCGGCAATGGCCCGGCTCGGCATGGGGCACGTCGGGCCTGGGGGAGCCGCTGACTGGCTAGCTTTGTAATTGTAGCAAGCAGGGAGTAGTGCTCCCCGGTTATCAGATGGGTAGACCGTTGAACGTTAGGGATGAACTTGCGGCAAAGCCTATAGCTAACAAATACTTTCTTGCCTCAGACAGAATACAATAATTATAGTACATGCACTAGCTTGATATTGTCGACAGATGCACGCGGCATGACCCTTATCAAGTTGATTTTTCATATGAGTATGCATCCTTCTTATTCTCCCTATCCGGTCAGGATACGCATTAATAGAGAGGTTCTGCTATACGTGAAACGTAGAGAAATCACATAGAGAGCAGGTGTCTGGGTTAGAGTCTACGGCTTCGCGTGTTTTGGCTCCAGATTTCTACGCGGAGATGAGGTTCTCTACGTTGTGGCACACGCAGAGAAAATGCGTACGAATTTGCTGGATATCGATCAACTGCATGCAGAAAACTGCCAAATATGGAAGGGGAAATTCCCAGTACGTGAAACGTACAGCAACGTACAGCAAAACAGGATTTATTTACGTTACGGGAACGCGAAGAGAGTTCGTGTGATTCTTTGCGTCGCATTCCCAAAACGTAGAGCAGAACATCCCTAATATTTTAATCCGAGAGCAGGGTTGGCCGGAACGACCGGATTTTTTTGTTTTGTTGCGAAAAACGTACTCTGTACGTGATGCTTGTACAAATGGTGCCATATTAAAAAGGGATGATGCGAAATCGTTGCTGTCTCTCATGGAAACCCTCGGAAATCACTCAACTTCCAGATTCGATCAAGGGCAGCGTTTGATTGGACCGTGGTGGATCCAAAGTATCCACTCAATCAATCTGACTAAATTTATGCGATCATGGAAATGTGCACCTTGGACTTGAGCCAGCATGGCCGACATCATGTGTCCCATAGCCATAGGTGCAGCGGGTAGGGCCCGGTTCATTTGGAACCAACAGGGCTGTGCTGTATACCAGTCATGTGATAGAGGTGCAACAGCTCTATTCCAGGTCAGTCTGGTCACCATGGTTCAGTCCCGTTTTGTGTACTACCAGTAATCACCTTCATCTGTTCTTGACATCGAGAAATCATGCACCTCACTTCTTTCACATGGAGATACCCGCGATAGGCATCCATTTGCCTTTGCAGACATCTACTAAATACACCAAATTGAACTGAATGGAAGCTGAGACTCACTGTGACTTCTACAGATGAAATGATCTCCATTACATCAGGACACCACGACAAACATTGATTTCTTTAAATTTTCAAAGATGTTTTCACGCACAACCTAGTACATCGCCCAAGTCGCACCAACCTCTTCTTCACATTCTTAACCTACTACATGTCACAGTAATTCTGAGAGAAACTATACTGAACAGAAAAGGGACTTCCCCAAGAGAAGGCCTGCGGCCTGCTGTACTACAACTACAGGTATGACGTGGACAAGGACTAATCTTCTGCCAGTGAAAATATAGCATTGTCACGTAATGTGATTATCCTAGAAAACGCCTGCGCTTTGGGAGCAACTTGATTTTCATAAAATTCTTGGAGGTGGGTGCTGTAGGGCATGGACAAGGTCTAATGGACATTTTTGGCTTTAAGTGCTTCTTCCAGTAGAGAGGGGTATAGCGGCGTTCCAAGACCTGTTACCGGATCCCAGCCTTTGACAGAGCAGAAGCCATCGCCACTGCATCCCTCGTTGCAGCCGTGCTCTATGTCAGTCAATCCGGCAAAGCCGTGCGCGTAGAGGAACGGGTTGAGGAAGCCCAGAGCTGTCTTGCTATGCCCGTTGATTAGTTTGTCGTTGACCAGTGAGATGATACCCGAGAACGTCGGAGCGGCACACGAAGTTCCCGAAGCAGGAACTGGAAACAAGTCCATGATGACCTCAAAGTTCACCGCCAAAGCAGACACATCTGGATAGCCGCGGCCGGTCTTGTTGAAGAAACGCTCGCTTGGAATATGCGTCGATATGGAAAAGAACTCTTTGATGTCCGCAGCTTGGTAACTCACCTGCTGAAAGACATTCGAGAAGCCACCGCTGGAGAAGGAGACACCCATTTCCGCTTCCCCGGACAGCTGTGTCCCGCCGACGGACGTGACGTACGGACTTGTCGCTGGAAAGTTTGGCCGGAACACCTGCTTGTGACAGCCGGCGCCGTCATCACCGCTGGCGAAGAGGATGGACGTGCCACGGACTCCGAGCTTCTGGAATTCCACATTGATACGCTGCATGTAGGGGACGGAGAGCGTATCCTCATCATCCCCATAGCTGACGCTGATCACATTGGGGATGGTGGAGGAGTTTGCAACAGCTTCAATCCACACTAGGAATGGCTCCTGGAAACCACACGAGGAGAGAGAGAGAGAGAGAGAGAGAGAGAGAGAGAGAGAGAGAGAGAGAGAGAGAGAGAGAGAGAGAGAGAGAGAGAGAGAGAGAGAGAGAGAGGGAGGGAGGGAGGGATGGAGGGAGAGAGGGAGGGAGGGAGGGAGGGAGAGGGAGAGGGAGAGGGAGAGGGAGAGGGAGAGGGAGAGGGAGAGGGAGAGGGAGACAGACAGAGAGGGGGGGGGGGGAGGAGGAGAGATAGATAGAGAGAGAGAGAGAGAGAGAGAGAGAGAGAGAGAGAGAGAGAGAGAGAGAGAGAGAGAGAGAAAGAAAGAGAGAGAGAGAGAGCAAGGTTTTAAAAGAAGATGAGCACACACAGAATATGACCATGAGGCCTTCTGGAATAGAGCTCAATGTGCACAGGGAAGAATCATAAAGCACAGGGAATTTCTTGAAGTATTACATTTCTACCAAGGCAACTTAGAAGTTGCGACTTTGGCAGGAAGTGTGTGTTCCACGAAGGAGCAACCAACTTCATTACACTTCTACTTTGCTTCATGCATCAAACGCATCAACTACACTACTACTGTATGCTATGAGCATGGTAAGGCTCAAAGTTGAGCTTCATGGCAAAACAACCACCATCATGCCGCAGCAGCAGCAAGATTATTATCATTGAAATAGCCGTTTACTTCCATGCATCACTTATGAGAAGAAGAGAGTTGTTGTTGTTGTTTGGCTTTATTTAGAGTGGAGTTCCAAAACAGGCCTAAACCTAATGACAATGGTCCCACTGGGAGAGAGCCCAGTGACTTACCTTGGGCCACGGTTGCTCAGAATATTGGCATACATCTACCACAATTTAAGCATAAGATGTATGGCGTTACATACCTGTAGATCATTGAGCTCAAAGAGAACCCAAACTTTATTTGATTTGATTTTTAGACTTTAGACTCACCTGTCCTTCATGTTTGCCTCCCGTGGACCAGAAATACGTCGGAATGTTGGCACCAAGCGCCATGATATACTCGATATCCAGCGATGCCTCGACTCCTGCATGGCCAGTGTTGGGTCCAATCTCCTTGGCAACCTTGCTCATATGTGTGAAGCCAGTTCCAAACTTCTCCATGAATTTAGCCAGATCTGTAGCATGATAATGTTGGTCTAAGAACTGGGCCACGCACTGGATGTTTTTATTCTCCTCACCAGCGCCAACCGAACTTCCCACCTTGTAAAGTTCTCGTAGTGAAGAGGGCTCAGCCTGCAAATTTACACCATGAGCCTTGGCAATCGCATACTGTGTTGAGTTGGCGAGCCGCTGCTGCCTGTGAGGTAAGCGATGCACACCACCGACAAAGTCTAAATGATCTGCTACCTCAGCAGGAACTGTATAGTGATTGTTAGCTCTCAATGCTATTGCACCATCCATCTCGTATTGATAGAATGACACTTGAAGCAGTTGCGATGCTTGGCTAACTGTGACATCACACTCCAGAAACTCGCGCGCCTTGGTGTATTTGCACGACTGGGAGACGGAAACATCTGTCCTGGTTAGCCAGCCCTCAACAGCATGTAGAGATTTCCTGGAAGGTCGTACCAAAGCATCGACCTGATCAGCACTCAGGAACTGTCCGTACTGTGGACTACCGGGAGTTGAAACTGCCAGCAACTTTTCCTCCAGCTCGATCAGGTTGCTCTGACGCAGAGCAAAGACTAGTTTGTGATCGTCGTCGGGTTTTGCTAGACCCAGCTCCCTCCAATCTGGGTGGTGCTTTGCCAGCAGCTGATCCGCTTCCAGGCGCACTCGTGCACCCAGCACCGAATGGTCACAGCAGACCAAGGCCACGAAGACCGCAAGAAGAAGTCGATAAGTTGCCATTGTGCAGGTCTTGGATGGATATGATCCTTCCCGGCGCTCTTCTTCTTTTTCTTCTCTATAAAATTAATAATTTGAGACAAGCCACGGTAATTCCGTGCAGTCACGATCGGCTATGCGATATCGTTGCGTCTGCTGTGTAAAAGGCTATGGCCGGTAGATCGATACGCCTTCGCCAGCCCGCACTGCACTGGGCAAATCTTCGGTTTAGCCACTACCTTTGTGGGTGATTCAGACTCAGAGTGGGCTTCGCGACGAAGTAATCATGGTAATACATGTACCATGAATACTGTATCTGTAGTATTTCATGCACCATGCAAGCTAGCTCGCGAGATCGCATCACTCACTCATGCTCTCCCCTCGTGATCTCGGAACATCTGCTGATCCTGACCTGACCTGTTCGATCAGCCGAGCCAGATGCACGCTGTTCTAAGTACAATGCGGTTACAGTCTGTGTGAGTTCAGCAAAACTGTTTTCTAAATGTAGCTACCACACGCCCACAGCACCAGGCCGGAGTCCGCAGAGTCAGTGCTATGACACCGCCACATAACCATGATAACACGACTCCGGAGCCCCTTGATCATTTGAGTCCTTGCGTCCTTGGCTTGGTAGCTGCCATCCCTACGTGTAGAGGTATTTAGCCGTGGAACTTTTCTTCCGTCTCAGAACCTGCATGGATACTGTTTCCAGGTATATCTACACTCATGGTACATGCATTGCGTTCTTTCGACGATGACACATAATGACGTCATGTCATTGACAGCAGCTTTTTGGTTGATGGTGTGACTGTCACAAGGTTTGGGTAATCCTGAAATAAAGATTATCATTAGGCCAAAACAAAAAATAGGCTTGTTTCCGGTCGGCAACCCCTCAAAAAGGTGACTCGGTCGGCCGGAATGAAACTTTTTTTGGATACTTTTTTTTGGTTCCTCAATCGTTGTGGCATTGATAGACAAGAGCACCTACACATGTACATTGTACATAATTGTACATATATCATGGCAAGGATCAATGTCAAAGTTGACTGACTCACTGTTCTTGTACAGCATGTGGTTGATTCCTGTTTTCGTACATCCTGAGAAATCAAGCAAATAGTTCGAGTCCTTCCAGCTCCGTTATTCTAGCTCGTATCGACCCCTGAGGTTTCGAACCGACAGCTGCTACCTTGTAGGTGTTTCGATTGTGGACTTCGGTTGAGATTTGACTGAGTAGTGACTCGTTAGTGCACTTGCACACATGGCATTGCCACCGTTTGCATACATTTGGGACCAAAAAAAGTTTCAGAATTTGGGAAAAAGTGGCCCGGTCGGGCGACCGGAAACAAGGTCATTATTTGTTTTGGCCTTATACTCAGCTCATGGGAGCCGCTCCAAGCAAGAGGGAGTCTAACGGATCTCTGCTCATCAAGCTGAGAAAATCCTGTCCTTAGAACATCTTTACTAACAAGTACAGCCATGTAGATATCTACAAGGAGGACATTTTACTTCCTCTACTAGTACTTTATCCAGCGAAGAGGGCTCAACACAAGTATTAGAATAAGGTGGAGCACTGCTACGCACACACCAATGCAGAAAGGAGGTTTGCGGCTTGGATGCCTAGGGTGTGGTTCACTATGACATTGGTTTCCTAGTCGCCGAGACGGCACCTTCCTTCTTTGTGTGGTCCTTGCATGCCGCAAATGTCCGAGTCCCTCGTGCCTGTGTTTTTAGTTTTTACCTTTCCATCACCACCATTACCTAACCTTTGCGCTTTCGCAGCTTAGTTACCGGTATTATCGCTCAACATGCATGTACATGCAAGAGTACGGGGGCTTATACTCTTGCCAAGTCTTGGTAATAATAGGTAACATGTAAGAGAAACTTAGTCACGATACAAACTTGCACCATAATGTCTTTGTGCTAGCTTGTGAATTCCGTGTAGGGTGAATTCTGTCTCCGTGCTGGCTTATATTAGCCATTTTTGCATCTTCTCCCTATTTCCCTGACCGGATGCCCTCCTGGGGGAAAATTCGGATGAAACTCGAGTCACTGCGTGGTGTAGTAGCCAAGGACTGTTTGTTTGTTGCGGATTGGAGGGTTACAGGAACTTTTGGTGAGTAATGACAGGAACTTTTGGTGAGTAATGACAGGAACTTTTGGTGAGTAATGATGCCATCATTACTCACCAAAAGTTCCTGTAACCATCATTGACGGTAATACATTTCTAGCACTGTGCTTGAAGGCATCATCGCGGCCGAGGAAAATGTGCATGACTTTGATGTGCGTATAACTGATACCCCATTCCTCCTGCCCCCCCCCCCCCCCGGAACCTACCCAGGAATGGGACCAGAATTCCCCTGACCTTCTTATCCCATGGAACCCCCTAAAAATAGTAGGATGTCTACAAGCATCAATGGCATCTACACGGAGCAGCACGGGAGGGGTGGGGGGTGCTGCTGGTCAATACAACACACTGTAGAGTTCGTTGCAGTCAGTTAGCATTCAATGCTTGGTCCGGCACAGGCAAAGAGTGACGGAGAAAATGCGTTATTTATAATGTGTGCTCAACTGGGCGCAGTCGCTACGATAAACGTAAACAGATATTCTTTAGAATGGGCACGGGCAGAGGTTGCCGTGGAGGATTCAAATTACACCTTTTTAACCTCAAGTAAATATCAAATGTTTGAGTCGATTGTGGAGTTTAATAATAGGATAGGACCAGAGTTGTTTGATTCAGTACTCAGTTCAGTTGTTCCAGGTGTTTTCATCAATGTAGGTTTGTAGTGTGGTGCTGTTGATGATGATGTCTTTTGTGAGAATACAAGGCAGGCCTGAGTTGGGCCAGCAGTCTCGCAGTATTAGGGCATGTCCGGCATGTTCCACGCCAGTTTGTCGAGTAGGGTCCGAGTCGGAGCGGCAGGGTGCAGCTTTGCTCGCCGTCTGGCAGTTCCTTGCTGTTAATGTTCCGCACGTGTACAGCAGCTCCACGTCCGAACATCACAAGCAATTTGCCGGCCGTTGCAATGGTGTAATCACACTTGGCTACGATGTCGTCGTGCGTGCACAGCTCTCAGAGCAAGGAAGCCATGGCCTGCTGGTGTGGACGGATCCAGGCTGGGGGGAGGGGGGAGGGCACTGTTCAAGCCACACTGCTGCATGTGGCGCAGCAGTACTGCCGAAAGTAGCTGATGTGGCAGACATGCCGCTCGTGTGCCCACAGGCATGCCGACTTGAAATTCTTGTCGTCACCCGTACATAGTTCACCTGAAAAACAAGAGCAGGAATGCAGGAAATGAGCATGATGATACGACACTCCGTATCTGTAGACACGACATGCAGACAAGTTGCAGAGAGTGCGGCTTTGTTTTTATCATGTTCGTCGTTGCTGCGTCGGCCTTGCACGTTGATGGGATTCGAAGACCCACAAAGCCAGAGATATCACCTCTGCCACTCCACAAACATCTACATTGCATGACTCATCATCCCCAATGAGGATTTTCATGAACAAGTGTGGTCCTATTTTATCCCGACAACCATCACCAACATTCAACTAATCAAACTTAAGCACATTCATTCTCACAACGTTAAAGCTTTTTCAATGACAAGCTCTCACCAGTTGAGGGTGTCTGCTCGCAAGCCCCAGGCGAGCATGTGTTCATGGTCCGGGGCTTTCGCTTGGAAGTGTCGCAGTCACTCTCCGACGTCACTCTCATCTGTTCCGTCCCCGGTTCTCGTTTTTGACACGTAACAGAACGCGTTAGTTTCCCAAAGCCACATGTTACACTACACTGTAGAGGTGATACAACGGAAAATGGCACAAAGAGAAATACAACACAAACGTTGCTAAATTTACTTTTTTTAACCTTCAAAATTATCAGTAGAGCGGTCATTTCTATTGAACATGCACTGTGAGCTGTCGTGCATGCAGCTGAGCCTGAAGAACACAGGTGATGATCTCGACAACGCAGGCTTGATTGATCCAGCCACTGCTGTTTCTGGCGTCATGCTTATGATGCAGCTAGCTTGCAGCACCGGGTTCATTGGCATACTCATACACATGTAATATCCAACACGATATCGTGTACTTTGCCTTCAATACGGCGAGAGTTTGTACAGAACCCAAAGTGCATGCACGAGCACGTGTGATGACTTACCGGAGACCATCGTCCCTTCACCCAGACACCTTCGCACTGGATGTGACGATTGCATGGCTCCATGGAGGCCGGCGGAGGACCCAGATCGCGGCTGTTGTTGCAGTAGATGGGGTCCACGGTCGTGTACTTGACGACGCCAAGCGTCAAGTTCGTCCGCCGATCTGTGGAGCAGTGAACCTCTCTCATCCGCTGGCCACGACGACCGCATTTCGATGAGCACTAGAAGATAGCAAACACAGACATATCCAACCATATTTGCTCAGCATATTAAACTTAAGATGACCATCAGTAATTGGAGTGCTCGACTTTATAGTAGAGCGAGACAGTTCAGTGTAAAGTATCATGGATGTAACACACCCTTTCACTTTGCATCGCACTTTAAGTATCTTTCTTGTGTTTTTTTGTGTGTGTAGATCCTGCCTTTCCTTTTGCGGTCATTCTACCTCGGATATGGAGTACCTCAGCTGTAGGGTACCGGTTTATACATCATTTGGAGGTACGTTATACTGAAGTGTTACTGTGTATTACCTGGGTAACTCATACCAGTTGAACATTATACAAACTAGGGAGAACAAGTAGTCAGTCCTTTGTCCATGTTTATTTGATTTTGCCTGTGTTTCACCTGATGATAAGCCATGCGGCATGAAAGTATACTAGTAAAAACTTTCAAAATGTTCAAGAGCCTGAACTGTATCCTACTTATAAGACTAAGAGTTAGTATCATTGCATTCTTGTCTCCATGGAAACTTGTAACAAGCAGAAGAGGATGACTAATAATTCAATTTGACTCAGAGTTTCATACACCAGGCGATCGTCAGACAACAGTAATGAGAACTAGCAAACTGGCAAGAACTCGGTGGGCCACTCTCTTACTTTGCTCCACTGCCCGGTATGCCACTTGTACTGGATCGGACACGTTGCGTGATCGTTACCGCAGCGCTCCATCTTCTTGAGCGGCGCCAAGTGACTGCACTGCGAGTCGTCCTTGACCCTTGGTGCTCGTCCGCGATGCGGCACCTCCATACACACCAGTTCGCGGAATCGGTACCCACTCGCACATTGGCTATTACACTGGATGAACACACAATCGAATGGAATATTGGGGACACGCGTTATGGTTAGGAGTAGTAGACATGCGGACGGTGGCTAATGCATTGACACTTGAACTCAGGGACATTCTCATGTACTAAGTAGTCATATAGAACACACATACGACACAAATGATGCTATAGGATGACTCTGGCCACACCATAGAGGTAAGAATTTGACTGACAAATGCACGGGGACCTGGCAAGAGACGCACACACTCACATACATGCACACACACGCAACCACACACATTGCCCCCCCCCCTCCACACACACACACACACACACACACACACACACACACGTGTATCACTATTACCTCGCTCCACTCTCCTCCCTGCCACTGTACACAGTCGCGGCGGCTGCAGTTCTTCATCAGGTTCGGCCTCCTCAACCTGGCACAGAATGACGAATTTACTTTCTGTGATCCCACAGCACAGTAGACACTTCTTGTCTTTGTTCCCGGACCACATGTTGCATCACACTGGAGAATCACACAGAAAAAACATCACCATCTGATTACAGACCTCTAAGCCTTGAGTCAGTGATCGGGACTTTCCCGACCGGCCTTGTGCCGCAAATAGAATACTTCACCACACTTCTTGCTGCACAATACCACGCGGAAGTTATGCGTTTTAATGCTCGGCAGCTTCGTAGCACTGATGTGGAATAGGCGATTGGACTTCTGGTATACACTCCACAGAAGATACTGACATTGTTTGCAAATCTATACATTGTTGCTGGAGGGTAATGGTGGGGGATTCAGTGATTGTGAACATAGGAGAGAAACGCATTACTGGGGGATTACAAATGACAATTGACGTATTACCTTGCTCCACCTTCCCTTGACCCACTGCGTTCTGCAAAGGTCCGGTCGACACGGTCGGATTGAGTTGGGCTCCACCTGCGTGCAGAACTTCTGACTGACTACGGAGTCGACGCCGTTCTCCAGAACTTGCCGGCACGCCACCGTGCGGGTTCTGAATCCCGTACCGTTTCTCCTGCAGCTGGACGAGCATGTCCAACCTCCAGTCACCCATCTAGAAGGCATACAGTGCATATACCACCCAGACACAAAGGCCATCAAGCAGGATTGCCACAGCAAAACTACACTAAGCTTGTCATCATGATTGTACTGTGCATATTCATGGTGTACGCTGCTTTCATTGACTTGAATTTGGGAATTTTTGAATTATCGACCTACCATGATCATAGAATATAATTACAATACAACCTGTGAAGGCGACCACTTGGATAAGGCAACCACCTGTTCCAGAGGACCGCGGCAACCAGGACCAAGGGAGGATACATGTATTTCCAGTCAAACGGCCCTGGATAAGGAGATCACTTGTACACGGGACCACATTTTGAAGGTCCCTTGAGCGTCCGCCTAAGACAGGTTCCACTGAATGCTATAGATCTTGCAACCCAGGCTAGTTACAATAGTGAGCTCAGTCTAGTTACCATGGTGACAGACTAGCAAGTGATTTATGCCAGACTGTTATGACGGCGTGCATGCACACATACCTTGCAGGGCAGCGATGTTGATTGCATGGCTCCACAATGTCGCTGGGCTTCCGTGCACTGTTGGAGCAGTAGCTGGCTGGGAACACCCTCATCTGCCTTGAGCCACAGATCACACTAGCTCTCTTGGTACCTGAGGCACGATCACAAACATCACAAACAAATGATCTTGAATCTCTGCCAACGGACATATTCTATAATTATGGTAACGAGGCTGAGTACAGTGCACCTGTGCTGCATGGACGGATCTCAAACCGAGAGAGCTACAGCGCCATGCATACATGTACAGGTACATACACTGCACAAACTGGTATACAACAGCATGCACTCTACAGTGTGCGGTTCACGATGAACAAGGCCGGCTAGGATGGGCGGTGGAGATCATTCCGGTCCTCCGTTCTTGTGCAGGACTACAACTGGCTACGAACCTGCTCTGCCACGTCTCAATTGAAAAGCAAATAATTGTAACGTTATAGCACTGTCAGCTCTGCATATGTCAGAGCATTCACTCACCTCCGCCACATGAACGTGAACAGTGCGTGAAAGGTAGGAGAATCCACGACAGCTGCTGATCCAGGCCGCCGTTCTGGGCGACGAACGGCGCGTCGTTTGGATCCAGTGAGTTCTGGTTGGCCGCCTGAAGCTGCTGCACCTGCTCATCCGGAGGTGCGTGCTCGGTGGGCGGGTTGAAGAGCGGCTGGAACACCAGCGCGGCGGTGAAGTTCTTCTCCTCCTCGGGGATGCCCTCCTCTATGCGCGGCGGTGGCTTGACGCCGCAGGCATCGCCCAGTGTGTAGTGGTACTGCAGCAGACCCAGCTCACCGAATTCATCCTGCACAGTCCAGCAAACACACAGTGAGCCACGGTTACGCCATTACAGTACAACGCTCTTTGTGTGCCGTCATACTGTTTAAACGCTTTGTGCAGACTCGCACTAACTTGGCAACATTCTCTACACACAGCACGTGTGGTCACGAATACCAGTGTAGCAGAATTATACGATATCTCAATATCCATCCTACCTCTCTTCGCTGTAAGTTTGAAAGTAGAACTTCCAGAGGCTTTGGACAGCCAGTGGACGCTCGTGTCCATAAGTTTGGTCTCGCATGCAACGTGTTCAGTCCCCATAAACCTAGCCATGTACAATATTCATTTGACTACTATACTGCCCAGGTACTAGACTAGACCATTCTTGGATGATATGATTGTAATAGATATGGTGGCATGCATGTGCCGGGAGGGGGGGGGGGGGAGGGGGGGGGTATTCGACCCAGAGTTTGCTTGTTCCACTCACGTAAACAGTAAGGTTCTCCGTCAGCGGACCCTGGATGGATATCTGATCAAAGTAGGCCTCTCCGATGCTGAAGGCGCTGGAGATGGAGCGCTGCGACTTGCTGAAGACAATCGGCATGCCAGCCAGCGTGTGCGTGACTTGCCTATCGCCACTGAAGTCAAGCTCAACAGTATGATTATCACGAGTCCATACCACTGTAGCAGGATGACACACAACACCGGGTAAGTATTTCAGCACAATGAAACACCTTATCTGTTTGAGGGCTCATGACAATCAACGCCCCAAGGCTCAATCTTGGTTGGTTCTTTTCAAATAGCATACATTTCGTAGCCGTGATTGTGTGATTGTCCATAGCAGAGAGCATTGTGATGCTCAAGTGGAAAGCGCCATGGCATTGGATAAATATAGCAACTCATTGAACCGTCTTGAGCTCTGGGGTATATATTTAGTTCAGTTTGTGCTGTTCTGTGCATTCCAAAGCATCCCCGGGCAATGCAAACAGATGTGAAGGTGATATGTCTGGCAGGGTACAGGCACCACCTAGCCAACCAGCTCCCCACCACCCCCTCCATCACAATCATACTCACTCACATAAGTTTCCTATGGCCTGCTTGGCCACGTGTATGATGATATTGGACGCACACTGTGGAATGCTGAGGGCAATCTGGCCTGGCTCTACGGGCACACACAGCAGTTTAGAACACAGGAACGAAAGCATCAAAACACGAGCAATCCATCAACAAAGCTGTTGGAAAAACGACTCCATACAAGCAAGGTTATGCAAAGTGTGGTGCCCATACATTGAGTTGTAATTTATGTACTCCTTAGGTGTACCTAACTTAAACGGTGTGTTACTTTGGCGAGACGATGTTTTGTTTTGTTGTGGTTTTTTTGCTAACGTCAGTACTTTGAAAGGGTAGCCCGGTTGCCCTCTGTTTTGTGCTGTGTCTAGCTACTTCAAAAGGCAATACCTCAGTGGTAGAAAGGGCGACGGTCTTGCAATGGTAGAATGGGGTAGCGATCTTGCGCATCTCTCAAACTCACTATCACTACTTACCTGTAGTCGGCTGAGTCTGGCCGCACAGAACCGTGCACAGGTTGGAGTTGTTGGATCCCAGGCAGCCATGCAGGATCTCGCTGCGATTAAAACTGCAGTTGGCGCTCTGTAATGCAGAGGTGCATGCAGCAGTGTGTTACATCATTAGATTGCCTAAATGATAAAACGACGGCATTCGTTCGATTGGCTTCCAACGGACGTATGCAATCCGTGCTCTGATTCTATGTTGCATTCGAATCAGCAAAAATGCCCCAAAATTCCGTGCATCAACACAGTGCGTCCTCCACCTTGTAACATGCTGTCAACCAATACATATATACAACTGTGTGTGTACTGGGAGGCAAGGATAGGAGACAAGCACTCGTCAAGTTATGGATTGTTTGGTTTCTACACTCTTTCAAGAGCGGGTAAGGGCAGAGCTCCGTCCGCGGAATTTCACTAGCCGGCAATCACGCAGAAAAGACAAGACTCCACCAAATCCGAGCACTGCTGCTTACCTTGCACTGTCCGTTGAGACACTGTCGGTCGGGTGCGCACTGCACTCCGTCCACCACCATCTCCAGCATGCGTATAAACGTACCCGGCTCTGTACTGTTGCCGCCGCGATGCTCCTCGTGACATTCCAACTGGCCGCAGTGAGAGTATTCTGAGCAATAATAGCAGCACAGGTCCAATGCCAAACGCTATGAAATCACTGTTAGGCAAATGTTTGCTTCATGCAGAGAATCCTCATTGCATTAGCCCCCCCCCCCCCCTCCTTCCCTCCGAATTGCACTGGCTTCAACCGCCATGTATGTCGTTTGTATTTCCAGCCTGGCACTAGTAGATAATTCGTAACCTTCACCACCACCCGCACCACCAGCACCACCACATTACATTCCCGACAACACTTCTTGCATACACCACAACCACCGTCTCCAACGTGATAGATACTAGGTGCAATATCAGCAATATCAGCATTATCAGCAATATCAGCATTATCAGCATTATCAGCAATATCAGCATTATCAGCAGTGAGTGACTCTGAATCAGTATGATGTACTAGGAGTAAGACCAAAGTCCCCCCCCCTCCCCACCCAAAGCCTTCTCATTATAAAGATGCATCTTGAGATGTGTGTCATTAGCCGGGTTTATTCCTATCCATGCCCTATCCATGCCCTATCCATGCCTGCATGCCATGCCCTATCCATGCCCTATCCATGCCCTATCCATGCCCTATCCATGCCCTATCCATGCCCTATCCATGCCCTATCCATGCCCTATCCATGCCTGCATGCCATGCCCTATCCATGCCCTATCCATGCCCTATCCATGCCCTATCCATGCCTGCATGCCATGCCCTATCCATGCCCTATCCATGCCCTATCCATGCCATGCCCTATCCATGCCCTATCCATGCCCTATCCATGCCCTATCCATGCCCTATCCATGCCCTATCCATGCCCTATCCATGCCCTATCCATGCCCTATCCATGCCCTATCCATGCCCTATCCATGCCCTATCCATGCCCTATCCATGCCCTATCCATGCCCTATCCATGCCTGCATGCCATGCCCTATCCATGCCCTATCCATGCCCTATCCATGCCATGCCCTATCCATGCCCTATCCATGCCCTATCCATGCCCTATCCATGCCCTATCCATGCCCTATCCATGCCCTATCCGTGCCCTATCCATGCCCTATCCATGCCCTATCCATGCCCTATCCATGCCCTATCCATGCCCTATCCATGCCCTATCCATGCCCTATCCATGCCCTATCCATGCCCTATCCATGCCTGCATGCCATGCCCTATCCATGCCCTATCCATGCCCTATCCATGCCCTATCCATGCCCTATCCATGCCCTATCCATGCCCTATCCATGCCCTATCCATGCCCTATCCATGCCCTATCCATGCCCTATCCATGCCCTATCCATGCCTGCATGCCATGCCATCTAGACATACAGCCTGGAATGTGTGCATCGTTATCGATCTCGCCCCACTCTCCCCTGGCTACGTGACACAAGACAGCTACACATACATGTGTGGCAGCGACAGCGTCACGTACCGTCAGATGTTGCTGGGTAGTAGCGTATCGTTTCCGTGTTGTGGTCCCGACACTGCTCCGCGATTCTTGACCTAAGGCATCTCTACATAAACAAGTATACAGATATGCAGGTCGTTAACACAACCTTCCACATTATCAAATCTATTACGTATTGTGTAGCGTTCAAAAGAGAAGATTCGGCAGTTCAACATATTTGCCAACACAGAGTGGCCTTTAGACGAAAGCTGGGGGACTGACTCGATCATCACACTACCGTGACACGCTCTATTCAATTAAGTCTGCTGGTTCTGTGGTCAGCACGTTAAAATGATATCAAATGTGTCAAGACAAACAGCAATGCACTGGAGAAATGGACTGTTAATGACAAGTCTCAGTGCATCATATGTATGTGTGTGTGTACGTGTGTATTTGTGTACGTGTGTGTACGTGTGTGTACGTGTGTGTGTGGGGGGGGGGGGGCATTTCAACATGCATTCCTCAAAGGTGACGCTGGTGACACAACTCCATGCCTATTGATAGTGGCACAATTGAATTAGACATGATTCAAATGTCATGTCCATTACACGAAGTGTTTACATGCAATCACACAAACAGCACTAGCAATGTAGATGTGATGAACAGCGGAGGTAACGTCATTAAGTTGAGCAATGGCGTTCAGCTGAGCTACATAAACGCACCTTATTGAATAAGCAGAGCTCATAAGCTATGGATGACCCTTCACACATTGCACCTTCTTCACTACGGACAGAGTCAAAGAGATGCACAGACATATAACATGATGTATAGAGGATACCGTATTTCCCAAGGCTGAGTCAAGCAGCCACTACACACATTCAACAAACCAATTACTAAACTGTTTGTACACGTTAGAAAGTGTAGTGCATATATCATGTGCTCTGAACGGACATCGGCATGAGCGCCTTTCCCTTAGTTCTATCTGATATGATATCTTGCCCTTCCCCCTTCCTCCCTTCCCAGCACACGTGCAGTAGAACAATTAGCCTAGAGCAAATCACATCAGTGGCTACAATCACTCCTTTTGAAGTTGGCGCTACAATGACGATGATGCCGGAAGAATGAAACCAGCACTCCTCATATTTCCCTTGGTTGATATAAGGAGACTTGCAGCCATTTCCTCACAGAAATCAGCTTGGAGAATGGTTCATTGAGTCCATTTTCCTAGGCCCATTTCATACACTAGTGCAATACAGGGCCTGCAGTTCAAGGTATCCTTTCAGTTGTACCTGGCAACGTATGGAGGTGATAGGAAAGATACCTGGTGAAACCGCTCACAGTGGGTGGCTCCTGTAGTTCTGTTAGCATGTCATAAAATGACATGCGTGTACACCTCATAATAATGGTATGACTCCAAGGGGCTTCATCAAGTGATTTAGGTGGACCTCAGTGTTCGGAGAGAATGGCTCGACAACTTGATGAGGTGGTGGGGAGTCAGTTTTCAGATTGCATAGGGGCCTTAGCATGCCCGACTTGCTGCTGTCATTGCAGACAAAGTACATGTACAGGCTGACAACACTAAGTCGTTCGGGTAAACTCGTCATCACTTCCACAACTAGGCAGTGGCGCCAGCTGCCATGGAATGTCGTGTATCATGTTTTTACAACACGTTTACATAATGGAATTATCCCGTGAGTGCTTCGTGTACAAAATCAAATTTCGAGTGCCTCTGTCACGGTGTTCCATGACTGCCTGTGACCTCATAGTCAACTCTAACAAACACTTTTAATGGGACAGAAATATGCACATAAAACGTGCCTTCGGATATTCGTCCTATAAATTTCTTCTTCTATTGTCTGAGAGTGGTGCAGCAAATTGGCAACGTGTTTGTACACAATATTGAACGGAAATGCAAGGGGTTCCTGAGACAGTCCTTAGCAGCTCGAATTTCATCATGCAAGTTGAGTTTTTGCAGCGTACCTGGTCTCCGAATGGCAGAGGCGCTTGCGGTTTCGTACGCTTTGCTCACATGGGCTGCCCAGACATGAACTCCACTGTCCCCATTGCGTCCAGTGCGAGAGAGAATAGTCGTCCACTGGCGTGTTCTCCCAGTTGGATACCAGGGTCTGCACCACAGAGGATGGCAGGGCAACAGACAAAAATAATGATGTAATGATGATGTAATCGTATGGGCAAGTGATCAGTGACTTAGGCATCCCCCCCCCCCCCCCTCCCCTACCCAAAGGTGAGGTAAGCAGAGCTTTCATCTTAGGCTGTGCTGTGGTGCACGTATTTTGAGTCTTTGACCCAGATCAGAAACATGAGAAGCATCAACACACTTGAAGTCGAAGCATTTTTTCATTTGCTACTGCTTGCACATAGAGAACGTAACTCAATTACACGTCCCAGCATCTCCTGCTTATGGTTAAACCATGACCAGTCCTTGTGGCAGATTGTGTTGCTGGCTCTTTCCGTCCTAATTGAAGACAAATAGACTCATTTCCATTCTGTCACCTGATGCTTATTCTCCTGACAGTCATCTTAGTGCTGCAGTTATGAACAGCAGCAGTAAGCGCTCAGTGTGATTCATCCGTGACAGTTCCAGAGTTCTCCAGATGCTAATCAGTTTAGCATGCAGGAGCATGCATGGACTCTCACTGGCCCCGAAGGCAGCATGTACTGCAAATCACGGCCTTGGGTGCAGGAAACTGTGCTGAAGTGACAGGTACACGCAATTTGATTATCTATTTTCCTTCTTATTCGGTTTGTTGAGCAGATTGTTGGGACGATACTAAGAACTAACTTTTGAGACAAGGATGCACCGCCATTCGCAAAACTGGGCATAGAACGGCCTTGTAACTGGGCTGTGCACAGCATGGGTGACGTTTGTAAGGCCTCTACTAGCAAGCAGGGTGCAATCTGACAGAATCTGAAATAGTCACACCAGACAGAGCCTGCGTAGCTAATCGCGTTGCTCGGGTTTCGCCCAGCCTTTGCAGCTTTAGAATAGCACGCGCATCCAGTTTCCCACGTTGCGGAGAAGGACTTTCTCATGTAGAGCCACTGTCAGGGTTCAATCATCGCGTAACTGAATTTATTGAGATGACATCCTGGACACACTGAGCTGCTGGGGAGAAGCCATGGGGAGCCAGGAGATACGGTGGGTACTAACTGCCTGGCAGCTTGGGAGTGTGCGCCGGGTGGGTTCAGTGCTCACCGTACCAGGACGTGAAGAAATACAGTGCTTAGTTGAAACAGATCATCTCTCTGTGCACACCGGGGCCGGATGCACATGTCACAGAGTTACTTGGTGGTCTGGTCTTGGGCAGGATCATGATGCAGCCTCACATCCTGACTGAGCACAGCCGCACCTACTCACACACACACACACATACCAGTGCCTACATACCAGTACCATGAGCACTTAATAGTCTTTGCCCTTGGTGTTCTATTGCCGGCAGTGTGCTGCACGGTACATGCACTTCCATGTTAGGAAGGTCCATGGCCCGTCGGGCACAGGGGTGCATTGACAGATGCCGGGCAATGCAATGCCAGTCCAGTGACTGTAGTGGGACCAGCTGTACAGAATTCTAGTAGTGCTGGACAATGCAGGCACAGTCCTGTAATGCCTGCCTGCAAGAGTCTCTTACTCTTGCTCTTAGTGAAGTACAATGTCGCTGACAGGTTAGAAACAAGAGCTGACGACACTGATCCTGTAGCTAAGCCAACAGCACAGCCTTTCAAAAGTAACCGTACTCTTACGCCACAGACAGTTGGGAGCCGGAATATTGGGAAAGCAACCATGCTGTACCAAAGCTCGGACATTTTGTGGATTGTACAATGTAATCCCCTGATCACACAGCCCATACACAGATAAACTGGGAAGACAGAACGAACTTTGTTATGTTGTTGCTGTCAGATTGCTACCAGTATGTTCTATAATCCAGTAGGAGAGTGATACAATTCGCTTGATGTAGTAGTACTTTCTCCTTGGCAAGTTTTAACAATAAGAGAGAGAGAGAGAGTTGGTGATATATAGATAGATAGATGCGTTAGTTCCTCTACACATGGTGTCAGCTCTTCAGTCCACACTATCCAACACCCAATGGCAGAAGACTGTGTGACAACTCATAGTCACAGCATTGCAGGGTACTAGTAGGAGTAGAGTACAGCCCTGCACTAGCTGGCTGTAGTTACTGACAGTAGCCAGGAAGCTGGCTGCTGTTGTCATAGTGTTGAGGGAGCCCAGTACTAGGGTAGAGTATAGTAGAGGACCCAAGTGCCCATTAATATCTTTAAGCAGTCCAGCTCATCCACAAGGAGGCACTTAGATATAATAGACCATTGGGGTGGAGAGCATCATTGATATCAAGCCTTGGCATGATGGCCATTCTGTGGTCTCCACTACGGTAGGCACTCTCTGCTAACAGCTATGCATATCCTACACCACACTACTACAGATATCCCCACCAAACGGCAACTGCAAGAAGTCAGCATGGATAATGCCTGGGGAGGTGCTGCAATATACTGGAGAAAATGAACCAAAATACCCCTAGACTCAAAGCCATATCTATGGCGGCGCACTCTAGAGACAACAGAGGTGTCTATTTTCGACCTGGATCTAAAAATCTTCCTGTCACTACTCTTGCCTTCATTCCCCCCAGGGCAACCGTGCGGGTTATTGCTGATGTTGTGCCCATTGCGGCGCCATGCAACAAGGGATAGCCTTCCTGACATGGGGCGCATGCCACAGTAGGCTGTATTGTATTTTTTGTTGACAATACAAACACACACATTCACGTGCACACACACACACACAAAAGCCTTTTGATCGTAACAAAAGTGACACAGAGACAATCGAGGGACAATCGGCTGAAGAAGTCTACTCAGTTGGATATTTCTCTGGAGACCCCTGGGGTGTCTAGGAGTGTCTTCAGGGGAGACCAAGGGAGAAACGTGGCACCACAAACTCTCCAGATCTCCTTGCAGAGCAATTCCCAAGCCAGCCATGTCCAATCAAACGTCTCTGTAGTGTCAATGCCCTGTAAGTAACTCAAATTACCTGGCCCACACCCTATGAGTACGAGGCTAAGTATCACACATGAAAGAAAATCCACTGCTGCGAGGAGACACTGTTGTCATCACCACAATACTTCAAAGAAAAAAGGGCCCGAGATTGTTCAACTGTGCTTCCTTCCACGGGCAGTGAATACCCTAAGTCTGTAGCTGGCAGAGTGCGACCCTTGCTGAAATGAATGCCAGTCACTGTGTCATGTTCTAAGCATACTTGCGCAATTACGCTTGTCATGGCTGGGGCAGCTCAAATATTAATTATTTGCCAAAAGACGACTGCAGCCAGCACCTGGACGATCATTGAATTAGGATTACCACATCAAGATGCCTGCTGCTTGCAACACGACTGAGCTGTGTATGTAAACACACCTACGTCTGTGTGGCTATGATGTATCTATGGAAAACATCACCTTTCGTCCCACAGTGCTAGGTGTGGCCCAGGAGACTGATTGATTTTAGTCAGGTCAACACTGAGAGTGGGAATACGCAAACAAGATTTATCCTGTGCACACTGCTGCGTGGCATCCTGCACATAGACTGATCCTGCTCACAAACCCAGATACTAGAGTTCTGTAGCTAGGTCGGAGCATAGCAGATTTGTGCCACTGGCAGTCAGGGGAATTGAATGTAGAAGTCCAGGATTGACGCGCCCGGTGACCTAAGCTGCAAGCAGGATGCCTGTCACTCTGCTGCTTGCTGCTGCCCGGAACCCACTGACTCACCACATGGGCATGCACATGGTCCTGATCTTGCCATTATGCCACCATATGTAGGCAAACCCAATCAAGGCAACTCGGCTGAAGGAGACCAGCAACCTGAATAACCCAAGTCCTTACTATACTTAGCTCAAGTGCCGGAGCACTTGCCCAGCAGGATGCCTATACTGTGTACAATACAGGCTGTGGACTGGGAGTGTCTTAGCTAGCCGCATGTGATATTGCTGCTGCTGCTGCTGCTGATGCACCCATTCCACTCAGTTCAACAAATCACACCTCTGGACCACATTTCACCACCATCAAAGGCATCATGTCAGAAACATCATGCTGGTGGCTCCCAAAAGCAATGAGGGCTGTAATGTACTAGTATAATTATGTAGATGTGCTATCAGGTTTGCTTACATCACTGGCAACACACTGCTGGTATGAACAATGCCCTTTTAGGAATAAACTGTGGCATTCATGTATTTAATTCAAGTAATAGATCTGGGGTCAGGCCACTGTTCTCCCATAAACGTCATGCCTGCAAGAAGTCTCTCAGCCTTGAGCTAGTCAATGGACACACTGCGGGCTCAGTATTATCCCATCCCGTAAACTCTCAGGCTCAGTAATATCCCCTTCCCATAAACAGTGACTTCAGCACATCAATCATGTCATTGCTCTGTGGGTACACACAGGGGGAGAACATGCCCAAAGCCCTGGTGACACCAGCGCAAGTACAGCGCCACGGGCATAGCAGCAATAGGCTCAGGGAGGGTGCAAGAGAAGCCAGTGTGCCTGTCCTGCACTGCATGGGAGGAGAATCAAGACAATCTAAGCAGGAATGGCATTCATTTCCTGGGCAGAGTTGACGGATTGGAGTGGGTGCACTTCCAGCCACTTGAGCTGGAGTGCTGAACTGCTAGGCCAATGTTGGAGCCTGGTTAGGGGGGCCCCATGGAAGAAACAACAAAAAGCTCTCATCTTCTTTGCATAACAGAAGGGAATGTGCAGCTCCCAGTGATGCTACTTGTTGATCCACAATACATAGCTTCTTCAATGGCATCCATACTAGATGATTGAGTGGATTTGTGGTCGTCCAATTACATGAACTTTCACATTATTGCTGCCCAGCACTCCCTGCACCCAGTGGGAGACATTTAATGCTGATGTGCTGATTTCTGCACAGTAAAGAATGCTTCACAAGTTAGGCCACGTTTCAATACTCTATCACCGTAAAGTAACTAATGAAGGGAAAATTTCATTTGCATGCCGGGCATGTCCAGCTACTCTGAGCCAAGAGCTGGGAAATGGAATATCCCTGAACTCAACTCCCAACTGTCTTACTTCCTTCTATCTCTCCCTTTGGTGCACCAAAGTGCTGGGATGCCATGTGGGATAGAAGGGCATGACGTGTGTTCTGCCCCTGGCAGTGTGGTGGCTTAGCCGCGGCATTCCACAGCCACAAGGATGGGTCACAGCATGAAAACAAACTGGAAAATATTGCGAAAAGTGTCGGCCATCTCCCAAGAGTGACTGAAGTGACACCACAAATGCCCCACGGCTGAGCATGTCAGCCACACTGTTGTTTTTGGTGCTTGAATGAGCATTTCGCTTCGCCATACCACACTGACACAAATAGGCGCCGCAAAGGGAGTCAGCTGCTTCCTGACGATTGCCCGCCCAAGATATCCTTTTGTTTGGGTTCTCCCGAAGCCGCCAGCAAGGAACCTGAGGAAGTCTAACTTCAGGATGAGCGATATCCGGGATCGGTCTCAGGTTCTCCTACCCAAGGCATGGAAACTAGAAACACTGATATCCAACAAGAGGAACGGCTCAGGTAAACTAAGCGGGCAAGAGGTTATGAGGCCTAAACACCGGCCACACGTGCTTCCTCTCTTCAGCCCCTACTCTGACAAGTTTCACGCGGCTAGAAGCAGTGGATGCACTCACGTGCATGATCATATCAGTGCGCCAAATACACCATTGGGCACGAAATAATTCAGTAGGCGCTAGGCAGGGAAAGCTTAGCCAGGAGTACTCTGACATGACAGTGATCAGTGGTCACCAGGTACCAGCCACCTCAGATTCAGACTGTAACCATCAGCCCACAAATGAATAGGTCTCTTTACGCACAGGTGACCCATTTCCCATGGCTCCTGCCCACATACACACACACACACACACACACACACACACACACACACACACACACACACACACACACACATATGCATGCACACACACACACACACATACAGACACACTTAACTAAATTCACAAGCCCTTCAACGGCCAACTTGACTAAATTAGATCCATTCTGATTAGTTTCCAGCAGGGCCCTGGCAGGTTTCTAATGGGTGACCCGGCCAAAACAACTCCTAAGATATTCACACCTTGTAAACACATGGTCTGACAAGTCGTAATCACCCGCTCAGCAATACTTGTGACCATTTGTGGGGTATGGACAACTTGCTGCACAGGGCAAGCTATTATTGTTGTTTCTCTGTGAACTACGCACCCCTTGTCCAACAGGTCAGTCATCTGCTCTCAAGCCACTATACCAGGCTTTCAGCGGGCACACGCCTTCTCTTCCGTTTCTTGTACCTTTCATTACACGTAGTACACGATGATGACGATCAGCAACTGCTTCCTACAAGTTCTGGTTAAAAATTACTCTGACAGCCATACACACGCGGCCTTTCTGTGTTAGGAGACCACCCAGGACACTCTTTCTCTCTGCAATCCTTACGGAACTTTACCATGGCGTAAAACATGGTATTTTGACACGGCAATGCCACAGCTTCGGATCAGGTCAGGTCGCCATCTGGTGTGAACTATTCCTGGGATTGTTTTGCTGCCAACGTGGGCCACTCAGAGCATGCCTGGCGCAAACCTCTAGACGATTTTTCAAAGACAGATTGCATGGCGGACCAGCAAAGCATGCCATCCATAGTCAGCAGCACTACAGAGTACATTGTTACAATATTACTATATTAGCTAGCATGGCCAGTTCGCCATAGCAGACGTCACGCACATTCTTTTCATGCTGTCGCCCTTATCGCCCCCCTGTCTTACGCTCTGCGCTTTCGTCTCAGTGTGACACGCTCAAAAGAATTCCGACCTTGTGGCAGCAGGTCAAAACGCAGCGAAACAATGACGTCTCTCGCTCCAGGTTGCACGACATACTCTGATGTCTGAAGAACTCCATATCGCAGTCATTCGAGTGGAAGCGGGAGATGGACATAAAATAAGCGAAGTCAGCAACATTCCGATAGTCATTTCTCCTATGGTGCTTATTGCAGACGAATAGGGAATTGAAGCATTCTGAAGTTTTGCGGGGACTGAACAAACATTGTATTTTTGTTTGGGGACTTAGGTACAACGAAACAATCTTTATAGTTTAGATTCAGTTCTTCAATGAATGGAACATTCTTATATTCTTACCGTGCCTCCGATTACAGTTTGCGCTCTTGTGAGGACGCTTGCGGCCAGGAGGAAGATGGAGAACCGACAGAAGTTCGTCGACAAACTCTCCACTGTTGAGGAACGCAGGTGCGTCGCTCCGGGAATCAGCTGAGCGCCCATTGCCTTTCGTCTTCTTCTTCTTTCCGCTTGTTGCTGCTCCGTACTGCGGTCAGACTGCTCACCTCTCATCGTCCTGTGTTCCGTGAGAGAAGGGGAGCAGACAGCAATCACAGAACAACGGCGAGGAATGAAAAATGCAAAAAGGACAATGGAGTGCAAAGGTGCGTTCGCTTCCTCGCCAAGATTTTGTTGAACCCTGCCCTTACCGCAGTACCAGTGATTTCGTATTCGTTACGAGCCATACACTACACGTATATTTTACGTGGTTTACATGATTGTGGGCTCAGAAACCACTGTTCAGTTTGATTACGTTCAGCAAGAGCCCAGGCCAAGCCACAGGTCACGTCTGCGGCCTGACCAAGCGAGAACCGTGCATCTTGAGCACCTTCTGCTGCCTCGGTACTAGACATGGCTTTGTCGCGTACATCTGCAAAAGGTGAAACATTTGCTTTCATTCATTAGGCCAAATGCTAGCTGTTGCGCATGGAACGCGCTGAAGACTACCCTGATCCCCTTTTTGCCTTACCTGTCCGAGTGTACAGCCGTATCGGTGTTCGTCAAATGCTGTGACGAAACCTTTCAATTCCACGCACGCCTCTGCTGCTACTTGCGATATATTGGTGGCTATTCTTCCCCGCAACGATTCTATAATTTGGTTGTCAGCAACCAGGCTGTGGACTATAGATGTTTAGGATGTTGAGGTAACTAAGACAAGACACGAATCCAGTCCCGCCTCGACCGTTTTATGCTCTCGCCTCTTGTTGGCATACGGCCCGAGCCACAGGCAGTGGGCGGGTGTTGCTGCACGTGGTAGTGTCGGGTCACTTCGCTTCCCCAGCCGTCTGTGATGGAAGAAGGGCTCGGGGTAGAACTGTGCACCGCGTCTACCCGCTCGCCTGAAGCAGAGACTTCGCTTTCAGGACCTGGTTCGGCCGCTGCAGAACAGCAGAGCTCAGTTGGACACACCACGATCAGATGGAGAAGCGGTTGAACGCCTGTGCGGATTCTGAGCTCATCATAAACGCTGGCTGCCGGAAGGTTGGCGTGCTGCAGTGTAAACCCACCTATCGATAACCACCGACGAATACGACGCGCACAGTTTAGAGGTCTACGGCTATGCCACCCGGGCACAGAGATCACGTCAGGCGCTAGGCTAGCTTGGATCGAGTGCAGTGCGGCTCTCACCGCTTTACGGCTAACGTCTTTCTCGATCCGCTCTAAAATAGTCACCGGAATTGTGAACCACTTCAGACGGCGCCGCCACTAAACTCGGCCTCTCAGTGAAGCAATGCTCTTAGCCCGTTCTAGAGCCCATTTCCAGTCATTTACATCCAAACAATATAACCAGTGTTTATAGTCCTATCTACGTACATCATGTATGATGATTCAATTCAAAAATGCTTACATGCACGAGAACGGACGGTCCGGAGATTCGGGAGAGCGCCAGTGCAGTGGGCTCTTTGACTAAGAGTAAGACTAAGAGATGCCCAGACCTGCTGTGAGTCCACAGACTCTGTGGCGTAAGACGCTGCTGTTGACTGTTGCTTCCACGTTGCGCCTTGCTTGTTGACGGTCGTGTCTGACTGCCCTCTGCACCAGTTGCCAGCTTGGTCTAATAAACGGGAATAACAGCTAATTGTCGCAATCAATTTCTCCACGAACAATGGGTGACCTCTCAGCAGCAGCATGCAGCAGCGGGCTGTGTCAATCTTCCGAATGCGTGTTTTCAGGGACCCAGACCATCTATCATCATGCTACTGTTCTCTCACTTCATCATGTGTGACCAGTTCTACTTCGAGGTCATTTCAACCAACCTCGTGTACTGTGGCAGACCCCCACCACATGCGACATACACTATAATCTATGCATCCGCTGCTGTTTGACGTCTTTCAAAATTCGAAACTCCATAATGGCATAAATGCTCCCTGCCGCCACAATGCCTCGGACACAGTTGGCCGAATTCGCGAAGTGTGCGATCGCGAGATTGGTCCTTATTTTCACGTGATCATTGCGAGAGCCTACATGTGGACTTGCTTGTGGCTTTGCGTTCATGACACTGATAAGCTGCTATGGAGAACATGCACATTGCCCGTCAATCCTATTTTGGACTGCTCGACCCCTGCGCCAAACGCCCGCTGTGGCCATTTGTTCGATAGTCTTTGGTCCTGACATGGCAGCCAGAACGACAATGGCGTAAACACGGTAAGATTTCTGCTTGTTTATCCTCTACTCGCTCTAGAGCTCAGTGAAGCCTGCTTGCGGGGGTGCCTGTTTGACAGATCCAGGCAAGACATCTTATCTCGCAGAATCGCCTTGTCACAGCGCGACGAATGGATCCGCCACTTTCTCACCTACTCTTCCTTAGCCATAACTGGATTTCACCTACAGGTGGTCGATTTGTGTCAAGGAAAAACCCGTCCGTACACTCAGGTCACATGCTGTAGTCGTATTGTGGGCAATATCGCGTTGAAAATTGATTGCCCAAGACCGAGACAATATGTTCTCTAGTCAAAGAACAGATGTGTATTGCCGTAACCTGCGCAGAAGACCATAATCATTGCATGGCACAACGGCTTTTTGCCGATCACGCGACGGGCATTTGTAGCGCAACTTCCCCACAAACTTGATTTTCAAGAGCTGCCAAGAGCGCATGGCGAAACCCATCGTGTTGCATCAAATGATCATCAAGTCCTGGGGTCGATCCTGGGAAGGAGTGGCACCTGAGGTCGTAGCGAAACCGCCGAAAGTAGAACAATCGCGCCTCGCGCGGTACACGGGAACCCTGCTGGGACGTGACTGCACTGGCGAAACGTGATCCAGTGTGTATTGAATTTTCTTTGTTGGTGTGATCTTATGTAACTAATATTGTTGCAACGATCGGAGCGTTTCCTGTGTGAGAATCGACTCGTTCACGCTTCTGCATAGGGTTCATTTCAAGAGGCCTTTCGCCCTCCATACACGACTATAGTATAAGCGCCCGACGCATTTGGTGTGCTCTTCTTCCAACCGCTATCAGCCGCAGTGCTTTAGGTCGATAGTATACCTTGTGGCAAAAAAGACTTGCAAGAGCCTGTCAGCGATAGTCTTGTGAATTTCGGCTTGGGCTGTGCCGTTCGCCTATTGTAAAATGCCTTTTGTGGATCGTGTCCTGCTTCGTTTAGGCAAGGAATGCCGCGCCAAGAATGTCAGACTAGACAAACGCCAATAACCCTACGTGCAGAGTGGACGAGTACGACTTTGCAGTGTTCAACGAATCAACGTTTGCGTGCGGAGAAGACTAGGTGATTCAGCAACGTGAGCGGCTTCCAATCCCTAGCCTGGTAAATCGAGGCTAGTACGGGTTCAGCCGTGGCGAAGAAAACGGTAAGGTGATGCTGGCCTTGAGAAGACTGTAAAGGACTCCAGCAACGATTCGTCTATTGTTTCTAGTGGTACAGGGAGTGGGTAAACAAAAAATGAAATTGTCCCCAACGAGCGTGACATAGTATCGTCTAATGGACGCCCAAAACCGTTCAGCGTTCCTGAAATAGACCGTGAGGGCTGCCAATGCGCTTAGCGCTGCCCGTAACTGCGCCATAGGACATGATCATTGGTGCACAGTCATCGTGTACATGATGTACACGTACCTTGTTCTGAAAATGGCTGACGGATCCTCCTTGAGTTCATACTGCCCCGTGACAGCACCGAGCTGAGCGGAGAAAACATTGTTGCACCCCAGAATTGTCCTGCCATCCAGCTCAGCGGGGGTCCGTTAGGGCCTGTTGCCATATGCAGCACTATCAAATTAATAATTCACTATCGTGCCCGATATGATTGCGTAGCGGAGTCACCGGAGATTCACCACAGTCTTTGGGACGATTTTCGGAATTTTTCCAAATGTTACACTAATTGCCATGGATCATGTAGTGAGTGTGGCTATCTAAGCCTAATCTGCACTGTCATGATTAATTTTGCATCGTTTAAGCCCTTCAGACTATAACGACAAAGGAGTGAGCCATACACGAAGGAATGCAACGACAAATGGGAGGAATTGCACAGGAAATTGTCTGTTATCTTCTAACCCAACATCATTTTTGTAAAATCTAGAATAAAAACATTTTTTTAGGATTCATGACTTACCACAACCCCGACCCTCATCAAACCTGTATGACTCCTGATCACCATAGATAACAATGTGCGGTGGTTGACTCGTGGCTATCACTATCAGCATCAGAGCCGATGCAGGTACGCCAGTGAATGAATGCGGGCTTCTCCAGGGCAGTGGTTAAATCAACCTGTTCCTGGTAGAAGTTCATAATTGTTGCAGTGTACTACTAGCATCAGTCACACAGCAAGCAATGACTGGTACTACTACTAGTACTAGTGTGTGTTGACTGGTAATGCTTATGAATTAGTTAGCATCGCAGGGGAACTGGCTCAGTAGCTGTTGGTAAGCAGCAGCGCCAGCAGACGCATAGTGCCAGTGGATGGCAGCTTCAGGGTCAGGTCTTTGGACAGCAGCAGAACAGTGAATGTCATTTTGCATCTGCAGTTGTCAGGTATCTGACCTTCCATGAATTGCTTTGGACAGGCGTGCTACCTCTATCTACTCATGTGAGAACATGATCTTGCAGCAGCACTAACTTCCTGATCACAGGGCTGTGATTGCATGGCACCATGCTGTCTCTGGCTGAGCAACAATTATTATTGTGGCGCGATGTGCTGTCAGGCCGAAGCCAATGATGTCATTGGCCTGGTTAGGAGCCTGTCTAGTAAGCGCACGCGTTCGCAACCGAATTCTCCTGTCCCGTCTTCTCACTTGCTGTCTGCTGCCCAGTGCTATCGGCATGGTTCGAGATGGAGCTGTGGCAAGCCAATGACCTCAGGTGATGCACTTCGGCTGCTGACAGCTGCCAGGAAACCCAAGGAGGATTAGACCAAAAGGTGAGTGTGTCGATGTTGGTGGTCTTCGTCCGAAATGCAGCACTGTTGGAGGAAAGATTGCTTGTGAGCAGCCTGCACTTGTCTGCTTCGTTGTCTTCCAAGGTACCCTTGAGCTACCACTGTGACCACAGAGCTATTGTTCTTACGTTCCCTATAAGATGAGAAGGTAGTAGTGCAGGGTCATTTATGGAGGTGGCCTGCTGGGGTTGGCATTGAATGAGGGCAGAGACAAATTAGAGCCAAACTTGGGTTTGGCTGCTTATTGTGGAGCCAGCATGCCCACTTTGCCTGTTATGGATGTGCTCAACATGCGGTTGACCCTGTGCCTTGCGGCATACGACGTTGGGGCCTCGAGACGTTGTGTTGTGGACTGTTGTAGCGTAAACGAATGGACCTGGGGAGCAGTCACGCAAAGGAAGTAACAAAGGGATGCTTGTGTTGCAACACTTGAACGGAGGTAAACAAGACGATTGTTTGCAGCTTGGGGAGAGAATGCCCCCATTCCACTAAACAAAAGAAGGAGTCCATGTTGGAACCACGGTATACTGCGGCTGTTTGCCCATTGCATGGGACTCCGTAATCTTGGTGCTCAAGGGCAAGCACACCAACACAAGCCTTCTGTCAAAAGCACGATACTCTTGAGAATTACATGTCCAGCAGCCCACATCTTCACTCCCACTGGCCAGAGGCCGTGAAAATTTAATGCATCCATTTGGAATCACAAGTCTTGAAGTGGTGCGTCCTTTGTTGGAAGTGTGGCTGTATTCAGGATCCCGTGAAAGCCGTGATCGGATGCATCTTGTGGGCGCAATATGGCATACTAGTACCTAGAACACACACACACACACCCGGCTCCACTGCATTCATCTGGGGCGCTCAACATAGCATGAGCTCCCCTGCGAATACCGTGGGATGGAATTAGAATCATCATGTGACCGGGCCTCCATATTCTTGTGGAGGGAAAGCATCAGTTACATCAGCTTCCAGGTGTAGTATTACATACAATGAAGCCTGACTGCTCAAGGGATCTTCAAATGTGGTCTCTGTTACCAGGTAGCCTCCTTATCCTGGGTCATTTGGCTGGAGATAGCGTCCCTTGGTCCTGGTTGGAGTGGTCGTTTGTGACAGGTGGTCGCCTTGGCAGGTTTTACTGTTGTTACTGTATGCAAATACCATCATGTCCTTCAAGTACATTTAGTGCCGATCAGATTTTAAGGACATCCACAGATTTCACCACGATTGGTCAGGGGTAGTTTACAATCGGCTATGGGATGTTTTGCGAGCTAAATAGGCCAAAATGGAACAAAAGACAAGCTGCAGCTGGAAAGTGGAATTCTTGTATGACCATCCTCGCACATCATCTGTACGCAGAGTGGCATTTCATTACAGTTGACACAGTCACAATACAATTACAATGTACAATGCACATCCAGCATGGGCTGGTTTTATTATGGCTACTGGTTCTCATTTCACGCAACCCGTGCATGCCAGCAGCACATAAAGTGATGCTCAGGTAGAGACGCCATGACCTGCTTCATCCGTGAAAGGTTGGATGATGATCAGATCTCGTCTGCCATCCAGGTATTATACCAATTGAAGCTGTCAGCTGCAGGCTTCGACTTGTACAATAGAGAGGGGAATTCTCAAGTACAGTGTAATGCGCAATAAGACTGTAGTGCTTCTAAAAGAAATATTTCCAGCATGAGCCCCAAGGCAGAGCTACTTGCCCCCAGTTCACACTCCTTGGAATTAGGTACTCTGCTGCGCGGGGGGGGGGGGTACCCAGAACCTGTCCAAGCATTCTGTGTCAGTGTTAGCCTGCACTGTGTTCTACATGATGCGACTTTCCAGCTCTCTTGACGGCAAGTAATTGCTGCAGGAGTCAATAAGGTCTTCCTTCAGAAAGAAGTGTATGTTTGGTGTAATCCTTTGAGTGATATTCATCTTCAGAATTCACCAACAATGCCAATTAGAAAGACTGTTTCCTCTATTAAATTATTGCACAATACCGCGACAATAGGGTTCCATTGTTGTTTTAAAGTCAAAGGGAGTGCCTTCGCCCTCCTGTGGTAGCCTTAACGGCGCCCTTGCATTTAACATTCCGTAATCTGGTGGTTAAACGGTTCTGTTTGACGAGAAGGTGCCATGGTGCAAGTAGTCTGTTGAACTCGGATTTTGATGACGGGCATGCATGTACACCATCATTACTATGACGTCATGGGTGCATGAGATTTGCTTTGTCGCACACATGCCATGATCAAACCGAGCCAGCCATTATGCGGTCATCACTCGGCATACATCAGACTGGTGGTATGATAAAGGAGGCACTGGTTAAAACTTGCCAGTCTGATGCCACTCCCTGTGTTCAAAGTGGCATTATTTCGTGCAGTATGTTGGCGCCTTTGTAGAGGATTAACCACAATCTGACTGGTGACACTGAAGCATGTGGATAGCAGGGTAGAGTGGAGGTGCTTGCAGTACACAAGGGGGTGGCACAGGGTAGGACGCCACAATATGTGTCTGGAAGGTGGTTGAAAACAGATCGCGCTGTTCTCCAAAGTCACGTTACAACTTGCAAGCGATATCGAAGCGACGCCATGGAGCCGAGAATCTGTCTGATGTTGGGTATGTTGCATGGGTGTGCTGTAATATTGAAGTTTAAACTACAGTCAGATTGATCTCCGTTCATGGCAACCAAACAATGCATGGGAAACTGGTTACAAACCTGCTGACCCCCAAGCTGCAGAGAGTGCTCAATGTCATAGACGGTGCTTACAGACTAGAACATAGAATACTCAGCGGAGCACGTTCAGGTTTTTTGCAACTCCGAGTTTTACGCCGCAAGGCAATCAACAGACAACTGATACTGGGGTTCAACCCAACAGTACGCAAATCAACACGTAGGGCCACAGGCATCTAGAGCTAGTTGAAGATGGGTGTTAAGTCTGGTAGCGTCAGGCTGTGAAAGAAAGCGCGGGCAGACCTGGCACTAGGAGAGACAGTGGGCATCGGGCGGGTAGAGGTGTGGGGATGATGGTGAGCAGCGTGCGGGTATGAGCGTTATGCCGGAGGTCTGGTTATAAATGAGGCAGGTAGTCGTTCTCCTTTTAGCTGGTCTGGGACTGTGAAAAAGCCCGGTGCAGTCACGGTTTGGGAGGGCGATGCATCAAGCAGTTTGCAATTGTATGCAGCATTTTGGGCGTTCAACTTTCTTCGTACACATGACGTTCCCTTTCATCCGGGTTTGGATTTCGAGAGGACGATAGATGATGGGTGAACGTCCGGAGAAAGGCATCCACTGGCCAAAGTCTTGGTTGTAAGGTTCAGTGCTGCAAGTGCAGATAGGTTGAATTTGAAGCAGTTATGCTGGTACTGATTCACCAATCACCTCCATTGCCATGGAAACACTCGGTATTCGCCGAGCCTCTCATGCTGCCCAATCTAAATATCATCGTCGTGGAAATTCAAAGTTGCTTGTCGGCTTTCTCAGCTTTTGAGCCATGGTCTCTTCCAGAATGTGACGATTTGACAGCCATTGTCTTAGTATTTGCTTCCGGTTACATTGCTGATTGGTATAGCGCCTCGAGGATCCCATCCCAACTTGGGATCTGTCTCTGGCGATACCAAAAAAAGTTTTGCCCTGCCAGCAAAAGCTATTATCGGAGACACGTATAATTGGTGTTAAGCGCTCTGGAGTCAGTCACTGACTGCGTGACAGTTAGGGAGAGCCATGTTGCTGGGAAACAATGGATGGCCAATGTCATGTCCAGATTTCTTGGCCATCCACTTTGCCACTGTGACCATGGTGCATTGCAGGATCTGCCATTGAGATATTAATCAGTGGCGACACCTTGCTCAAGCACACAGTCATGTATCTGTCCTTGTCACAGAATTGCTCCTACATAACCCAGCCGGCATTTGCATACTTCAAAACAAACTTCACCTATAGGAAACTGCACAACTTTGCCTCTGGATATGGGTTTCTGGTCGAATAGCGCTATTGCAGAGTTCCTCACACTTCCACTGCGGCACCTTTGAGAAAGAGAGTGCCGAAGCATTCCAATCAACTACCTAAGATGCAGAACTGGACGATGGCATGGCCTTTTGTGAAGAGCTTTAAAAATCACATTCCTTGGTAAGCAGATGGGTCCTCCCCAATGGGGCACAAAGTTTGCAGAATGTTGACCTGTAATAGATGTGTGTGTGTGTGTATGTGTGTATGTGTGTGTGTGTGTGTGTGTGTGTGTGTGTGTGTGTGTGTGTGTGTGTGTGTGTGTCGGTATGTATGTGCATGTGTGTCAGTGTCGGTGTGTATGTGTGTGCATTTTAAAATGTAATTGGCGTATGTTGTGGGTGGCTGTCCCAGACGCAAATGGTTTTGTGACTGTGCTTCTTCAAACAGCATGCTGAGGTGAAGTGGATTCAGCACTCCCATCAGATATCTGAACAGTCACCTTTGTGCAGCCTGTCAATGTCACAGTACGCTTGCACTGTCTATTTTCATAGTAGACAAATTTTAGTTCTGATTCTGTAGAGCAAAATGTGTGTTTACGCTAAAAACTTTTCTTCAAAACAAGAATTCTATTTATTTGCACGAGCATCTTGAAATACAACTAACAAGATCTCATCTCCTTTATACAGGCACTGCTTGTAAGCTTGCCATGTGAGCCTTGCTGCTATGTACTGCATCTGTCACCTTGGCTTTATCAGGATTGTGTCAGTCAATGGTAACATGGATGCAGTACCAGCTTTACTTACTAAATATGTTACCTTTTTGACTTGAGACTCTGGCTAAATTTCTTGTGACAAAACCTAGCTCGTGTGGAAGTCGGCAAAACGTTTCAACCGGCACCGCAATAAATCCCCGCGTTACTGTGTAAGTACAAATTTTCGTTCACGAAATCTTTCATTAGATCACTCCACCAGCAGCCTTGTTACTTACTAAATTTCGTTTCTGGTCGAGGTCTGTCACCCCGAACGTTAAGAAAAAAAACTTCAGTTTGGTACAAACTTTAGCTATTTCGTGCCCCCTAACGAATATAGCGGAAGTTAATTCCAAACGAAAATTTGTACTTACAGTCAACTTCGCTTATAACGACACTCGGCGGGGCATCAAAAAGGTGTCCTTATTCGCGAAGTGTCGTTATACCCGAAGTCTCATTACATGTATTACAGTGGGATGGGACTTTGCTGTGGGCATGGAAATTCTGTCGTTATTCGCGAATTGTCGTTCTATCCGCAGTCGTTATTAGCGAAGTTCACTGTATACAGTACTCTGTCCTGAAAAGTCGTGAAAACCGCGCACCCCCCGTTTCTGACTTAGCTGTAAAACAGTACAGCTATGTATTGCGATCGAAGACCTGTCCCCGGGGAAAATTGCGGAAAAAAATCGCAAAAAACGCGGGGAAAAATGCGGCATAATATGGCATAATTTGCGGTGAATTTGCAGTAAATATGCGGTAAATATGCGGTGAATGCGGCAATTTTCAGTGAGTATGTAGTGAAATCAATCAGTTACAAGTCTCTGGTGTATAAAGCACCCATTATTTGAGTAAAAAGCCGCCACGATGAGACGTTGCTGACCGAAAAGTGCACTGTGTGTACGTGTAGTGCAACAAAAAGTTCAAAAAACGCGGGAAAATCGCGGAAAACGCGGTCTTTTAAAAATCGCAAAAAACGCGGAAAAAAACGTGGCCGCGGAATCGCAATTTTCCCCGGGGACAGGAAGACGCATGGTGGTGTCCATGGCAGCTGTTTGAAAATATCTCCTGTTGGGCCATACAGAGTGTCACCTTGTGTTGTTATCAAATAGAGAAATACCTATGGGCTCTTTTGTTTTCTTTGATCCAAGTGGCTTTCTGATATTATGTAGACCCAAACATGATAATCCTACGGCCCGCGGAATAACTTATTCCATTTTTGGAGCCTCAAAGCTGACTAGAAATTGTGTGGGAATGAAAAGGAAAAATTGCCTGAAGAAAGAAATTGGTACCATCGCCAGAACTCGAACTGGGGACCTTCGCTATAGGCCAGCCATGCTCTATGGTCTACCACTAAGCTATGGTGTACTGCAGTCACTGAGTTAACATCCCAGCAGAGACTTGTAAGCTCACACTTTGGGTACATAGGCGGGTGTGCTGCGCCAATGAGTCCACAAAGGATGAAACGGGTCTGTCCGCAGATTGAGTAGGCTGGTGTGATGTAGTCCTGACTGTACCCAAACACTTCACACGCAATCTTGTAAGCGAGAGAGCCGAACTGCATCAACTATATTCTTTTGGCGCACAGAGCACTGGCGGTTTGTACATGGGGTTACCCGGTAGTAGTCTACCAGAGAATGTAGTCACGCTTTCTGTGAAACTGCATTGACTGGTGTAATGTAGTCATCACTTCACTTACACACCGGCTTCACACACAATAGTGTACACGAGGGAGCCAAAATGCATCAAATATTCACATTTCGAGGGAATTGAAAGGGAACCGTTCTGAAGAAAAGCTTTAGTAAACAGCGAGACCGTAGAACACTTTCTTCAGACATTGAAACTCGGGCGTCCCATGCAAGCAACAAGTATCAATTTTGTGTCAACGCATGCCAAAGAGCAACCTAGAATTCAAAACAATCCCTTCTGTGAAAGTCGTTTTTCACCTCCCAACTGATGACCTAAGTTAAAAGCGCCATTTCGTTCTTATAAAAGCACGGATGACCGCCATTGGCCCATATGTTGTAGTCTTTTGGACGCTGAGTCGACTGGTTTTGGTCCGAAAAGGCTGCGATGCAGCGTTCCTCCTTTATTCCCAATCGAACATGGTTGAAGAAGCGGTCACGTGCTCCTGCGTACACCAGTCACCTGGTCACCGTGCCTGCAGGGTACAACTTACTAGCCTGTTTGACCTTTTTTGGGTGCAGTCCTGTCACTCGAGTTGAACTCGAGTTGAACCTTGGTGTGAAAGTTGTCGCCTGCTGGCGCGGTGACCAGGTGATTTGGGCACCCAGGAGCACGTGACCGCTTGTTCAACCATTCGCGGTCATCCGTGCTTTTATAAGAACGAAATGGCGCTTTTAGTGACATTTTGCATACAAATCCCCATCTAGTAGGGCGCAGTCACCCAGTTTCGGTGGAAGTGCGCGAGTTCGATTGGGATTCAAGTAGGAAGGGAGCGTCGCAGCTTCCTCGGACCAAGACCATTCGACTCAGCACCCCGAAGACTACAACTGGTGAAAATTTGATTTTAGGGTATACTTCCCCTTTAATCCGCCCAACCTGTTGACCACTTTGCTGAAACAACTGCCTCTGTTACAAGTTTGTTCACTTCTTGATGGCTGGCTTTTCTTGAAGAAGGCATTGTTATCATTGACAGAGTTGGTATAATTGCATGCACCTGGCAAATCCGTGTATGGTGGTAGGCCTGCCGCAGGGTCGGCGCTTGTGACAGGCTAGCGTGTACACGACAAACGCAATGGTCACCGTCTGCGTCAACACCTCCGCCTTCAGGCTCTGCATTCCGTTTGCTGCATTCCTGAACGAATCATGACGTTCCTGACAGATGTTTGCGACCAGTACAAGATGCTCTCGGTGTCACCTAGCACCTCCCAGGGAGGCTGCGCAAGTGAACATGATGAAAGGCATCTGCTTATCATAGTGGAACTGATGAATACCGCATACGCATAAGCCAATCACTGAGCATAGGCTCGTTTTGGAGATGTGGCTGCAGAGTAACCCTTTCCAGTGATCATTAGCATCTTCCTAGTGCAGTCTCTGTCTTTCCACCAAACCATTTTAATGCATTGAGAACCATTGGAAGCAAGCCTTTAAGCCAGTATCATCCCTTTGACAATACTGCGGGTGCGTGATTGCTCCAGCATCATAGAGCAGCTCGTTCGACAGCGTAAAGGCCCTTGGCACTTCTGCTTGCATCTGTGTAATATTGTGGCTTCACTTTGAGTTGATGAGCTGTCGAGCGGCGCAGCTGAACCTGCTGATGTTAGCCCAATAGATATCAGTTTGAAATGCTTTCACTCCTTCAAGGTTCAGCGTGGACTCTTCACAGTTGGGACCTTTCCACGAGCACCTTGCAGGTTGTAATGACCTTTTCATGACTTCTTCCATTGCAGGACAGATTTTGTCAGGTCTCTGAAAGCTTTCCATGCCTTTATATTAAAAGTATGACGGAAATCGCTACAACTTCTTTTTCTTTTGAACGAATAATTTCTATGGCACATCGATTATAAGTTAAGGGACAGCCAGGGCTTCTAGGTCGTTAACAAGTGGCATGGTGTGGGTGAACTCACTGCAAGTGACTCACAGCCACAACTTGCGTTCAATGAGATCCATGCAGGAGATCTCCGGCCACATCTTTATTTGTAGAGTATTAGATCAAATGAATATGGCTCCTGCAGATTTCCATTGACAATGCTACCCTTGTGTTGGTGGCAAGTTACTGCTACCAATACTGATAGCAAACGTAAGACAATAAAGACAATATCTACTGAAAACTCACCTTCTACTGTTGCCCTCTAACTCTTCCCGCTTGCAAAGTCGGATTGATCTCCTTCTCTGATCTGCAGGTTTATGGCGGCTCTGCTCGACCTGAAGTTACGGTCCCAGCATTCAGCCCAACTGACGAAGCAACCGTCTGCTTGGTTGCAGTGACCTTGTTGTGTCGACTCTGCAAGATGCACTGGTGGGTAGAACACTGGCCAACGTGATACCAGTTGCTAGAACATAATATCCACGTGAGCGTTACCCGTAAGGCAATTAAAATTTAAAACTCACCTCATTTAGCAGCTGCCGACGCGTGTTGTGGTGCGGATAGTCCACGCTTGGCCAAGGACAGACATGTTACGATGCCACTGACAGCCAGCCTGTCACGGTTGCAAGCGTGATACGATCAGGCCAGTGCACATGGCACACAAACGTGCTGACAGTCTGACACGGCAGTGCATGTCGTAAGACAACTGATCCCATCGGACAGCGTGTGCATGCATGCATGCATACCTGGGCGTGTGGCCTGTGCTGCATACCGCTGTCATCTGCAGTGTTACAGTCAGCAGCCTGTGTGCCAGTGCGGTCTGCAGCGTGATCACAATCTTGTAACTGAGCCCATCAAACCTGCCTATGTGGTCATCGCCCATGGCAGTGTTCTCTGCTGGTGATCGCTGTTGTAAGGAGTATCTCCAGCCGTGCGAGCGCTCATGAACAATGTTCTTAGTGCTGAGCATTCAGCGGGCATGGTCCATAACGCCATGCCCGGCATGGGGTCTTGCATGTTGGGAGTTATCGAAAGTGTTGCATGTACAGCACAAGAACACCAGCAGTAGGCAGAGACACCTGATTGTGATTTGAGTTTAAAGCATTCTATTCACAGTAGTAACACGTGGGAGGTGACGGCAAAAAAACTCGCAAGCCAGAAGTCTAGCCCGATAATTCTACACTGTGCAGCAATGGGTCTTGTTCCGATGGCGTACAGTCAAGGCGTTACTCGGGCCAGACCATACGCACATATACACAGCAGCGCTGCCGCCTCACGTTCTGCCTGTCATGCTGCGTAAAAATGCTTGTCAACAGTATGTGAGGTCCGGCTGGGTGTTTCTGACGGCCCACACGCGGATCGAACATGCGTCTGTTTATGTAAACAAGAGCGGGGGGTCGTCCCGAGTTAAGTCACAGCATTGGCAAACCAAATAATTGCAGTGATACACCCTGAGCATGCAACTGTGTGTGATGTGACCTCAAATGTCTACATACTCCCAGTCGGTGCAGCGTGCAGACTGGAGCAAGCTGTTTGTTGTTGTAACTCTGCCCGTCATGCATGAAAAGGCACTCATCAGGCAACAACAATAACTCGCTCTTAGACGGCTTGACAGCTGAAGTGTAATCATCGTTCAAAGTCTAGTGATCCCGGCTTGCAAGCTAAGCTTAGATATGGACGTCACGGGACCTAGAATGTTCCGCCACCCATTCGCAATGTAGCTCGGCCTCCGAGTTTCTTCTGCAACTATAAATGGAATGATTTGGATGAACGGCATGAAATGCTGTCGGAAACTGTCTTCTCTTTTTTTGCTCGTCTAGTCGTATCTTGTCTTCCCTTTCCTTCCCTTCCATTCTGTTTGTTCTTCTCCCTCCTCTCTTTTATCTTGTCTGTCTTCTATTCTCAATGTGCGTCACTCTCATGCAACAAGAATGCACCAATGTTACAATGCAGAGGAAGATTACTTTACTTGGTTTTCTAATGTGTGTGTGTGTGTGCATGTGTGTGTGTGTGTGTGTGTGTGTGTGTGTGTGTGTGTGTGTGTGTGTGTGTGTGTGTGTGTGTGTGTGTGTGTACATGGTGTGTGTGTTTCTGTCTTTGTATTATCAGTCCCATTCAGGGTGCACATGGACATTGCTGCCTGGTCCTGAAGGTGTACACAGCGGACTGACAACTCATCGGATAACGTCATGATAAGCCATCAGATGTGTATGTGTGTGTGTGTGTGTGTGTGTGTGTGTACATGGGTGCGTGTGAATGAAAGATAGGGACTCACTGTCCAGAAAAAGCCACTTCAATCAGCTGTGTGGTGAAGACCAGGCTATAATTTGTGGTGGCCAATTCATCAGCCTAGCAAGTTGTTGAGTACTGTAATCCCAGCACATGTTCATCTTGCTACGTCTAACATAGCTGTTCGCTATCATCACTTCCACGATGGGAATGTCTGAGTCTGAGTGTGCGTGCGTATGGGTGCGTGTTCGAATACATTGCTGGTGCTACCAACACAGTAATATACCGGTATGCATTGTTTGTGATCAGTCTGTAGCTGGATTGAAGAATGCTCATGCACGGTGTGATCAAGGCAAGGCTCTAACCAGCCAGCACCTGCAATCACAGCACAGTCTACTCTAGCATGGGAATAGCCTATGAGTACTGAGCTCTGAGCTTGGGAGATTTCCTCCTTTTCAAAGTTAGAACGGCTGCATTGTAAGTTGCTAGGATTGGAATCTTTTTCTTCCTCTTTTCATTCTAATGTGTACTCAGTCTCGTACTTTTCCGGCTTTTTTCCATTGTTTGCTAGCAAGACCAATGCCAACTGATGTATGTACACAGCGCTCTAACGTTATACTTGCTATCATGATTATCATTAGCCCTAATTATCCAGGCATGCACCAGACTCTAACGGCTCTTTCCATCTACACACACACACACGCACACACAGTCACGTATGTCTGCACAAGCGAGGATGCTGTGTCCACGCTAGGCAAGCAGACAGTGTCATTCAAGTACATGTTGTACACGCTGAGTCCAAAGGAAGAAACTGGAACTTTACGGTTTTGGGGGGGGGGGGGGTGCGGGTATTATATGCCGCATGCAGGCGTCTTTCTCACTCATGAAAGCCAGTACTGTACCAGGGAGTTAAATTAAAATACCTCCACACAAAAAAAAAAAAAATTTCACGGTTCGCGTGAGACTCGGCCAAAGGCCCAGTTTTCCGCATCCGCAGGAACGCCACCACCCTCTTGGATCAAGGCGCAGATGCAGCTCCTAAGCGGTGGGAGGTGAGTAGATCAGACCCACCACAAAGTGGTCAAAGACCGAAATCCCATTCACTGCATCCACACAACCATAGATCATTTCATGGGCGCTTGTTGTAACATTGCAGCTGCTGAAGTCCGTCTGAGACCATGGTGTCTACGCTCTTTTGATGTCCGCTCATTCATCATGGATATGACTGTGTTTTCCGGGGGATTAAAATATTTGCCGGGGAACACGCAGAGTAGTGTGTATTATGTACTTCTCAACTGTTACTTGCCAGAGTCGTCTTCAAGAAGGGCGTGGACGTGGTGGGAGGGGAGGTCTATAGTAGATCTGGTATTATCATAAGAACATGGATTGTGGTTATCCGTGGACCTACGTACATGTCAGTACAAGCCATGGCATGAGCAGTCCTGGCCAGGGAGTCGTATAATCCCGGGGATATACGATTCCCTGGTCCTGACCTTGGCACAGTAGATCTACAGGTAGATCTACAGAATCAGTGAGTGCGTTCGAACATTCACGGGTTGACTACACGCCTATCAGTCTGTCTAGCCCGTGCCGTTGTCCACTAGTACTACTAGTACTAGTGCCTGGGAGACTGGGACATGCTGAGAAGAGGTTTTCTAGTCCTCGTGATCATGGTCAGCTCACATGATTTTCTGTAGCATCGTCGTTGACAGAAGTCCCGAAAATGCCCCTCAATAATAATGAACACATCTACCTTACCACCTAGTAGATATACCTGTATCCCAAACATTGGTTCGAGGTGGATCTCGCTCCCCTCAAGCTAAACCGAGTCTAGATTGCTCCAGCGAACGAGTCCAGGACGATTCCAGGTCCACGTAGACCACCAAAGCTTGCTCCTTGCCGCGAGGAGCGTGCTTGTCACTCATTGGAGGAGTTTGCCACCCCGCCTCCAGCTCCGAGCATTACCAGAATTTCGAAGGTCTTTGGACACCTTCCTGAGGACCATCTCTCCCAGTTGCGTTGGTACCAAAGAACCGCTGCTTCGCTGGAGCAATGGCTCCAATCAACTGGTTTCTTGTCGCTGTTGCGGTGGGATGCGGAGCGGTGCACCTGGCGGCTGAGTCCGCTGCGACGCCAAATATTATTTTCCTTCATGTGGATAGCATGGACGGCCGAACGGCTCTGGAGGACTCGCCGGCGCTCACCCCGAACTTGGACAAGCTGGCGAAGAGGGGCGTCCGCTTTGATAACACGTACTGCGCTGCTCCGGAGTGCGTGCCGTCCAGAAGTGCACTATGGTCCGGCAGACGACCTGATCAAACAGGAGTGTGGGCGAACGGGCATGGCCTGCCGCCCGACTACCCAATCATCATGGAGCAAGTGGGCAAGGTTGGCTACGACACTGAGTTCATAGGGCGTCATGATTTCAACTCGGGTCACCACAGCCTGAGTGCTAATCTCAGTACGTGGGTACGACCAGTGCCCGGCTTCGCCATTCCGTCCGAGGACCGGCCCTTTCCGTCCGTTCACGACTCGCAGACGGTGAGATTCCACGGCGGGGACTGGGCCAACGCGGACAAGTGCATCGAGTGGCTGAAGGGCCGCCAGAACAACACGACCCCGTTCATGCTGTCGTGTGGCTTCGGCTGCCCGCATCCCGGCTACTCGACATCCCAGTACTGGCTGACGACGGGCGTGAACAAGACACGCATCACACTCCCGCAGTGGAAGGCCGAAAGCGAGATGCACCCTGTGCAGCTGTACGAGACGATCACCAAGAACTGCTCGGGCAACTGGAGCACTGAGGAGGTACATGACATCCGGGCCGTGTACTACGCCATGGTGGCCGAGGCAGACGGCTTTGTCGGCAGCATTCTGGACACGATAGGCAGCAGCGGCAGCTTGCTGAACAACACTGTGGTGGTGTTCTGGTCAGATCACGGTGACATGACCATGGATCACAAGCAGTTCTACAAGGAGACGGCGCTCGAGGGCAGTGCGCGCGTACCGCTGATTATTGCCGGTCCGCCCGGGTCGGGCATACGCAAGGGCAGCACCGTGCAGAGGGCCACGAGCCTGATCGACCTGTTCCCGACCGTCATGGATCTAGCCAAGGCGCAGCATCCCACGGGCCTAGCCGGCTACTCTCTGCTGCCGGACCTGATGAATGTGAGCAGCATGCACGCATGGCTAAATGATGACTCGAGCGCATGCGTATCTGAGTCACGATTCGACGAGCTGATGGCCGACCCTCACCCGGACTATGTACTTCTACAGGCACACATGGACCACTCCAGTACTGGGCAGTTCATGTTGCGGCAGAACAACTGGAAGTACATTGAGTACGCCGGGGGCTACGACCCGGAGCTATTCGATCTCGACACGGACCCGAACGAGCTGAACAGCGTTGCCACGTTGCAAACCACCGTTCTAAGCCAGATGAAAGCCCTGCTGCGCACACTTCTCGATCCAGACGAGGTTGATGCGCAGGCTAAGGCCTTCGACAAGCAGTCGTTTGCGACCTGGAAAGAGTCACTCGGGGATAAATACAATTCCACAATCGGCTCTAAAAACATTCGCTGGCATTGGTCATGGCAGAAAAACCCAGAGCTATACTTGTCTCTGATTGACAAGTGGCTCAACAGTAAGTGAATCGAATGACGGCTTTCAGAACTGTGACTTCTTATGAGTCAACCAGGTTGATGTCGAAGATACTGTTTGTGTCTAGCGAATTTTTTCTTTCGCACTTTATCATGCCATGGAATGTCTCAGTGCTCTTTGTCAGTCTGTGCTACATTGTGCACATCTAACTGTTCAATTTGAATGGTGGACCCTTACGCATACATGTAGTTTGTGCCGCAGTGTTTTCACTTGTATCTCTGACACAGCTTTTTCGTTATTCCTGCTAAATGGGCGAGTTGTCCGTTTAGTTTGCCTGCAATACATGACGTGTATTGTAGAAATTCGAACTGGCATTGGAATTGCTTTTCATATCGAGAACAATCTTTTTAAAAAAAGGTTTGTGTCTGCAGGTAGGCATAGTGGGATGGTCTAAGACCATGATTGAGAAACAGAGGGTACCCGGTTCAAGTCCTGCTTGGAAGCGGAAGGATTTTTTCCAGCCGTGCTGCGACCCACAGTTAATTGGGAACTCGTGGCCTGGCACGAGGGTAACATGGATGCAGTTAATGGGATTTTCGGTCTTTGACCACTTTGTGGTGAGTCTGATCTACCCACCTCCCACCGCTTAGGAGATGCATTTGCGCCTTGATCCTAGAGGGTGGTGGTGTTCCTGCCTTGATCCTAGAGTGCGGTGGCTTTCCTACGGATGCCGAAAACTCGGCCTCCAGCCAAGTCCCACTCCAACCGTGAAGTTATTTTTGTGTGTGTGTGTTCTGAATTGGATTCCACACGAGGAAGAGAAAGCAGTGTGCTATGGCTTTATCGCTGCCTTTCTTGCATGTGGATTCAAACGCGATTGCTGAGCTGGTTGTGCTTCTTACATTCCTGTGATAATCTGAACAGAAGCGAAGCATGGACTTGAAGTTGCTACTTCCGAAGTCTATGAGATTTACCTTCAAGGCTTGTATGCCACTCTTTGGACCTTTCCCAACATGAACCTTCCAAGTTGGAAGGTCTCTGGTTTGCGCCTCGTAGATGTGTTGTAGGTGTCAGGTCGTCGAATGTCTCAATACTCCTTGTCAGTTTTGTGCCATGTTGTCGCACTACCTGACTCTGTTATGATATGGTTGCTTTGGTGGACAGTTAAGCATCATCAGTCATAACTCGTAACATTTTTTTGTCCTTCTTTTTATCCATGATTACATTGGCTCAACATCCAAGTTCATTTCTATCTTTGCTAATCATATGCACCACTCCTGATCTAAAATTTAGATCAAGAGTGGTTCTACTCTCCGTCAACGTAGTCGGATTATGCAAGACATTTTTATTCATCTCGGGACAGGGGATGTACATCATGCGATACAATAATTAATTTAAAAGAGAGTAGAATCACCTCTACAGAAACCAGGCTGTTTTGAACTGATCACTACCTTCACATGAGCGTCGAGTTGATCAAAGCACTTCATTTAAATATTTTGGATAGACAGCTGAGAAGGGAAATCGGACGATAATTGGCGGGTTAGACCACGAACCTTTCTTCGATGGGATAATTTTGGCGTTTTTCCAAACAGAGGGAACATCCGCGCTATGCTTTCCTGAAGTTTCCGTAACATGTCTGACCAAGTGCACCAAAGCATAACAAAGCGATCCCTAAACACAAGTAAGTTGCCCGTAGATCTACGGGTTGTGTATTGATATTCTGGTAGCTTAGGAACCAGCTTTGTCAATCTGCACAACATCCACCCAAATGTATCAACTTATCAAGGAACCGAACGTGTCACGAAGAAGAAGAAGATGTCGTCCGCTAGCTCTGTGCATGACCTGCAAATCTGGTGATATGAAAGTACAGTAAAACCTGTAACTAACGACCACCCCTTGGTGCCCGGAAAAGTGGTCGTTAGTGGCAGGTGGTCTTTAGTTAGAGGTTTGCACCGCGCGACCATATATGGATCCCATTATATGATAATTATGTATGTCAAAATGCAGATAATACAATCCCCCACCACTTGCGCACTGACATTCTTTTTTCAGATCATACAACACTTGGAGAGAGAGAGAATCAGTTAGTTTTTTGTACACCGGAAGCGATACGACCAGCGATGTTGCGAGTTTTCGCACCTTTCACTGTAGACTATTATCCGCCATCGTATCCTGGCCTGTGTTCCGTACAGGTGAGTACATAATACCGTAGCATGCTAGCTAGCCAGCACAGACTGTCAGTGTGACCTGGTGTAGTGGTGAGTCTGGTGACTGAGCTGTGTGATTGCACTTCGACAGAGAGCCGCTCAGTCTTAGATTCTCCTTCGAGTAGTAACATCGATCAAAGAGCGCTTTGGATGCGCTCTCCAAGACGTTTCCTATCATGTTTGTTCTTGACAGCACTTGAAATTATGACAGGTGTAGTGCAATCCACACTGATTCCACAGTAAAAATGAGACTGCGCTCATTTGTCCAGCTGTAGTATCGAAACGACCATGGAAAATCATCAAAATTTCGAGAAGGAGCTTCAAGCAATGCTTGATTTGCTACATCGCGGTCGCTAGTTACGGGTCAAAATTCGACATTGGGACAAGAAAAGGCGGTCGCTGGTCGCGTTCAGCAGGTAGTCGCTAGTCACAGTGCATTTTGAATGTGAGACCGTCCGTGCCTGACAAAGTGGTCGGTAGTACCAGGCCGGTCGCTAGTCACGGTGGTCGTTAGTTACAGGTTTTACTGTATGCATGAAAAAGAACGTTGTGTACTACAACAAGTGCCAACTGCAGTGCAAGTGGTGTCAAGAAAGCTACCGGTATGTACATGTAGGTGAGACAGAACGATTCCTGGAGACAAAATTGAGGGAACGTACATGTAGTGGGGAGGCCCGCGGGCGCACAAAACTTCAAAAGATAAGCCATGCGCCCGGATAATGGGGTAACCACATGAGGTCAAAGCATGCCAGGAAGAGACTAGCTGTTGGTGATAGCGCTAGCCGCATCTTCTCTTCCGTACGATCCGTGTCGGTTCTTGCCAGTGCACGTGATAGGGCGACTCGAAAACAAGCTGTTGTCAGTTTGAGACTAGAAGAAGGTCAGGACCACACTGCAGTAATACTAACGCAGGGTGGTAGATCTACGTGCTGGTACAAGTGTAGAGACAAGTACTACAGTCCATTCAGAAAAAGAATGATCTGATGATAATTATCCTAGCTTTTGGTCATAAACGGGTCAAATTTTGGGTTTTCGTCACATTTTTTTGGCAATCCCCCATGGAATGCTCTTGTGTTTTTGAAGTTTATTTCTCCAAAAAGCAAGCTATAACAAGAATAGGATTTCGGCCAGGTTTTGCCCCCAAGCACTGAATTGGGTAAAAACCATGAAAATCCAGGCTGTTCACTTCATTTGCATATACATGTACATGTATAAACAGTACATTTGCGGTTCGAACCCCAGTTGAGGTACATGTACTTCGAAGTATCCTTTTTGGACCCTTTTTCAAGTTTTGAATCGCACGGCACGGCACAGTGTACCACAAAATCGCCAAACACGGGAGCTCTCCAGAGCCAGCGCTCGTCTTTTTCTGAATGGACTGTATGTATGTATGTATGTATGTATAACTCATAATCACAAGGTGATCGTAGAGGCATTAATCAGCGAGAGAATTGTGAATGATGTCTCTGAATCCAACTCTATCGTGTGCTGCATGAGAGAGAGCATGCAAGGGAAGACCCGTCCAACTTTTAACGTTAGAAATCCATAATGTCGCGGCCTTCCTCTCGGTCGAGATCCAGGAGTTGATCCTTGCAGGAAGGGCTTGGAGAAAACGTCATGTCTCGTAACATGGCCAAACCACATCAACTTAAATTTCTTGACTTCGTTCGCTAGCCGCATCCTTGCTCCGATGATGTCATTGATTTCTTCCAGGATAGATTGGTTGGTACGCCGGTCGTGGTATGTTACTCCTAAGAGTCGGCGGAAGCATTTCATCTCGAAGGATGAAATTCTTCTCATTGATGAGGCAGATAATGTCCAAGATTGGCATCCCGGTATAAAACAGTCGCTAGCACAATAGACCTAGCAAAACGAAATTTAGTAGGCAAAGAAAGTGATGGCGATTTCCAAATGAATTGAAGCTCAATGATCTTTTGCTTCCCTAGTGCTAAGCGTCTTCTTATCTCCACATCGGACTTGCCATCCGACGTGATTACGGCACCTAAGTATTTAAACTGGGATACCTCTTCTATTCGCTCATTGCCTACTTGAATGCACCCCAGATCACCACCGCCCTCCGGCGGTGCCATTGACTTGGTCTTGGAAGCATTGATCTGCATGCCTAGTCTTGTTGCACTCGTATCCACGCGCTCGGTCAGGTCCATCAGCTCTTCCACAGACGATGCGATTAGATCTATATCATCCGCAAAACGTAGGTTGGTCACGCACATGCCGCCGATACATACTGACCCATCAAACTCCTCCAAAGCGTCAGACATGATGTACTCCAGGAATACGTTGAACAGACAAGGCGAGAGTAAACAGCCCTGCCTGACACCCACTGACGTGGTGAACCAGTCGGTGATAGTGGATCCAACAACGATGGCAGCTTCAGTAGTAGCGTAAAGCGCTTCAATCAGGTCCACAATTCTTGCTTCGATGCCATGCGCTCTCATAATCTTGAATAGCGCTTTGTGCCAAACCCTATCAAAGGCCTTATGGAAATCGATGAAGCAATGATACACAGCCTTTTTTCTTTTTCTTTTTTTACTATTGACACAGCCCTACTGGAATACAGGTGGAGAACAAAAAGAAACGAGGAAAAGGACAAAACATAGGGGATGTAGCCTGCTGATGGTCACGGTACTTTTCAGTTAACATTCTGAGGTTGAAGATTTGCTCCACTGTGCTTCTTCCCTTCCGGAACCCTGCCTGCTCGTCCGCCAGCAAACCCCACTTGCGGCTGCAGGCGCTTCAGCAAGATCCTCAGTAGCACTTTGCTCGGATGACTGATGAGGCTCACTGTCCTGTAGTTTTGGCACTGCCGAAGGTCTCCAGACTTAGGGATGGGAACAAGAATGGACCTTGTCCATGATGTTGGCCATCTACCATTCGTCCATGCGAGGTCACAAATCCTGTGCATAACAGCCACCAACGTATCTCCACCATGTCGCAAAAGCTCGCCAGGAATGTTATCTAACCCCGCTGATTTGTTGTTCTTGAGGGAGTTGATAGCGTATTCGACTTCGGTCCTCAGAATGGGATTGTTGTTGGCATTATCTGACATGGCTGGAGTAACGATTGCGTCAAGGACTTTATCATCTACGTTCAGGTCCACGTTGTACAAAGATGCACCGTACTCACACCACCGCTGAGCTACTTCTTCCTTTTTCGTTAAAGTGGATCCGTCTGCTGCTTTGATCACCTGCATTGCTG